GCTTTTAAGTTCAATTTCCTACGTAGTTTGAAAAGTGCCCTATCGAGAGGAAAGATCTACGCTATCAGAAAAACGAAAAATATAAGCTAGAATTGAGGCCGGCAATAGTTTTAAAGCTCCGGTTATTGAGATGGTCAATATTTGCGCCGCAATATTATTGCTGGTTTGCACGTGACGTCATGGCGGCTATGTTGGTTGGGTCAAGAACAAAAGCATCTCTCTCTCCTCTGGGAACTACACTCTAGTTTCATGTAAATTCTTTGAGAAAGAGGTCCATTGTATTGACCTCCAACATGGCCGCCTTGTCACGTGGTTGCAAACCAAGGACAAAAATTAAAGGTCAAAAAAGAAAATGCTATTTTTGTGCTGTTGTCTTGCAGAAGTTATTTGTCTGTCAGGCGATAGGTTACAAGTTGAACACTTTTCAGGCAGGTAATGAAAATCATCTCATTTTTTAACAGCAACATTATTGAAAGTTCAAAATCAACAATAAATGAGTGGTTGTTTGACAAAAAAAATCGAAATGTTTTGCAGGTTATTAAAAACACCTTAGGGCTTACTGTCGCAAATTATGGCTAAGTAAGTCAAATAATCATTAATTGCGGATTTAAAGAAAATTGCTTTTTGCCGTCTATTCGGTAAAAACATAAAGCAAACTTTGAATTGTCGTCATCGTCTCTGAAAAAATAAAAGTACAATTAACAATAATCAGTGGTGGTAATTGTTCAGGGCAAATGGATTTTTTTTTTCAGACTAAAATTTTATTTTGCTTATACTTTCTGGCATGGTTTTAAGTTAATGAAAAATTAGTTTGGAGAACTTTTGAAAATACCTTTTAAGACATGATTCACTAGAGAGAATTTTAAAAACACTTCTTTGAGCGTTATTCACAACATTTTGCATTGGATGGTTTAAAACCCCATTTACGAAAACACGAAAATTTATGATAAGATACTCTTATTACCAGTGCAGCCTGTCGAGAATGGTGACCAAATGGCGATGGCAATTTTCAAAGTCGTACTTTAATCACAGCTATTAAGAAGGGCCGTTAAAAAATTAAATTAAGAATTGCTTATGAAAAAACGTAGTGACAACAGAACAAAGCCAGTTCTAACTAAATTTAAAAAAACTGTGACTGACAAAATTCTATCGCGGTGTTTCTGTTAGATTGATTAATTGCAGCACGTTTCACACAGCAGGCCCTATTTTCAGGCATAAATTGGGACTAAAGTAATTACACAGGGAGTGTTGCGCCATTAGAGACATTTATAGTACGTGTCAAGGTGACTCAGGGTTGTTGGCAGATATGGGACAAACACGACACCAATTTATTGTTTTAGTTCCGACCACGTTTTGAGTTTAATGGAACAAAATCAATATACTTCCAAACATCACGGACTACACAAAGACAAGGCACTACCACACAAAGCAAAGGGTAGTTATGGGCAGAAATATCAGCACGACCTCTCGTGATTTAATTTTTAAAAATGCGAACTAACTTGAGTACTCTCTATCTTGTATTTTCCAATCCATTTCCTGCCGGATAACAAATAATAATATATTGACCTGGAAGAGCTAACTTAGACTTTTTTTTGCACTAAAACTCATTCATCTTTTTTTCAGTGCAAGCCTTAAAAGGAGTACATGTTTAGAATCAGAACTCACAGCACACATTTTCCTCCTGGTACCAGATTATTTACGTAGATAAGAAAAAAGGGTGAATTATTTAAGTATGATGTGAAAATCCACGCTGGCCAATATATTTTTCTCGGTTAGACTCCTACAGCGATATTATTACTGGTGATTTAATAATGTCACGTTAACATTATTTTACGAAAGCAAGCATTATTTTAGCGGATGTTCGGTTAAATTAAAGGAGCTTAATGTCACGACCGTATTGCTGTCTAAGGGCAATTCTGTGCGAGGTTTTGAAATTTATATATATATGAAATTAATCGAGGAGCACTACTAGCCATAATAACTTTTTGGTGATTTTTGCAGGCATAGAAGAAAAAGTTGAACCATCCTTGCCATCTGTTGCAAAAGACGACGGGAAACACTTTCAATACCTAAATGTAGTCTAAATAACGAAACTGAACCATTACTTTTGGAACTCAATTGATGAAAACACACGTTTTAGCTTTTTAAAATGATGGCAAATAGCATAACATGGCACGTTTAAAACATGGCATTTACCCAACTAACCTCATAAAAGGCCCATGCAGGTTCATTGTTTCGGAGGAAAAATTTTTCTTTAATAACAAATCAGTAAAAATGACAGTTCGTTTACATCCTGTCCGTCTATCGACATACTCCTTTTAAAAATACAGCACCGTGAGCTGCCACTTTTGTCATTCCCTCACTATGCAGTGTTACGCAACGCTTCGGGATGGCCGGAAAGTTCAGCATTTATACCATCTTATTTTTCTCTTAGTAATGAAATTTACAAATAGATGGAGCCAAAAAGAAAAAGTTTTTCCGCAAATTTCGCAATGGACGAAATGACGTCACACAGGCTCTCGATGCCGAATTTTTATATTCTTAAGATTCACATTTCAGTTAAGATCAGAAAAAGGGACGACTACTTCTTTTTGAAGGAAATTAGAGAAAGGGAAACCTGCGCTTCATACCCTGGCACAAATTACTCAAGTTTTAATGCATTAAAAGACGTTGTTTTGCGAAGATGGCAAAACTTATTTCTACATTGGCTGCTTAATTTCAGCCAGCTAGAACGATTGGGTATCCCAGGGGGTGGGGGGACTTGGATTAATTTTTGCTGGGTATGTGCCGCTGGCCTCTCAGAGCCCCTACCCCATTACAGTCTATTCCGTGGCCAATTATAGACCCCATCTTAGTCACTTTTGGGCAAATGTAATTTTGGCGATCCCAACGTGGTCACTTTCCATTGATGTACTCCTTATCAGTCCTTTAAATCGGGTCATTCTAAAATGAATTGACCCATATTTTAACTTGAATGAAGAACACTTTACTTTTCACCTACAGTACAAACATTCTGGTTTGCTAACCGTAAATATGAAGAACTTTCTACCTCAAAAATTCGAAAATGTGCCACCCCATTCCAGTAACTCTATTGAAAATGTGACCCCCTTATGTTCATATCCAGTCGTGAAAATGCGACCCCATCCAGCGGCACCTCCCCATTAGCCTCTTATAAGGAAGTACCCTCCTCCCCTGGTTGGGTATGTCAACAGCCAGTCACAAACAATAATGTTAGGTGCGTTTCTATGCGAGAGATCCAAATCCCAGGTTAATAATAGAATCTGATCAGCCAAAGAAAAGCACATTTAACCCAAAAAGGGACTTTAACCAAAGCGGGTATACTACCCTGCGAGCAGAGACTACATTTTATTTTCGCGGTATGAGCTGGCGTGCTACGTTTCGTACACCAGCTCATTGGACCAAAGGAACTGCTAACAGCTGGCGTTAAAACAACGAATTTGGTCGAGTTAGACGAAAGACACTAGAGAGCTTATATTGTAAGCAATAGGCTGCGTGGCAGGCGTTAAAAGGGGAAGTGGAAGGGGGAATTTGGGCGCGCGAGAGCGCGTGGAGAGCTCGCGTGTGGTCTCGCGCCCTAATTTCCTTTCGAACGTTTGCCACGCAGGCTATGTAAGCAAAGGCGTTTTGCAGCTACGCACGTCAACCGGAAGTAAGGCCTTTGCCCTTGGTATGTCCTGACGCGAGGGCTTTCCACAAGTTGCTTGGCCTGGGGCGGGGGGTGGGGGGGTACTTCCTTACAAGAGGCTAATGGCCTTGATTTTCCCATACATTTTCTGTAATTCGACAATATCAAAATTACAGAAAATGTATGGAAAAATAGAGGTTTTCTAAAAACTGATCGCGGACTTCTTTGCACTCCAGATTTAGTGTATTGTTTCTTTGAACTCGTGAGTTATTCTTTTCAAACAGAAAGCATCAAATATATATTAATTCATTAAGAAATAGCGGGCTTTGAATTCTAATACAAATCTTTGAATTTCCCGCCATCTTGCCCTGATTACCCATGATGCAACTATGAGCGTGAACTCCTCTATTGTATTCTTGCTAAATGTTTGCTGAACATCTGAGCAAAACCACTGCATGCTCAAGAATGCAAAAAGACCACTTCAAATTGACGGGCGTTGCACAAAAACGCCTTTGCTTAAGCTGTCTATTAGCTTTTACGTCCAACGTTAAGTTTTTTTACGAACGGCTCTAGTATGGCAGGGCTATTCCAGGCTTTATGCCCGAGCCGATCAGACGAACGGGATTAAATTACATTTCTTGAATTCGTCCACTAAGAAACAATGAAGATTTCTGGATACCGGGTATCCAGATTTGAAATGAATAAATCCAATACTTCAAGTGTGGCTTTAAAAGATTTTTAATCCTTTCATGGTTTCAGGGATTCAAGCTTGAATCCGTTTTAACGTTCGATTGGGGTACCCAGTATCTCCCGGTAACGCGGTCTGAGTTGTCACCTTTTCTTGTCCTTGTCGAGACAAAAAGAAAATGGTATTACTGGTTCTAGCCTCCTAATCAGTCCATTCTGATTTGTTAGCTTAGTTTTATTGTATTTCCGTATGTTCGAACTATCTTAGGGGCCCAGTATTAGAATTTTTTAGGGAGGCTGAGTGGGTTGGTTTTTTTTCGCAATATTAAATTTCTTTTTCCAGTCTACTATTCAGTACGTAGTACAATCGATTTCGTTCCTTTTTACCGGAGAAGGGCGGGGGGGCGGGGGGTGCTTTTTCTATTAACTTTAGGCAAGAATCTATTTCGGAACAAGTCCGTTTGTAGCATTTTTTCTTCTAAAATCAATCAACTCCCCTTCCGTTAAAAGTCAGCTGGTCGGCTTCTTAAAAGACTTCATTGGTGAGGCGAATAAAAATCAGCTTCCGGGACTCAAAAATTTTCGAGGGCTTTCTACAAACTGGCGCAGAAAAATCGCTCACCCTGAACATCGCAAAACGTGGCAATATTAACTGAAAAAAAAAAAAGATAATTCATCCCTTTTCAGGATAAAAGAATACACAATATAGAGACTAATGTTTTTTTTTAATGAAAAATCCTACTAAACAGGAGCAACTTCAGTGTGTAGTAGTTTGACATGATTTATTCTATAAAAGTTATTATACAATGAACTACCGTTTAAGTTCTCTGCCAAATAATTTAGAAAACTTGACTAAACTGCTATACCAAAATCGATAGAAAAAGGCTTCTACACACGGATAACAAGAAACTTGCTGATAACTAGAACATTATGGTTCACCAGTCTTGGAGCACAACTGTGGGACCTGCCCTTGAAAATGCACCGTATCCAAATGCAAATTTCGACAACATTTCCTGTACGGATGTATCAACTTATTATTTTTTTCAAATTATTCAGTAACACCATATTCGGTTCTCTAAAAACTAGTCCAAACTGGAGCTAAACTATTTTTTCTTACTTTTTTTTTCCTCAATAAAGTACAAAACTACATCATATGTAAAGGTGATGTTACACGGTACGATTCGCAACGACGATTTCTAGCGCAACGCAGCGCTTCAATGTTGGAACAATGATGTAACCATTCAAAACAATGTAGCAACAATGGGCTAAAATCGTTGTTGCGAACAATGTTGCAACGCTGTGTTGGGCTAAAAATCGAAATAATTTGTCTCCGAATCGTTTAATTCTCTAACGAATTCCCATTTAGAGACAAAGACGACTAAAAACTCAGAATGAAATGAATTTGTCTCCTCTTCTCAAAAAAATAGAATTCTCATAATTGACTTTTTTTCACTAGATAGTACGGTTATTTTCATTAATGGAGACAATCGACGACAAAAGATAAACGACTAAACATTTGATAACTTGTTTGCGTTAGCACGATATTCTCGCCAATACCCGTAGTAAACAACGGCTACCACTTTTCGCGCCAAAATGACGCTGGTTCACGGTACGAACACTACTTACTATTGAGAAAATCTCGTACTCGTACTCGTCTCAGAATCTAAGGGTATCTATTTATTTCTACAATACAACAACGAATGGATGAGAACAAATACCAAATTTTAGCACTCACTGGCCAGGTATAAAGGAAGGACTCTTCCTCCTCGCAAATTTACGATGATAAACATCTGACATTCAACGCCTTTCTTCTCAGAGCGAGAAAAATGAGTCAGAGTCTTTCGTTACACTTCTTTCTCGCTTAAAGCGTAGTAAACATTTTCTATATACAAGTACATCTACGGCTAATTTTTAGAGTCCGAAGAAATCCCTGTGTTACTGTTTATAATGTTGTACAAGGTAGTTTTAACTTTTCAGCCTGTCTACGAAAACCTTTAGTGAGACCACTCAAATTAAACCTACTGAGTAACACTTTCCTGTGGTACTGTTTACAACGTCGCACTAGGTAGTTCTAACTTCTTAAACTATAGATAAACTTAAAACCGTTAAGTGGTACCATTCAAATGAAAGCTACTGAGCAGTACTTTGCTGTATAACTGTCTATCATGATCTGGAAGATGGTTCTGAAGTTTGACTCTGTGGATAAATTCTTGTAGTTTGGCGGCACTCTCCTGTCTCAAAATATAATGAAGTTTTCACGTTTGTTTTTGATCACACTTTTGGGGTAAAGTTTACTCCATGTGATCTTAAGCCTTTTCCGTAGGCCACAGCAATGTCAGATCATTGTTACCAACTTTCTTGAATGTCACCATTGAGTCTGCGGAGCAGTTTTTGATCGTCAAGTTGAATGGCTTTTTACCAAGTTCGCATTTCACTCTTGAGTCCACACGAACATCCACCATTTTTCCAAATTTTCTGTGAAAATAAAATCAATTCTCAGTAAGTGTTTTTTTCAATAGCACACTTCTAGGACTAAGCTGTAGTGACATAGTGATTAGGGTTTCTGTCTTCATTTGCCTAGTCCTCTGTTAATTCAGAATAAAAATTAAAATTAAAAATTGTGAAATTTTCCACCATATTCTCCAGCACTACCAAAACAAATTCGTCCCCAGGGCTTCTCGGTTTTCGTGCATTTTTCTGGCCATAGCCTGCACGCTTGACGTCATTTTACCGGACTTCCCAGACGTCTTCCAAATTTGGCCAACGCTAGCTGTTAACACTCAGCAATAAATGGAAAAGGCTAACTGTGATCTGAAGAATTATGGATGATTCAGATCATACGAAAGCCGAATCGCGAATAATTGTTTTATGATTATTCAAACAAGCTAAGTTCCCGTCTTAATTTGCCCGTTTTCCGGCAATTTCATGATATAACTATATGAACGTCAGTTTCTGGATATCGCAAACGTCTTCCACAGTTGGTCTGAGCTTGCTGGTTATGAAGAATTGGCCGTGCGATATCTGTAGGTAGAGATTAGCCATAAGTACCCGTGGTAATAAAGGACCCGGCAGGATTGCTCTCGGCCGGGTGCCCCCTTAGGAAATTCTCCCTTTAAAATAAATAGACTACTACTTACTGGTATATCTGTAGGTAGAGATTAGCCATAAGTTCGGAGACCCTGTTTGCTTTAGACTGACTGAATAGACAAATGACCAAGTCATTATGTTGAAGATGAATGACCAACAGCTGATCATCTCCCGGAGAAAGACTTAAACCCGTCACCTGGAAAAAACAAACAAAGGTAGAGTTTAAAGAAACTGTGTCACGAAATTTATAAAAATTCAAACAGTGAGAAACGTAAAAATAACTTGCTAAAACAGTTAAAGAAGGTATAAATAAGACCGCAAAAGAAGGCACAGAGAGACAAACCTTGAAGAAGATTAAAACGGGATTGCAACTGCGGTTTTTGTAAACTCGTTGGCTTAACAGTGTTTCAAATTTCACTTTTGTTGTTTGTAACGTTTTACATTATGCTTTGGGAGAGGCATTTCTGGGATGCAAAGCTGTGATTTAGTCATTTACAAGTAAATTCCTCGCTAACGTTAAGTTCCTTAGCGAATGAAGACGCGTTACTGGAGAATACGGAGCTTATGCAAAGACGATGGCGGCGGCAACGACAGCGGCAAAAAAGCAATAGGTTTAGGTTGGCAAAACAACAACTTTGCACGTGCATCACACTTTTTTGCACACTTCTTTGCCGTCACTGCACGACTACGACGTGAAACTGCCTAATTTCACGTTTTGTGGAGGAAGTGAACACATCACAAGGACTTCTTTTTCTTTTCCTGGACTTTGATAAAGTCTCTTAGAATCAACTCCTGAAAAATAGTCAACATTTGACAAAGCAAAAGAGTAGAAATAAGAGCGATAAAGTTTGAAGCTGCGCGAATTCACTTTACAAGTGACGTTTTCGTAACCGTCGCGGTCGTTGTTGCTTAAGCTCTCTGATACAGTAACAGTTTAAGCGGACACGTAATGGCATAATGCTCCAACCTTCATGAGAAGGGTTACTCACCTTTTCAAGCGAGATGGTCTTCATCACTTTGTATTTGTTATCCAACTTGATAATCGATGAGGTCGTTACCACTACAATACGGTCAGCGACCTTGGTTTTCACGTTTACCTGTCCCAAGTTAAAACGTTCTATTAGTTCGAGATACATGCAACAAGGAAGGAACGAAGGTTGATCTTGAAGCTTGAATTTCCACAACTGGCAGCAGTTTCAAACTCTTTTGCACCAGGTGTATATCTCTTAAAGCTTGAGACCTGCTTCTTCAGTCCGTTTTCACGCGCTTTAGACCGGGTGTTTTTCCTCACGCAACTGAGAGAAGGTACTGAAAAAACAATTTATTTTTTTTCCCGCCAAAAATGGCCAGCTTATTTTCCCCTCCTTAGAACCACTTGCATATTCGCCAACGTTGGGTGCTAGGTAATAAACAACATCCTTGTTAATTTACATACGCCCTTATTTCATTCGTTCTCTGTGAGCAGAAACGTGTAATCGGGAAACAATTACGTCATTGCCACGCAAAAGCAATGACACATTTCGAAATCGCTCAAAGTTGGTTGTAAAACAAGCAGCGAGTGATGTTGTTAAAAAAGATAGAGCCCATCCGTCTATTCGTTCAAGAACGCACACCATTAGTTCGGGATGTTTAATGGCCTATTTCAGCATTCAACGAAGAATGATACATTGTCCACACGGCACTGAACGAACTTTCGACCGATGGAAAATTGGTGCGTTTCGCTGTTTTAACCGTACGAAAATTTAGACGCCCAGCCGCTCAAAGTTCGGGGGAACAGAGCGAAAATATTGAACTGAAAATACCGTAAATCGTCTATTAAGCCCCCCCGGGAGCTTATTTATTTCAAGCCCATTTGAGGGGGGGGCTTATTTAATTTAGAAACGATGATAATAACACCTCTCCATAAAGAACTAGAATACAAAGTGGAAAAGCTCAAGTACAAGAAGCTGGAGGTCATGCAGCCGCGGATCAGAATCAAATCCGAACTTCCAGTTGGTGAATAAACCACCCCGTATCAGTCCACACGAAGTTTTACAGTGGTGATTGATTAATACAATCTATCATTTATTATGTCTTTTTTAGTTTATTGAAGAATTTAATTGAAGGGGATGGAATCTGGGTTGGATAAAGTTAGCACCGAAATTCAAGGACTTTCCAGCACCGACTACAATTTTCAAGGACTTTCAAGGCCTTGAACTTTTTATTTTAAATTTCAAGGACTTTCAAGGACTTCCAAGGTGCGTGCGAACCCTGTACAGTGGTGATTGATTAATACAATCTATCATTTATTATTGAAGAATAATTAGGGGATGGAAGGGGAGGGGGGGACTTAAAAGAGAGGTGGCTTATTAACTTTCTTTCCCTGAAAAGGGGGGTGTATTAGAGGGTGGGGCTTATTTGAAAGGGGGGGGGGCTTAATAGAGGATTTACGGTATTGAAATGTTGGTCCTGTGTGAAGGAAGTGTCCGGTCAAATTTTTCATCCTGTCAAAAATTCATCTGGTGTAGTGTGAACAGAGCATGACCCTCGAGTCACTGGCTTAGGATTTCCGTTCTTAGTTTAGTCGTCCAGTTATGTTTTTAAGACCTTTTCTCAAGGTTGTTGTCTCACCTTCTTGGCGTAGGAAGAGAAAAGCACCATCTCTCCTTTGGTTGTGAATCGGTTGACAACATTTCTGTTGAACAGATCTACTTGGGAGTTCTCGTCAGACTGAAAAAAGAAGTAGGAGACAGAAACAGTAATGGACTTGCTTCGTAAAAGAAAAAACTATCCAAAAATAGCTGGACAACTTGTTGAAAACGGAAGGGGTGATTTTTTTCTTTCTGCTCAGGTTGAAATTCCTAGCCCGACGGTTTCAAGATGATGTTACAAGAGACGATTTGCAACGACGATTTTCAGCGAATCTCAGCGTCACAACATTGTTGCGACATTGTTTTGAATGCTTGCCACATAGTTTTAACATTGCAACGCTGTGTTGCATTCCACGCGTATTCTGCTGCGAGCCGTACCTTAGCAAGGTAGTTGCCATGCCAACGGGTCTGTAGCGCCCAGTTCTTTCGCTTTCCACCCAAACAGTCGAAAGCCGCAGCTTTAAGCATGACTTCATCGTGTTCTTCATGTGGAATACGTGATAACACTTTGAAAGCCCACCATCTACGACACAAAGAACAAATACAGCCGTCACGCTACATTCTTCCTCTGATCCTGATGTGGCCAGTTTCTAATTTCTCCTAACAATATCGCTGCCAATAATGAAAATTAGTATAAACCTAACAAGAGCATTTGAATAGCTTTACCTCCCAAATATAGTCTCAACATGCGCAGCGAACTCCTTGCTTGCGATTAGAGGTGTCGGTGGGCTGATTGATTTGCCATGGTCCTTAAGATCCTTGCAGTTCCTAGGTCATGAGAAAACAAATTCAAATGAGTGTTTCTTTGTAGTGGTAAATGGTGTACCTTTAAGTTACAGTGCGCGCTCGCTTCGGAGCTACAATGGAGTTCAAAAGTGATATTACCCCTTTCCCCTCTCGCCACCTCCCCCCCCCCCCCCAAAAAAAAATTCTTAAATTTTGAGCAAAATGGGTGAAAACAGGGTTATAGGCTCCAGTCTTTTTGGGGGGGAGGGGTTGCAACATTGCCGAGGGAAGGGGGATGGGATGAACCCATGACCGATCCAAATAGTTGTTATTGGGAGAAGAGTGGTTTTACCACCAATCACAAGTTTTTTTGACCTCTTTTGTAGCGGAGTCCTTCGCCTAATCAAACTACCACACCCATCGGGCGTGGCCTTTATGTGCGGAGGATCTAAAACAAACAGAGGATAGGAAGACGCAGAGCACAGCAGGAACACTGATTAGGAAGAGCACAAAGACGAAGCCAGCTCCCACCCTTCCTTCTTTCCATCCCTCGAGTGATTCCTTTGTTATTTTATGGTTTATTTTTTATGTACAGGGGCCTTCGCCTTTTGGTTAGCCCAGGGTTATGTTACAGCTAAGCCACTTAACAAAGCCATTTAAAGACCAGAGCCATCTGACAATTTTAAATACAAAGTAAAGAAAGCAAGGCTGAGAACGTAGAAACTTGGAACATAGAACTAAGCCTTGGTTCATTACAAGATACAGCCAAACCGCGTTAATACGGACACTCTCTATTCCCCTCTCAGTGGCTGTGTTAACGAGGTTTAACTGTAGCTGAAAATTGAAGCTACAGCCTTGCAATCGTGTGACGCCGAGATCCGTCAAGGGTCAAGCACTTCCACTTACCGGTAAGCATCACGCAGCTGAAACACAAATTTTCTTCGCGAGTACTTCCTGAATCTGTCCATAATCAGATAAATGGCACGAAGCTTCCTTGCTCGCATTCGCGCAAGACCACCTCGCCAATGCTGTGTGAAGATAAGAAAGGTTGTAAAAATGTTCAGATAATGCTGTGACTGTTAGCTAATGCTTTTATTCCAACAGTAAGGACGAGAGTTCCATGTTCTCCTGTTGATTTAAAAATGTAACAGTCAACTTTTTCTAATTAACCGATGCCCTTATACGATGGACACCTCCCGAAAACGACACTTAAGGCGCTTCAGTCCTATTTGAAAGACCTGGATGGCCAAGCCAATGCATTCTCAAGATCAGTTTAATTCTAAATGGAAAGCACGGCAGTGATGGGTTTTGGTTAAATTTAGAGAAAAGACTAACGTTTCATTTTCAACATGACCGGTCATTTTCAATATAACCAGTCCTGATTTTGTTTTTTTCAGGAGGGAAGGGGTGGGGGGAAGGGCCCTAGGACACCCCCTGCCGTTCTTAGGCCCTGTCGGTCTTAGAAAGATAGTCTTCGATAATCGTACCTTCTGAAGGAACAAAACCAAGTTTGGAAGAACCTGAGCTCTTATTTTCTCCAATTCAAACACTGTTTTTGGCGTTCTGATAAACAGCTTCGTGCGGCCGTATTTTACATCTGAAGAAAAGCTATTGTGATCGATGATGACAGCAACCCCATCTTTGTCGACGCCTTTGTAGTTAGGCCATGTTTCCTTCACAATCATTTTGTACCTGTAGATGAAATCGGATAAGCTTTCAGAGATCAAAGCTCATTAGCAGTGGTAGTTTGACCAGGCTTAGTGGTATACTGGCAGCCTTAGACTACAGTATTCTACATTAATCTCCTTCCCAGGGCTTTTTCCGTTAGAAAATGGGAAAAAGTCCTGGGCACGAGGTTGATTTTACACAGTTCCTCGCGCAGAGCTGACACAAAGCGTTTTTTACGCGGGAAATTTCGTAGCCATTCAACGAATCGGTTGTTTATCCTAAGACTCGGAAACCCGAGATAAATTTCGTAGTCTAAGCTATCACGGTTGAACTTTTGGACGTTTTCATTGCCATGACCCAGGATAAATTTATCGCGGGAAGGAGACCCTGTGTTAAAAACGGCCTAATCAAGCAAGAAAAAAGCGTAGTAAAGTGGCAACTATTGGCTTCTATTTTAGGTAACTTCACGTTAAGAGATACATTAGTGCATTTATTCCTATTACAGTGGATGTATGTGCTACCGTAAAATCTCAATTTCACGAACTTCTATACAACGAAGTCCTCGGTATAAGGAGCGATTTTGTTTTGCCCCAGGAATAGTAAAATATATGGAAAAGACCTCGATAAAACGAAACCTCCTTATTCTTGGTTTTCACCTGACGTCAACAAAATTCAAACTAAGAAACTATCGCTTCTTCTGAGTTTCTACTTTCATGTCGTATTTCAGCACCTTTTAAAAACCTTTATACAAACAAATTTTCGGTTCAAAAGGGTTCTTCGTTATGCGACACTGGACGCTTGAATTTCCAGGCTTTTGCGTGACGCGGCATTCAGCTGACGGCCAGGAAAGCTCTTATGTGGGTTAAAAACATCACCGATTTTGGGAGATTTTGCTATCTAAACATTCCTTGTCTTTTTGTGCCCCTGAAGGGGACACAAACCTGGCGTCTCCATACAAAGCTTTATAAACTTGGGTAAAACGTGTTTCCGAAAATCTTTCATATGAAATATTGCACAGATCTGATTCTTGGCAGGGCTTCTTTTTCCATGTTTATCTTCTTTCATTTCCAAGATTCTAGACTTTCCGTATTACAAGATTTCCATTTTTAAACCACCAATAGCGAACTTATTTTATTAGTCCCTTGGCCCTTTGTTGTATCGTGGTTCCACTGACTGTATATCGCCCCCCCTCTCCCTAAACACACATTCCTTGCACTCGGTTTTCGACAGTGTTATGTCAGCGGCTGACCTAAATAGTGCAGGTCGAGACGGATATTTCTGTGCAATCTGACAAAAAAAATCGCAAGGATGGTTGCGAATGTTTTAAATGGGAAATACTTTGAATGTGATAAACAGGCCACGACTGAGAGAAAGTTGTTTTCAAAATCCTTGAGCCTAACTGACCTTTGAAGGAAACGTTTATAATGCATCCTGAAAGCAAATCCGGCTCGTCGAACGCGTAAATTTTCCATCAATCCAAGATAATCCACCTGGAAAATAAGTAACTTGTTTTTAAAGAGGCTACGTCACGCTTTTTGCTATCTTTTCAAAAAGCCAGTACTTTTTTCTCAACAATTCAATTATAGAAATAAGGCTAAATTTTGGTTTATTTAAGACCATAGTCTGCTGCAACGGAAGACAAGGATGGACATGGATTAAAACTTTAAAAAGTCGGCTAGCTTTTTAAAATGCTATGCCTACAAAAACTACCATTAAATTATCATGGTTAGTGCTTGCTGATGAAATTTGTCATGTTTGATATCTTCTTCATAACTCTACAAGAGAATTTTGTGTATGGGGAAAGGAACTATGTAATTACTTTGGCATAGATTGACCTAAAAACAGCCGAATATCCTCGTGCATAGCCCGTTTAACCAAGTTTTTTCACTCACATTATCGACAATTCGGCTCTCGACGTACCTGATGGCCGACTCGTTTTTCGTCAAAAGCAGATGACGACTTCACATCATTAGGTTTGATACACCTGACATAGAATGGTTTCTGCAGAAGAAATAAAAACTAGTTGTTAAAACACGAGGTCAATTTCTTGTTACGCGATTGATCAGTTCCCTACTCCAGAAACTCGAGGGAGAATGGGTACGAGCTTTGGGTGCAGTGATTTCTGGGATTGTTTGGGTGGACAAGCGTTAGTTATGATTGGTCAATGGCATTCAAGGCAACCATTAACCAATAATATGCAACGCAGGCAACCATTAACCAATCATATGCAACGCTTGTCCACCAAAATAATCTCAGAAATCGATGCGCCAAATGCTTGTACCCATTTCCCTTATAGTTTATGGAATGGGGAATTTGTGAATTTGTAGGTTCGATTACCAGCCGCTACTCTGGAAAATGAGCCCGCACTCGAGAGCGGACCCAATTTGTTGTCCGTAAATTACTAAGAGTGTAGACGGAAATTTAAACGTAAAAGTCTTATCCGAGTTCCGCCACTAAATGTGGCGGAATGTTTATAAACAATTGTGCGAGATATAGAGTCGTTACCTTGACGGCTAGTTTTTCTACAAGAGCAATCATTGAATTCTTGAACAACGCTCCGGCTGTTGCGGGTCGCTGAGTCACCTAGGAAGGAAAGAAAAAAGACAGTCACTCTTGAGGGAGATTCAAGCCCTTTGGACGCAAGTTTATACTAACAAGCAAACGCAAAAGCAAACAAGAACGTTAGTTAGGCGAACTCTCCTGAGTTGAATTCTTAAGAGTATCCAATAAAAAGAGAAAGAGAAATTCGCCGTCGTATGTTCACGATGTCGATAAACGTGAAATTAGGCATTTCACGTCGTAGTCGTGCAGTGACGGCAAAGAAATGTGCAAAAAAGTATGATGGGCAAAGTTGTTGTTTTGCCATTCTTAACCTATTGCCTTTTTGACGCTCTCGTTGCCGTCGCTGTAGTGACATCTAAAACTCTCTATTTTTTCTGTGCGAAGTCTTTAATACCCAGGGAAGGGACGCTCTTTCCCAGGTGAGGCTGCGCACAGGCGTATAATTATAAACTATGGACTTGCAAACGTGCTCATAAATAAATAAATAAATAAATAAATAAATAAATAAATAAATAAATAAATAAATAAATAAATAAATAAATAAATAAATAAATAAATAAATAAATAAATAAATAAATAAATAAATAAACGAGAGTGCGTATAAATCCGTGCTTTACTAACATTCCTGTAGCGCCTTGGATTGTACCAAGAATCAGAATTAGGTCGTCCATATTTATGGTACATTTTAGGTGTCCTGGCCTGTTAAGAAGACGAGCAGCCACATTTATTTCTCTACTTTTAACCTGCAAGTATGCTCTCCGTTTAAGGGAATATCGCGAGAGGTCACGCCCGAGTGGCAAGTGGGCGAGAGGCGGAGATAGAGTGGAGAGCTCTCCTTACCCCCGCCGCCCCCTCCCCCCAACGCCTCGCGGCCTCATTGCTTGCTCGCGCGTTATTCCGAGGCTTGCTTCGCTCGCCACTCGTAATTAAGCCACTCTACTTACAATCTACTGACATACAAAATAGATAATTGATATCCTAGCGCATTTAGACATCTAACAAAACGTAATGCCTCGGTCTGCTCGCAACGTTCAAGATGGAAATAATGTTGCAGTGCATTCTAAACGTGTTCGAAGAAGAAGAACGCAATCACATTTCGCAGGCAGAAGAGGCAGAAGAAATCGAGGCATTTGCGGGGATTGTCACCGGCCCTCTTTACTTTTTTTTTCAGGGGCATATTTGTGAGGACTTTACTCCCGCTGTGCAAACTGTTTGCATCACATAGCCTTGTCAAATTCACCTCCCCGGTCTGTGATAACAATAGACAAGTCTGAAAAGTACATGTTAATATATTGAACCGGTATACAACCTGGGCCAGGTATGAAAATACAATCTTAAACAAAATAGACGGAAACTTAAGATCCCCATACCAAAATGAGGGATGGGAAAATGATGCGTTTTGGCTTTCGGGGAATGGGGGATTTGCTGTTCCACTTTATTCTGTCTAAGATGTAGTTTCCTGTATATGGATAAACTGCTGCGTAGCTTAATGGTGGAGTGATACAAAAAGTAACCGGAAGGAGTTAGGCATGACTCTTACTGGGAGGACCTTTAATTTTTTTTCCTAGTTCTGTGTACCTATTCTTTCTGGAGATGAAAATGGATTGCAAATTGATTGATTGCAAATTTGCGCTAAATTTCAGGTAATTTAGTTTACCTTCGTAATGTCTTCCTTTCCCTCGGGCCACATTTCTTTAAGAATCTTATGTGAGCTGCAAAATAACGAGAAAAAAAGCCTGTTCAGTCATCGAAGTCTTATCTCTCCTCATTCTTTCAAACTATGTTGACAAAACTGAAACAAAACAAGGATGAAAGAGGGTTAAGTCGCAGAGCCATAGGTTACCAACACGAGCCAGAGGTCACCAACACGAGCCACAGGTCAACAACATGAGCCACCGGTCACTAAGTCCCCCACCTTGTGTTTCACTGCAAGAGAAGTTACCTGTTGTAAAGGAGTCGCTTAAAATCTTGATACAAGTTATCCTTGTTTTTGTCCAGAAAACCAGTTACAGAATATCTGCAAGACAGAAGAAAAAAAATATGTTAAAAACTTAAACATCAATAAGGCAAGTACATGCTTCGATCAGCTCAGTGAAACCCTGGTTTAGCGATGATCTGTTAAGCAGACACTATCGCCTGATGAAGACCCGCAGTGTGCGGTCGAACCGTCGCGATCAATATCAAAGTGACAATCGTGAGACAAACGATAAAACTAAACCCTTTATAAGCATGATATAGTTGGAAAGGCAGTGATTTCAATTAGTTTTTCTGTTCCCTGATCATTATAAATACTTACATAACATCTCCAGCGTAATGCTTGATACAAAAATCCCTGTGAAATTCCATTGACTTGTCTGAAGGGTCAGTCTACAAAACAATACAAGTTTCCATTGAATCAAATGACACTGTTTCAACTCTATTGTCCTAAACTGGAAGGATATAAATGCATTGGTTCAATGACACCTGAAAATGAGTTGGTTTTTCCCTCTTGAACCCACACAGGCAAAACTAGGGGAGTGAAGGAGGTAATTCGTTTATCACAAGCGCGATAACCTCTTCATCTGAGATAGATTTTTATTCCGTTGCGACTAAGCCTGCGTAGTAAGAGTTTCCGATCGAGGTTTTGTGCGAAAGATGGAGAGAGAGAGAGAAAGAACAAAATAAAAAAAAGAAAAAAGAAAGAAAAAAGGAAGAACTCCTCCCCCTTCATTCCTCTTTTTTGTTCTTGATCAACTTGCTCCAAGACAGTTGTAAAGGCAAAATCACAGCAATAAACCAATACACAAATATAATTATCCATTTGAGTTTTTTTCTTTGTTGTTTTTATAAATTCGCAAATGTTTTCTACGAAGGCAGGTATCGACTCTGTTTCACAGACCATTGACAGTTTTCCTTTGTCTCAAAGAGAAAAACAAATTGTATTCTCAGTTGAATGGTTTATTCTTTCATAAACTACAGCTCTCGACCAATGAGGAGGGAGAAATCTCTCAGTTTGAGTAAAAAAAAGGTGATGGACATATGACCCGTGGCTGGTCAATAATTCAGTGCAATCACATGATATGCTCCAACCCAAAAAATGAATTTTACAAAAACAACATTTCATTTACCAGTCTGCTTCTGTAATGTTCATGTTTGCCCAGTTTCTGGTCCATTGTCTGCAGTAACATCTATAAATACAGGAGCAGCAAATATTGAAACCCTTACACATACTGACCGAGGGTGCTTAATTAATCATTCCACTTCTATGAGGTTTGCAATAAATCTTCTCTCCCACAAACATTTATAAAAGTTAGGAGAATACAAAACCTTAAGTTATAAGAGCAGTTTTCTATCTAAATAGTAAAACGAAAAATGCAGAACAGTACGTTATAATCTTCAATTCCTGTCTGTGCCTTCGACTGTTTTATGTGGACATTTTAACATTTCCCTTGATTTAGTGGACAGTTTCTGATGGCTGGATTTGGTTAAATTGCTATGCAGCTTATTTGAGACAAAATGTCATCACAACAAAACTTTCATGCACTTACAAGTTAACATTCTAACTCACCTGGTCAGAGACCTTGCCAATATTCCTACATCCCTCATCCATAATTGATAAGACTCCTTTGTGATTCTGCTCAATCAGGTCACAGATTATCTTGTTGTTGAAGTAATCAATCTTAAATCACAAATAAATAGTACAATAATATTACTGAGGAACTGTCACAAATGGTGATGTTTAATCTAGTCCAAGCAATATTTTTGTATTATTCTCCAGTGTAATCTTGGAAATGAAATATGAAAAGTATAGGGGATGTGATGGGTAGGGGCTGGGGGGCATTGGGGGACATAATTCTCTGCTTTTTTCTTTGGGGGTTGAAAAATCATGTAACTTCTCATCTGCCATACCCTCAAGAGTTTAATGAAATGAAGTAGGAGAGAAGACAAGGGTGGAGGAGAGGATTATTTCAAATATTCAACCAAAAATGCAGTGGACGTTATGAGAGAGGACACCAAATCCTGGTTCTGCAGTAAGCCCTTCTAAAGAAATTGGGCAGACTGTCCACTATTTAGAATGTTAATTCTACAAAATTCTCTAAAAAAATTAGAAACATTCAAGATGGTCAACACAACAAATGTGGTAAAAAGATAATTATTTCATATCAAATGTGAGAAGCACTTTCAAAGAAATATTTGGATATCAGAATCAGAAACATCACAGATTATCAAACCCCAGAACAAAGGATAACAAATATTGAAAGAGGGATTAAATTTAACCAAATGAAGACAACTACAAATCCCACGAAAGGGCTTAAGTTATGTAAAGTGGAGTAAAGTGAAGTTTTAAAAGTTACCTCTTCCCACTGGATTCCCTCTCTTCGATATTCCTCCTGCTCCTGTTTAAGCACTAGCTCAATAAAGAGCTGCTGAAGTTTTTCATTGCAATAATTGATGCAGAGCTGTTCAAAGCTGTTACTGTCAAATATTTCAAAACCATAAATATCCAGCACACCAATCACAGTGCATTTTCCATGTGACACAATGTCACGCAGCTCAATGATGTCATTGATCTTACTGACAATCCAAGTAAACAGACGATCGTACATTGCCTGAAACAATCAAAATTTGATGAAATTTGAATTAGGTATGGGACCCTGGAGGGGGGTACTCCCTTATAAGGCCTACACCGGGACATAGTTAATAAAATGGAATGGTTATGAAGCCCGACAGACTTCTTTGTTATTATATTAAAGTTAGGATTTTTAGACTTTACCATGCACAACGTTCAATAGCATTCCTATCATTTTGAACTTACTGACCAATAGAAACATTGCGTTAATTTATTCAGTCACAATTTGCGAACAAAAATCAAAGGATTGTGCACGGTCAGGGAGCTTCCAACATAAACTACAGCAACATTGTTTTCAACTTTGACGTTTGCTGGCTTTCATAACCAGTCTCCTCTACTATGACACGGACAGGCCTCCTGGATGCAGTCCTGAACACAAATGTTTTTTCCCTTACATCATGGCTAAAACTATATGGCAATCACTTCTGCTTTCAAGGAACAGTTGGTTGCAGTTATGATTACTGGTTTTTAACATAATTTATATTTGTGTCTTCCATTACTCTATCTGTAATCAAAATGTGAGTGATTGTATTGGATAATGTACGCATCTTTGTTAAATGAGGCAGGCCCAAAAGAGCCTTGGAAACTGGACAGGAAAAAGGAACAAAACTGCTAAACAGCATAGATTAATTCCACAGTATCCATAAAATTGCAGACCATCTGATACTGTACAACCACTTACGCAGGTTAAACTAGCCAGTCTGCCTGTTCACAGACCTTCCTTTTCTTTTAAGAGACAGTAAAGTACGTGTATGGAAATGAAAATTATGGGAGATTTCTTGACCACTGGCACAGGGCGGTGGCAATGAGCAAAGGAGAAAATAAAATTTTCTTTAAGCTCCACGTTCGTTCTCATATGCCCCACTCACAAAAATTATTCATTGAAAGAGAAAGGAAAAAATGACTGTATGTGAACAGGCTGAGGTTAAACTAAAATATAAATTCCACAATGGCACTAAAACTAAGATGATACTACATAATTTATACTGCAAACTCTTTTAACACCCCTCTGAAATTACTCCAGCCCATGATTCCTTATATTACCATGCATGCTTATTATTTACCTTAGCTAAAGCATCTCTGCCATGAGACGCTTCCTTGGCATGATGACCTTTGTCTAACACCTCTGATCCAGCAGCAGCTACAACACGGTAGCATAGTGCTTTCTCTACTAGTCTTGGCTCACTTCCAAGGAGATACGAAAGAACATTAAGCTCTTCATCGCTGTTCACAACTGAAGCCTGGTCTTTTTCATCATCAACAAACTGTAAATTTCCCTGTAAAAAACAACAGAGAATTGTTTTACACATTCAAGTGAAGTAATCATCGATCGATCTTGATTTTTTCCTAACTACTTCTTTGGGAACCAAAACGCAGCAGACACTCAAGACGGTGTCCAGCAACAATATTTATCATCCAGCTAGGGTGATACGAGTCTTACAAGGCAGGAAGTTTCATTTGTCATGGCTACAACAAATGGGAATGGGACACATCAAATTTTTGCAGGTGCTGCACTCAAAGTAGATAGATCGGATAGTATACTACTACTACTAATTTTTTTCACATTTGGGACTATTACATTGTTTTGGGGAAGGAAAAACCAGATAATCTAACATTGTCATGGTGGAGTTGACAGCTTGCGCAGCACAGCACCAGGGTAAATAAATGGTTATCTATGATCCAAGAAATTTTGGTGTCAAAATCATGGTTGTATCACAGGCTCAGGTGTACAACTCAATGAGGTAAGGTGTTTTTTGTTCTCTGTTGACCAGTTAATGGTTTTAAATTGATTGCAGGCTCAGGTCTATTTTTTCAGGAGGAATTCAGTTAGCTTCTTGCATAAAGTGAAAGTTTAGTAACTGAAGAAAGATTCCATGAGAGCTTTGCTTTTGGCCTTGGCTTAATCTATATATAAACAGGGCCATTAGAACCTTCAAAAAAGGCCAGCTGAGTAGGTTTATAAGTACTGAGCCCAGGAGCCTAGACAACTACATGAAATTGAAAGCTTTGGTTACGTCCGTCTTTAGGAGGCCTGTTTAATAAGCCCATGCAAGTGTAATGGAGTGTTTACAGTGAAAACAAATTCACATACCAAATGAAGAATTGCAGAGATTATTTTCCAGATTGTCTTGGTTTCATCACTAGAGAATCCCACAGACTTCATTGCATCACAGTTCACTTTGTAATCTGTTTTGTCATTAATTGTCTTCAGCTGGTAATGTGAGCAACAATTCAATAAATTAGCACACAGTTCAACTTACATATAAGTCAATAAATACAGCCACTTCATCATCACGTAACAAACCAATATTTATTTAATCTTGAAAATCCCCATGAAGACAAAAAATTTTTTAAATAAAAACTAAAAAACCATCTGATAGGAAAATCCATCGTAAGAGTGCTTCTATGCACGGTCCATGGAGGGTATCTTGAAAACAAAGACCTCCAAGACCCCCTAAGACCACTTAATAAAATTAATGACTCTGAACTTTATTGATTAGGGTTAGGAAACTGAGTGAATCAGGTTCCATTTAAGTCCTTATACAGGACAAACTGACCTGAAAGTTGATTAACTCAGTTTCCTAACCCTAATCTTAGAGGATCTTAAGGGTCTTTGTTTTCAAGTCACAAACTTTTAATTAAGCCTCTTTTTAAAGTTAATACAAAAGTTAAAAAAAATACAGTAGAACCCTGGTAACTTGAACTCTGAAGGGAATCAAAAAACAGTTTTAGTTGGCAGCTGAGGGGTTCGAGTTATCGGAATCAATTGAATTTTCAGTTTTCCACTTTAATAATTGATAGTTTATTCAAATTTTTCAGCAACTTCAGTTTATAGTACTTTACAAATTACTTATTTACAAAAAGAATGATAATGGAATGGCATCTGTTAGTTGCACCAGTCAAAACAAAGAACCAGAAGCGTTTTACAGAACTATCAGGGAAAATAATTCAGTGAAAAAAATTTTGATCATGGCAAAGAAAATTTAGTTTGAGTTAGCGGGGAATTCAAGTTATCCAAGTTCGAGTTAACCGAGTAAAAATGACTGAAAAGTGGGACTCAGTTCGAGTTAGCACGGAGTTTGAGGTATCCAAGTTCAAGTTTTTTTCTTCAAGGTTCTACTGTAATAGCGGTAATTCTAACTAACACTCCACCAGGAAATAAATAGTTACAAGGGAAAAGGTACTATAAACTAACCTCAAAGACTCCTCCTTGATTAACAAAGTGATAATCTTCTGGTTTCTTGTCAAGGTACAACTCACTGAGGACTTCCTTTGGAGCTCCATGAAGCAACTGAAATTAACATATAATGTCAAACACTCAATTCACTAGTTGAAAAAAAAAAACACATCTAAAACACTCACCAAAGTGACAACTTTGAGATGATCTCATATGGTTGACATTTTGTAAAGAAATGCTGGTCCTTTAAACACAGCATTAAGCAACTTGAACATGACTTTTAAGTAAAAATTAAAATTTTTCTTATTTCTTCTTCTTAACTGAGATTCACTATGTTTCCGACACTCTTTATTTTACAGTAACCCTGCAAAATTGTTTCCCAGAAGTACGTATAGGATAGTTTGCCAATGACAACAAGATTATGTCAGTCTATGACTCAGTTTACATGGTGCATCCCATGGCGCATCCCATAGCATCCATGCACTTGGCTACCAGTAACAGTTAAGTCATTTTTGGTTTAATTGTTGTCAAGGCTTAGTCGTGGAGGCATGGTGCCTGTATAAACTGAGCAGTCAACACCTTAAACTTAAGATCTGAAGATCTGGGTTCAAGTCTTGCCATTGCGTTGTTTCCTTAGACAGAAACGTGGCTCCACTTTGTCTCTCTTCACCCAGGCCCCAGTTATTTGAAGGGTAGATAACCCTTAATCCACCACATAAATCTCTCTCTCTCTCTCCAGTTTAAAAACATAGGTGTAATAGTCGATTTCCCTGATACTTATCCACTGAATACTGCTTTATCCAGAGGATCATTATTGTGTTAAATCCACTGGATAGAGATTTATTCGGTGGATAGCACTATCCATTGTTTGATCAACAACTAGGGCCAGGTGTATAAAATGGGTCCTGGCAATACACTGCTGAGGGTAACCTTGCAATGGAATAGCATACTGTCCAGGGGCGATTAGAAATACTCCTGGATACTGTTTTGATAGCTGCTCTCAAAGCAGGGGTAAAGCACCAAACATACACACCGCATGGTTTTTGTGCACCTTTGCCCTACCTTTCAGGACTTAGCCATTTTTTCTTTGTCTCATGGTTCACGAAAATGGAAAGTACATTGTTTGTAAATTTGTTTTATGTAACCAGGCTACCTTTAATGATCTCCGCATGGACTTTAGGAATCTTTGAACAGTACATTTCATTTGTTGACACTTAGTACCATAACAACTTGATTACCTTTAAATGGATATCACCTAGCTAAATTAGTGCTAAAAAAAGATATAGGCTCCAACCTGGTAAAATGCATGAAAATTTCTCTCCCCTTCTTGCTGCTTAACAATTCTTGACTAAAGAAAAATGTAAAAAAAATGTACAAATTAAAATTTCTGTCTTTCATCTAAAATTACCACAGGGCTGTGATCAAGAGGCAGGGCACATTTTTCTGCCCACAGAAAATTTTGAAATTTCAAAGAAGATGTAGCTTTTCATTTATCAGTCACACAAACAATTCCTACAAGCAATGAACAAATGATGAAAACTAAACTACGTACTTTTGCACATAAGCAAATTCTGCATGGCAAGCATAATGTAAAACCAGTGGGCCTTTATGAAAACACATCATAATTACATTTTCATTCAGATTTTATGATATATTTTTTGTTTGCAAAATTATTCAAACTAGTTGCTTACTTCTTTCTACACATAGAAAAAAATAGCTGACCTCTATGAGCAAAGTAGCCGAAAAGTTTGGTCGGCTGTGGGTGCTTATTGAAATTGCCCCTGTATCATCAAAAATTACAAGGCCCAATAATGTTCAATTTCAAACCTTTTCTAGAAGGTAATTGAAAATGTGTCCACCCACAGGATCTCCCTTGAAATCAAAGTCAATATCCATGTACTTTCCAAATCTACTGGAATTATCATTTCTGTTTGTGCGCGCATTGCCAAAACTCTCCAAAACTGCATTGGACTTCAGAAGAACATCTTTGACCCTGCAAATATTGAAATCATGCAAATCATTTTAGGTTTAAGTTTGATATTCTTTGAAATCTCATTTCAATATACCTGGTGACCTCTAGTGCCTTACTTTTGATCTTGGGTGACTAAAAAATGTACCTGCCAACATTTTCTGAGTCAAACGTGTGAGACTTTCGTCTTGTCGTGACTGGGATTTCTGAAATCATCCCACAATTTTTCAAAGACTTCCGAATGTTGCCAAAAATGTCCAAAGATGTTCTGACAACCTCAAGCACCTCCGAAGCTTTTGAAAGGGACAGTTTTAGTTTGCTTTGAAACAGTTACGACACAAAGTCAATATTGAGTGCCTTTTTGGAATATTTTTGTGGAAATTGTTTCAATTGAATTTCGTTATTAATCATGTATTGAAGAACAATGACTAATTCGTCTGGATCTGTGGGCCAGGCTTGAGAAATTGTCCTTTGGTGATGTGTAAGAGCGATGTCTTAAGTTCACAGGCATGAGACTCACACAAAATTGGTAAGAGTTGGCAGGCAAAAGAAATCTTAGTTTTTTCATGGTTAACATATGCTAGGCACCCTGGATTTCACAGGTTAAGAGCATTGGGTCGTGCTTCCCAACACTGGTAATCTAATTGGGCTTGACTAGCACAGGCAACCTCAGCTTAAAATTTGAAAGTGAATGGGAGGAAAAACTAATACTGACAACTCTCACTGTCACATAACTAGGCATCAATAGGAAAAATTTCCCAATAAAGTGTAAATAAACTTGAGAGGGATTGGCCCAGCAATATGTCTCGCGATTGTGAGTGCTACAGTACTGTCCTAACTGTGGGGTGATAGTATCATGCACAGGGACACCAGTTACTGACAAACAAAGACAGGGAAGTATAACAGAAATGATAAAATCTGATTAGAAAATTTATGCCCTTTCCACGCCCCCCTCCCCACCCCCTATCTGAGAACAAATGTTTCCTAGTGATATATTTACTGAATAAATGTCTAGTCAACACTGTAAGGTGAATGGCATTTTTTTTTCATTATAAGCTCATTTTAAGCCCTAATTATTTCTTTAAATTAGTCAGATTGCTTGGGTCACCTGTTCTTGCTGGTCTAAGAGTTTTTACGAAATTGGCTGCTACTTCTGAAAAGCATCTATTAATAACAAGTTACATAATTTATATAGAGACTAGCCTTTCAACTTCAGACTGTTTTGAGACATTAGTAACAGCAGCGATGTACTTCATGATTATTTTTGATGCTTCTGTTTTCCCTGCACCACTTTCACCTGAATAAAAGGAGAAAATACAGCAAAACACTCAATTATGACAAAACCAATTATAAAAGAATAATTTTGTCTATATGTATCATCGACTATAGCTGTCTCATCAGTGCTTTTTTATCAGCCTCAGCAGGGCTGTCACTAAGATTTCAAGTTGCTAGGTATATAAAGGTAGTGGGTGTGAATTGAAAAGCTGGGAATTTCTTTTGGTTTTATTTTCCTTTTGTCTCCTGTAAAGTAGCTGGGGGTTGAGCTGAGAGTACAAAACACAGATCACAGGTCACAAGTGCAGGTTAGAGTACAGGTCACCGTGCTACGGTAAAATTAATACACAATACTAAAAAGTGTCTCCTAGTCCTAATCACAATCTAAAAGAGAATTTTAGCTGAAGGGGAAACTATCTATCTCAGTTATTTATAGCCGAGCTCTCCCGCACGAAGTGCGCAAAGCGGAGTACCTGATGGGTAAGGAAATTTGGTAAACTATACATCCTGGAAATTTTGGTTCTGAGAAAATCGTCAGTATGGAGTACGTCCGTACGTACATCCACCTCTTCATGTCAGCTGGGGTGAAATTTTGCATTTCTAGTACCCGTGCATTTCGGCAGTAAATTGCATAGCCACCCGGTCTTTTAGAGATAAAAAACAACAACAACGAAGCCGATTCTTTCTTTCGACTTAATATTGAAGTCTACATTGGAGTGGATAACAGAGAAAGAGCTAGAGCCAGAGATAAAAAACAAAGGAGATCAATTTCATTTTAAGAATAACATGAAAATTTTATAGCAGCTGTGACAAAATGAGAAATGCTAGCAGCCACTAAGGTTAAAATGCTCGGCAGTGAAAAAAAAAGTGAACAGGACCACATACAACATTTCCTCCATAAAATGTTTAAGTTGGAAGTTTCTGGAAGTTTCACGTTGTCATCATGCAAAACAGCAGCAAAGAAATGTACAAAAAAAAAAGTGTGCTGTGAAAAAGTTGACCTTTTGCTAAGTGACCTGCACTTGGTTAGCAATAAACAGTTTTATATTTTGTTTCAGTAAACTATAGATATTAAAGAGAGCTTTGCTTTTAGCCCTGGCTAAATCTATATATTATCAATGGAGCAGTGACCTGCACTTGTGACCATCCAGTGACCTGTCTTTTCTGGTATTTTTGGATTATGCTCATATATAGTAGCTGGGGGAAATCCTCTGCCTCCAGCCCTCAGTGATAGCCCAGCTGTCAGGGCTGCACTCTACTTGTGTTTACTTTTATATTTTTGAAAATTTTTATGAAAGATAATAAGAAATGTTGCAATATACGTATCCTGAATTATTGTAAAATTATGGACAAACACATTTCAAACGTGCAGTGTAGGATCATTGCAGCTAAAGGTGTAACTTACGCAGTTACAAAAAGAAAGCCTAAAAAATTCAGGCTTGTTGGGATTCAAACCCTGACCTCTGTGATACCGGTGCAGCACTCTAACAAATTGTATTAAGAATAAAGATATTTTAATAATCATAAATGTAACAAAATTCTCAAATCTGATTAGCTATTAACTGTCCTGATTTAAGCACAAATAGGACAGTGTAATAAGACAGTACACGTCATGCCTATTATAAAGTACTTGCCATCGCATGTGGGACTTAAATGGCTTTTTTTCACTGCTAGCAAAAAACTCTCAGAATTTCTTGTGTTTTAATTTATCTACAACAACCTAAAATATCACAAATTTTGTTATAGTTATGATTAATTGGTAACAGAACTTCCTGTCGTCCAATTTGGTCGGTAATCATGTCTCATGATTAAACAAATAATTATTGGACTCCCACTACGCAGTCATCGAATTTTCTTAATCATTTGTATGATTACAGACAGAATTGGACTCCACTCAGTCCTATTACCATTATTAAGACCATTTGGTAATGCACAAAAAGGTGCATGTAAATTATTTGGAATTTTAAGCAGGACACAGTATATGCCAAAAAAAGTCTATCATATGGCATATTATGCAAGTTCTCTCTGCAGCTCAGACTTTTTCCCATTCGAATGCTGTCATCAGATTCAAGGCAACATGGGAAATTTCAGATATGCAATTCAGAGCAAAAAAAGGAACCTTATCTTCACATTAAGATTCCCTTTGTAATTAGTACCATAAAATTTTTGGTGGATTATGCAATCAGATGTGATTTGAGATTGTGTTAAATTGTACCATCACAAAGCCCTGATGGATTAAAGGGGCTGTGTCACGGCAGTCCAGTTCATTTTGTTTAAGTTTGTCAATTACTCGCCCTCAATTGCTATGTAACTTAACGTAAGCAAAGAAATTACATGTAAATGACAAAATCAGAGATCCGAGACAAACAAATATGTCTCCTGAGTATTATTTTTGAAGTTGCAAGCAGCAGGGATCAACTGGACATGGATTAAAACTTTAAAAAGTCGGGTAGCTTTTTAAAGGGGCTGTGTCACGGCAGTCCAGTTCATTTTGTTTAATTTTGCCAATTACTTGCTGAGCATTATTGAAGTTGCAAGCAGCAGGGATCAACTTTGAAAAACTGTTAGGCTGAACAGTTTTCAAAAAACCTAATTTCAACCCTTTCAATCTTCTTCAGTTTGGCCCATCTGTGGCATCTGTTGTTTCTGTTATGTTATTTTAACCTTCCTTTAAAGTTTTAAGCAGTTATTTTTATGTTTCTCTTAACTTTAACGGAAATTTTGTAATTTCCTAATTTTGCTGAATTTCGTGACACAGCTCCTTAAACGACTGTCCCCTTTTTTTCTTTTCTTTTCCCTTTCTTCAGTTAATGGGAGTATACTTTTTAACACCACGACATTTTTTAATTAACAGTTTTCAAACATATGAGAACATTTAAAAATGAGTGAGTATGCCACACGGACCAGACCATTTTAAAGTCTAATCTAGATATCAACTAAAGAGTCAAACCTGTCGTGAATAAAAAAGTCTTTTTAATTAACTGTGACCAGCTGTTTATATCACCCTGAAGGCATTATTTTTTATCTTGCCGCTATAGCTATATTTTGCATTATATATATTACACGTCAAATTTGATTTCAGGTTAAAATGTTTTATTCTAAGTTTTATTCTACTGGGGCTATAGCTCACACTCCAAGCTCGGAGGTAAAAGAGGTTGAGAATCAACCTAGGCTAAATCAAAATTAACCTGAAATCAAATTTGAACTGAAACAGAGAATTTTATCAGATGATACCAAATTTTTAAAATTCTCATCTGATCTTCAAGATCACTATTCAAATGTTTTTCTGATATAGTTTTCCAGTATTTAATTTGCCATTGATATTAGATTGACTTCAGGTCAATTTAGATGGTATACCGCACGAAACTAAATTAGTTTTCTTCTAGCTGAATTCAGCAGATTTTTATTATACTTCTTGGTAGGTAACTGTTCCAGATGGTAAAATACTTTGTAGAGGTTGCAAAGCAACATAATAATAAGAACGAATTATTGTTTTTATTAGCATGTGCTTATGGCGCTGTGACAATGTATAATAAATTATATATTTGCTTGCACTGCACAAAAACAACATAAAGAGCTGCATTATTAAGTTCTAAGAGAACTGAGAATATAATGAAAGAGTAATCCAAATGCCCTTTAAATGCAAAAAATACTCAGCTAATATAAATGGAGAGAATTACAGAACTAAAATCTATAGTTGACAGGAGTATGTTAAATGTTATCTTAACTCATGCCTAAAAGGAAAACCATTAATGAAATTAATTGTACTAGATGATGTAAATGCTATTAATATAAAACCACATAGTGTAAAGGGCCAATCGTTATCAAGATCTTTATCAGCTGAAGATGTTTCAAAGAAAGTAAAACTGAGATAACAATCTGACTGTACTAAAGCTGACCTTTGTGGTGCAGGAAGAACATAAAAAAATTAAAGCTTACATAATTGTGAATCATAACATAAATGCATGTGATCTACACAGTGGTCTTCTGACATTCTTTAAAAGAGTTTTTTTTTAACCCAGTACATAACCTTCTAAACAGTGTTTGTTTTAATCATTTTACCAGTCCAAGAAGCAATATATTTTTTACCAATCATATAAACTCAGTTATTTTGGAAAAAAAGCCAAAAAAAAAAAATAGTTTACTCAACCATTTTCAACCTGATTTACGAGTACTGGAGAAGTCATAATTTTTTTTAAAAAAGTTTCCAATATGATATTTGTTATGGTTGTACAAACTTGAAACTTATTCAAATAATACACCATAAAAGACTGACAGCTATGGCTTTAATTATTTTTTGACCGTGAAGAAATTGAATATTAAACATTGAAGAGATAAAAATTGGAAAATAATTCATGCAAATAATTTTACGGTTTGTTGACAGTTTTGAAACCCAAAAAATATTCTGGACTTTTCTTCAAAACTGAAAAGGGATGGTTTTCTTTTTCGAACACTAATGTCGAAACTGTTAAGGGTCAATTTTCATTGAGTTTTCAAAAAAAAAGTTTTCGAAAAACTTTTCCTAGATACTTCAATTTACTTTAAGAATTTCATAACGTACAAGGAGTTCAGACGTCATTCCAATATAAACAAAAACAATTTAAACCGATATCTGCAGTTACCACGCAAACTATGCGCCTAAAAAGGCTGAACTTCCGATTGCTGATATACTGATTGTCTACACAAACACCACAAGTATTGTTTGACCAAAAGATTCATACCACAGAATTCTATTTCGAGTAAAGATCAAGCCTACTCTAAAAGCTCTTGGATGAAATTAATTGTTACGAAACCTCTGATGAATAAATTAGATGAGCGAACCTAAATAAAAACAGTCTTACCTGAAATAACGATACAGGTGTCTTCTGATCGTCTTTTCATCGTTCGGTAGGCAGCATCAGCCAACGCGAAAATATGCGGCGGCCTTTCATACATTTCTCTCATCTTGTATTCCTGAATCTTGTCATTTCCAAAAATGTTCAAAGTCTTGTATGGATTCACGGACACAAGCACTTCGCCGATGTAGGTGTAAATTCGCTCCTTCTTAAAGCGAAGCTTGAGATTTTTCATAAATTCGTCTTTGGTGATTTCGTCCAGAAGGAGAAAATCACCTTTGCCATACTCCAAGCTCTCTTGCTCCGCCATCCTTCGAGCTTGGTTCCGAACAGAGGATTCAAATAAATTACAGTGAACTAACTATCTACAAGCTTTCCATCGGCATTCAATCTATTGAACCTTCTGATTGGTTAAATGTAAGCACTGCACCAATCACAGCCTCCGATATATCGTAATCACTGACCCGGCGAAAGTGGGCGGGAGAATTACAAAAGTTTTCAAAGCAAAATTAATCCTCTGGCATTTTTTTATCTTTCGGCAGATCACATACAAAAGCCCAGCCTTTCCGTTCCCAGCGTATTAATTTTGTTGCCAGCGAGATCACGCGAAATATAAATATAAATTAATGAGGGCACTCTTCACAAAGTCAGGAATGCCTTTGAGCGGATTGAGTGCCCATTTAAGGTCATCTACACAAGATCGAATTTCATTTGACGTATTTGTGCAATTATTAATAAATTGGCAAGGGCAATATTATTTTTGATCAAGAGCCATTATGGCTCTTGTTTTGATGTAATATTTGACCGTAAAGAGTAACATTTAAGTTTATTTTATTAATTATATTTTAAATTTACGTGTATATTTTAGAAGAAAAAACTTAACCTGGCATCAGTGGTCTTGCAGGGTTAGTATTTTTAAGTTCTAAGGCCAAAAAAACAAAGTATCATATTAATAAGCAAAGGTTTGGAATGCATTAAGCTTACATTATGACGTTTTCACCAAAAGGGAATGTCGCAAGAATGTTACAAAGCAGATATCTAATGTAATTTCAAGGGGTTCTGTAGCCAATCCGAGCTTTGCATTAATCACGGGATTAATCCGCATCGTTGCACAGGGTCTCTTCATGTTCCAAATGCAATAAATTTCCCAAGTTCCTTTTACCAAAATTACTGTGTGAGGTCGTGTAACTCACCACATCAGAAGAAAATGGGAAAGAAACAAAAGGAATGACGAATTAATGAAAAAAAATTAAACAGTTTCCGGTTTTATAAACTGATCGGTTTAATTAGGCTATTAAACCATTGTTCCTAAATAGCAAGGGCCCCGGGGGGGGGGGTACTTTAGGAATTTTGGGTGGGAGTGTGCCGCTGGGACCCTAGAACCCTTAACCTTTACCAGAGCTAGTTGAGCTGAATTTTGCTACCCTATACTAGAGTAAACTGCCCAAATCTCCCCTATCCTAGAGTAGCTGTTTCCCTGGTCTAGATAAAATCTTCAACCAACTGATCAATTTCCTGAAAAATTATACCCTATTCTAGACCCAAACGCTCTGATTTATATACCCTATCCTAGAGTAAACTGCTTGAAAACCATACCCTTCACAGCGGCACATACCTATATAGCCCATATATGGCAGTGCCCCGGGGGCAAGGGCCAACGTAGAAAACAAAGGTGCCGGATCCTAATTAGCCTCCCACGCAGGCGTTTTTAGGGGAGCTCGTATTTCTTCGCTCCCCATAAACGCCTGCTCAACGGAAAACAACATTCCTTTCTCATTGTTTTATTTGCGTGGTAGGTGACCAATCAACAATTGTGCAATGACGTGTTGACAGGCTAAACACGACTGAACGTGACCTTAGAGTTACCGTTTTCCTTCTTTTCTTTCCTTCGCTAAGGTTATGCAGTGCACGGAGTATTCTGAATTTTTACTAAAACTTATTTTTGCCGCTCTGAATCTAACATTTATTGCAGGTCAGAAAGCTTTCCCAGTGTTTAATGCAGATCGAGTAATTATCAGATTACCTTGCGGTCAAGGTCAACTTTCCAGAATTTGGAAAGTACAATGTGATTGGCTAAGCTTGGGAAAGGAATGTTGTTTTCCGTTGAGCAGGCGTTTGTGGGGAGGGAAGAAATACGAGCTCCCCTAAAAACGCCTGCGTGGGAGGCTAGATCCTAATGGATCCAGCCAGCAAAATTTTTGTTTAGTTTTTTAAAATTATTTTGTGCTTATTTAACTTTGGCCATTATATTCTCTTGAATATTTTACCAAAAATTGCTACTAGGAATAATCACCAGGAATCATTACAAAGTGTTTTAGATCGAGACCGATATATATCTGACTGGGTTTGATAGAAGGGCCTGCAATCAGTCTCGAAGAGAACTAAATCTAGGCACCAATTCCTCACCCTCCCTACCCATGACAGTCACTACTAGTCAATCACTGCCACTTTATCATGAGCGCAATGATTTGTTTGGGCTAGCCCTCAGGGAGTATTCCTTAACCTTGCAATGCTTTCTACGGTAACTTGAAACTCTAATTAGAGTGTCAAAAGGTTCCCCTTCCCTACCCCGTTACTTTTGACACAGAGCTGCTAGCTACCCACCCACAGTCAGGTCTGTCCCTTGCCTGCACCAAGCTTGACGGAACGCCCCTCCCTAATTTGTTCGGGATTTGTTTCGGCTACGTACGCTGGCTTAAAACCAGGCGATGCTTGAGTTCAAGCAAGAGAGGATACTAACCTGGCGGGCACGTTTTAGCAGATTCAGACAGATATGCACAGCGCCTGAAAGATTTCAATACTGAAATAAAATCCTCAACTGTGGAAAGTTTTCAGCGATCAATGACTTTTATTTATATCTTCGGACTGAATCGGTAGTTTATCGTTAGGCAGCGAACTTCAATGAAACGGGATTCACCTAATCAAATTGCAGGAACGAAAACAGCACACGGAACCGAACTGGTTCCGAACTGGCGAAAAGCGCGGGAAGTCGCGGGAAATTAGTTTAGTTGGCATTTTTTCCAAACAGCACACAAAACGACATGGTGCGCTGGCAAACGTTTTTATCAATTTTCCTTCCATCTGTTGTAGAATCTGTCTGTACAATGTTTTTCGTTTTGATCGGGTGCAGTTCAACCATCACCTGGCCGCAAGAAGAAACTGGCCCAAACCTCGTCAGCATTTCTTTGTGTTTTGGTCTGTCGTACGCATTTTTGGTGAACATCTCGAATTGTTTTAGCAATGGATTTATTAACCCTGCAATAACCATGGCATTAGTGGTGAACAAAACTCTGTCAGTGACAAAGGGTTTTTGCTTCATTTCGGCACATCTTGTCGGAGGTAAAATTTTCAGTCAAGTTTAATGAGGGTGTCTAAGAATAAGTGACTTAAATTTTCAACAGCGATGATTGGTGAAAACGGTAAAAGCTAGTTTAAAAAGTTATAATTGAAACTTTTCATTGGCTCTGACTTGCATGCATGTGACTTTGCATGCATTAAATGCAATGTTTGTATCTTCAGTGTTGTAAAAAGGTGTACTAATGATGTACTGACTGAAACAAGGCTCTACTAGCAGGGGATGTGTGAATTCTTTCAAGATTGCACGAAAAAGAAGGAGGATAATTTTACAGTACTGGCAATTGACATCACTAATATACCTGTCAGTATTGCCTTTGTTGATTCAATTTGTCCTGCCAAATCAGACTAAATTCACTGTATAACCCCCCTTTTTTGAATATGAAAAAATTAAATGGTACAAGGAAGATTGTCTTTTTGATTTGCACTAAAAGTGTTGAAAAAGAATAATAAATATTCATTTTTGGTAGCAACGAATGGTGCAGTGGTGTGGATGTGCTACCTCCAAATCATCATCATCATCACTATCTGAACCCACTACTTGTTAGTGCCAACCCAGTGAAACCTTTCATTTCAAACAGTGGCAAAGTAAAAATGAACAAAAAAATCCAAAATTCGTTTTTTGATAATCATAACAAGTACTCTGCAAAAGTTCTGTCCAGGAAGTTTCATTTGAATGGTTACATTATAGTTCATCCACAGAATGTAACCTTAAACTGAGAATCATCTCAACATAACTTGGATAAGTTATTTAGAGTGAAGGGGTTAAAATGTCATTTGTGATTGCCTTGGAGACTGCTTTAGACTGTAGCTTTAGGTTAACATAACTGAATCTAAAATTGCCTCAGGTTTATGTTCTGGTAATTAACAAGCAATTAAGGGAAAGAAAATCAAACTTTGGATGAGCAACTGGACGAAAATGTAAGATGCAGATAAAGAAACAAAATAAAAGCACTAAGATCAATATTTTCTTCTATTTTCAAGCTGTGATAGGAGCAGGACTTCTTTATTTGATTGTACCTTATGAGAGTCACGGTTTGCTTGGTGTGTCCCACATGAAGTCTGTTGCACCCCTGGTTGGTTTTGGAGTTGAGTTGCTGACGTCTTTGGTTGTAATGTTAACAGTGCTGACCTGTACAGATGGAGGGAAAAGAGCTCTTGATACTTCAGCATCTCTGGTCATAGGAGCTGCTGTTACAGCATGCCATTTGTTTGCGGTAATAGTCATAATATTATTGATATAATGCATTTGATTCAATAACAGATTTAGATATACTGCATGACACAACACAGGTTGAAGCAGGGATTGCCGGTTAAGTGCATAGTGATTCCTTCAAGTGATCACTTTCCTCTTTTCCTGATCTGAACGTTGGGGACTTAAATGTGTTAAAAGAGAATACAAAAGATGATGGTGGTGATGATTTAACGCTGCATAGTTTTACTAGTGTTCATGATTTCAACTAAATATTGATCATTCATTGCAATACATTATGAATACAATTGCCATTTTTTTACATGTTGCAGTATCCTGTTAGTGGATGTGGAATCAACCCAGCTCGCTCTTTTGGCCCTGCAGTTGTCATGAACTATTGGACTGATCATTGGGTGAGTGACAAAGACCCACTTAATCTCCTCCTGTTTCTAGAAAACAGTGGGTTGCTGGTTCTAGCTGTTTTACATTACTTGAAGTGCATCCATGGCCTCTAATCTCCTTCCTTGTAACTTTTCACATCCTTCTCCAGGGTACTGACTATGTTACATGAGAAGGGCCTAAGCCCCAGTCCTCTCTGCATGGCATGCATGTTGCCTAACCAGTCGAAGCTCATTGCCTGCAGATTACTGACATCCATTTTTAGTGAATCTTGACCAGTCAGTATTCTTTGAAAGCAATTTTCTCAATTCTCACAGGTTTACTGGTTTGGTCCAATCATTGGTGCTCTATTTGCATCAGGAATCTACCACGTTGCACAAAACTTTCCTGTCACTACTGAAGATGAACTTGTTATCACCGGGAAAGAAATCAAGAATGAAGCCAAGCCACAAGGTTTTCATCTAGAAGGTCTTCAAAATCCAAGCCAAGCTGACATGCAAACACAAACTCCTTATGAACTGAAAACAACAGTGTAGCATCCTTCAAGAATCTCATGTAGATACTTAACTTCACTTTTCACATTGTGGTGATCAACATGCAATTTATACTTGTATCTTTGGTTTCAGAATTCCCCACTTTGTAACAAATGTTGCTATTCAATACATTAAAATGATGAGTAAATTTAACCCTTTCATGTTTGATGAATGAATATTTTTTAAAGGAGGAAAAGAAGTGATCTCAGATCACATTCTTCGAAGACAGTGATGACCTAACAAAGCTGGAAATTGTGAAAAAAACTTATTTTATTTCCATTGGTTTTTTATCATCACATATAGAGCTAACAATAAAGGCAATGGGCCAGAATTTTGCCTTGCTCAGAATTTAAAAACAGACTACTTTTAATATTGTTTGAAACAATATACAGACCATTGCAGTTTTGAGTACACTGAGATGTATTTTGAGTTGTTGAAAAATGATTAAAGCAAATCCTAGGTTAGACAGCATGACAAATCAGTGGCTAATGAAAGATAACCCAGAATTAAGGCAAAGCAAGCTTTAAAAAGCTCAGCAATGATAACTAGCTTATGTTCTTTGTAAAGTTTTTGTTAAAATTATTTGTAGAAAAATATTATAATGACGAGTATTCACTAAATCACAAGCTTCAGAGCATGAATAAGCTAGTATAATGTTAATGGCCCACATACTACTCTTTTTCTCTAGTCTTTCTTGTGATCTATCTGTATTATTATATATTACATATGTGTAACCACTGCTCACCTCGACTAGCTAATCTGCTAACTGCGGGCAGTGGATATTGCTTTCTGTAAAATTTGCCATAATTAATAAACAGTTAAACAGTGACCAGTATGACTACGAGGCTTTCTGGTCATTTTTCTATATTTGGTCAGGTTTTCTCTGTGCTCAAGTCTCTTCTGGCAATTGCGAGACAATGGAGCCACAAAAATTTGCAATTTTGACCCTAAAGCCTCGGATTCAGCTTAAAATTTAATATATTGAACGTGGGCTATTACCTAAATACATTTTTATACACATATAAATTTTCTAAGGGGTTGCATGCGTTACAGGTCAAATTTGATTTCAGGTTGAAGTTTCTTAACCTAGGTTGTCTCTCAATTTCCTTTGACTCCTAGCCCTAATTCATGAATAATTCGGACTAGGAGACAAAGAAAATTGAGAATCAACCTACAATCTTGGACAGAAGAAAATGGAACAGCAAAGCCCCATCACCCCAAAATCAAGGATGAAGCCACGCAAAAGCCAAAACGTGCCATTTTTAGATTGTAGATTAAAAAATTTTCACCTAAAATCAAATTTGACCTGTAACACATACATGTATTTCGTAATTGTATGGACCATTAAGGCATTACATGGGTTCACAATAATTTACTTTCAACCATTAATATTGAATTTCAATGCAACCTGGAACCCACTTGAATATTGTAAGGGATTAACTAGGTCCCCAAAAACAGACAAACTTGAATGCCAGCTTACCCTTTGGGCAAGCAGCTCTAACATTGTGCTTGCCCAGGGCCATTGCTTTCATACCTTCTAAAGCAAATAATATTATTTAGTTATAAGGATATCTGGGTCCACAGAGCAGCAGATGTTGAATTTTAAAATTCAAGTGAAGAAAATATTCTAGTACCATACTTGATCTTGGAGCATTTTATCAAAACGGTTCCCTTTCTCACCATCGTGAATCCTTGGACAAATTCTTTCTCATATATGTGCTCCAGTTGAGTTGGCGGAGTTGAAAAAAGTTTTATTTGTGCAAATTCAGGTTTAGTTACCATAACAACTCATGTGCTCCCTTTGCTGTTAACCCACAATTACCACGCACCAACCAGGCTTCAAACAACTCAGTCCAGGAATTCATCAAAAATGCATCAGTAAAGAAATCAAAATTGCCATTTCTGTTTTGGATGAAACTCACCCAAGGTCCTGGTCGGTTGTTTGAAAAGTGGATAATGCGATCCACTGGATAAAACTCTAGCCGGTGTTTAAGACAGTGACTGCTTTCCCTAAAACTTATCTTATCCACTGAATGAAAATTTATCGGGTGGATAGCACCATTCAACGTTTGAACAACTAAAGCCAACTCTCTTTAGGATGGACACCTTTGAAAAAGGCACTATATATCCATTTTAGCAAGGCATCCATATTATAGAGGTGTCTGTTAAGGGAGAATTAACTGTACCCTAGAAAAAGGTTTGGATAAAATGTTCCTGACTTGAAAGACACTACCCCACTCCTCTCTCTGGGCTATAGTGATGGAACACGATATAAAATAGTTGTGGGCTACTGAAATGTTGGTTTTGTTTCACACTACTTCATAGAGCTCTTCTTTCGGCTCTTCTTCATGGTCTTCTCTTTTTCCTTTTTGGGTGGAGGAGTAACACCAGATGCAATGTGTCGCTCATACAAACTGAAAATAAACAGACAATGGTGAGAATGATGCTTAAATGGACTGTGATGAGCCATGGCAAGAAGAAACATTTGCATGCCACAATGAAATCAGAAAAATTCTCAATTTTATAAAGCATTTAATTGAGTTTTTGAAAAATAATATGTGAACACAGCCCTTGTAATTTTGAAAAGACTTAATGTAGGAAACAACCACAAATTTTATAGTACTGTGAATACCCTAGAGATCTAAATTGTGTCCCCATCACTTTGAGGAAATGCCCCATGTGTCCCCTCTCCTAGAATAATCATGTAGAATGCTCTGTTTTATTGACGTGAATATTGTAAAAAATGAAGTGAATCTTTCCTCGTCAACTAACCTTTTGTATCCATCTGTCTTGATGTACTCAAAAACATGTGATGGACCTAAAACAATTTGGTCTTCCAGCTGTTGTAACCATGCATTTCCTTCAGGTCTGAACACATGACGAGGGTTGGCCATGTCAAGCTCACCTTTGCAAAACCAAAACCAGTGACACAAGTTTAGTTTAATACATACCAGTCCTAGCCAGGCATTTGTGCTCTGCCTTTATAGGCAATTATTTGAGGCAATCTCCCTATTCACCTTCAGATCTAACTTACAGAAAGTTCATGTTTAACCCATCCATTCATCCATCCGTGAAGTGATGCAATTATAATTCTGACGAACTAACCTCCATTAAGCAGTCATTTGTAATCAGCCTGAGACAGTGATTTTGTAAGAAATAGTTATGGTGAGTCCTGGGACTCATCATACGAAAAATTATGAGTCCCAGTTCAAAAACAATGAGTTCAGTTGAAAAACAATCATTATAGATTGAAAATGCTTGGGTTGAAAAATAAATAAAATAATAACTGAATCTGAAGACAGACTCCAAAACTCTTTTACCAATTTACTGAAATTAAAATATAGTCCTTCTATTTAAACAACAAAAATTAATGTGGGGACTAAAATAAATATGCATCATTAAACAAGAGCCACATTAACAACCACAGAAATCACATGTAGAGGATTTTCTAAAAAAAACATCTTCATATTGATCAATCTTTGCATTCAACAGGATGCATCTATTGAATCATTTTGTGTCTTTGGGGATTTTCATGCGTCAGGGACGCAGGATGCAGAGGTAACAAAATCACTGCTGAGGGTGTCGCTTTAAATATTAATAACTGAGGCTCAAAGGTATCGAGGTTTCAAATTTAATGTTAATAAAGATGCAGCTGGGGGTACATCAAACCCCTAAGTCTGACCTTGTGTGGGGAACAATGAACCTCTATTGAGTGGCCAACCTCCATTAAGCAGTCACTTGCCGTCACCCTGAGGATGTCGCTTATATAATGGAGGCTTCACGGAATAGAGTTTTCAAATGTCAATAAAAAAGGTTCTGTGGGTACGTGCCAGACCACTGAGACTTGCATGTATCGGGAATATAATGAGCTATGTGGTCCTGCTCTCAATGCTTTAAGATGAATAGGAAAAATAGTTTGTATGTAAGGTCATAAACTCACCTAGTTCAGGAGGAAGAGCTGTGAGCCTGTTGTTTTGCAGATGAAAAAGGTTCAAGAGCTTTTGGGTACAAGATCATTGCCTGAGAATTTTTAATCAGGAAAGTTCATTTAATATGACAAGGGGGATGAAGATATAATGGGCTAAAATGTTACACTGTATGGAGGGGTCCTGCTCTCAAAACCAACACATGACATCTAAGATGAAAACTCAACAAAAATAGTCAGTATATCAAGGTCAGATAAACTAGTCTAGTTCAGGAGGTTCATTCCAAAAATGCTTTAGAGCCTGTATGTTTTGTCATAGTATAAAGATGAAGTTCAATTTAAATATATTTCGTGTAAGGATCTTTTTCAGGGGAGCTTGAAGGAGGAGGAGGGGGGGGCTCTGAAATTTTTTCTACAAGATCATTGTCTCGGAGCACCAACTAAAATAATAAAAGCAAAAGTTCATCAAGGATGTGCTGTAAGGAAATTGAATGAAGCCCAGAGCTCTGAACCTATAAATTCTAGGGTGCCCAGCATATAATTTGTATTATTATTGACTAAAAAAAAGAATGTTGACCTCTTTTTAGAGAATAACCCAATAACACCAAAAATTGATTTGCACCCATCGCAAACTTGCAGATATTTGAACAAAAAATATAGCAATGATATTATGAAATTTGGCGCCTTCCATACACAATGAATTAAACAGATCTCTGAGGGTTTTATCCTTAAATAATAAAGAATTGCAGTTAAGAGGAAATGTTGCACAAATTTTCAATCTAGATCCATTATTACACACTGAACATGTAGTTAAAAAGTGTTTGAGCAGCATACAATCTAGAATTTGGAGGCTCTTGAATTTGAATCCTGATGATCAAGTTTTCTAATTATGCCTGATTTCTCTTTTTTTGAAATAGGTACAAGGAGGAAATTAACCTTGATAAACCCCAAAGGTCAGAAAAAATTCTCCATGTGCAACACATGGTAAAAATGATTTGTACTGTTTTTGCAACTTGTTGCCGTGACTTGTTGCTGCAACATGTTGCCTGGTGCATTCCATCCCTGATTGAGGTCTTGATTTATGGCAAAATTCTGTTGTGGAGACTGTTTTTGAAAAACATTCACATTAAATTTGCCAACTTGTTGCCGTGACTTGTTGCTGCAACATGTTGCCTGGTGCATTCCATCCCTAAGGTCTTTAAGTGCTGTTTTTGAAAAACATTCACATTAAATGCCAACTTTCGTACCAAATGTTGAGAACGACGGTATTACATGTAGCTGTACGAAACAGTTATCTTCTAAGGCAACAATCATTGTAGGAATAATAAATCATTACCACTTGAAGGTTTCGAAGCTCTCCTATCTCGTCAGGCAAAGTTTCAAAGTCATTATCACCAAGATACAGTGCACGTAACTGCTCTAAAAATAATAATAACCAAAAATAACTTTTTTCATAAGCTAGAAAGAATGGTGCCACCTATCAAAACAATGAGTAACTTGTTAACACCAGTGGTGCATGTACCCGTGTGTGGCCAAGTAATTAACACCTCGAACTCCGGATCTGGAGGTCTGGGGTTCAAGCCTCACCCATCGCATTGTTTCCTTAGACAAGGAACTTTACTCCACTTTGTCTCTCTTCACCCAGGGCCGAGTTGTTCAAAGTTGGGTTAAGATAACCCTGGGTTAGTGCAAGATTTGAATTCACATTTGAAAGCTTAAAAAGCATTTAAGTTTTAATTCTTTTTGTCTACAAGTTGAAGATTCGAAGCTCTAAAAATAACAGAGAAAATTATCCGAGAAAATGCTTTTGAATAAAAGAAAAAGAAACCTCGGTTAAAGTTAACCCCGGGTTAAGCACTAATCTGCCTTTGAACAACTTGGCCCAGGTGTATGAATGGGTAACAGCAACATACTGCTGGGGTAACCCTGCAATGGACTAGCATCCCCTCCAGGGGGGAGTAGCAGTACTCCTAGGCTTGCTTCATGCTAAGGAAACCAAGAAACATGTAAGCTCTGGCCATTTGGGCCTCTGGCTTCATGTGCACCTAGAAATACATAGGTAGTATTTGTTATGATGATTTTATTTCACATTGTGAAATAACTTCCTAGTTGCCGGACTTTTGCTCCAAGGATTTCTCTGAAATTTCTCTGGCATATTTATTAGTCTGATCAATAAAAACCGATGTACCAGAAATTTCAGTAAAAAGTATCAGCAAAATTTTTTACTAGATGCGGTTTCCTTTGAACAGTAGGGCCCATTTAAGCACTAATAATTTGCAAAATATATTTTTTACTAACAATGAAATTGGAACATTTCATGGCACTTGAATATTAGTGTAGTACAATTTCATATTTCACTTACTCATAACAGAAAAGTTTCCTGGTAGAGATTCTTTTTGAAGATTGTTATACGTTAAATCCAAGATTTCCAAACCAGAAGCTGTTCCTAAGCCTCTAGGTAAGGAACTAAGGCGATTGACCCTGAATAATGTAAAAGATAAGGAACAAAGATTAGTACAGTCAGTTAGTGGGTGGCCTTCTGTAATTTGATTTTCAGGTGTGACCTCAAATCCTTGCTTTCCTTTCTGAGTAGCTTATATGTAGCTTTAAATTCCCACAAAATGGGGCAGTTATGGAGAGAGTAAGTAAAATGAGGGCACTGTCAGTCTGAGGTTTGTCAGTCTGATGAGTAGTGCTACGAGTTACCAACATCAAATACAGACCTTTAACTTTTAAAAACAAACTTGGGAAGATGAAAATGGCATTTCAATACATATCTGGATAATGTTCCTACTTGTATAATAATAAGTTACGGGTACTTCTCCAACAAAAATTTGCAGTGTATAGAAATCATAAAATCCTGACTTTTTACAGGAAAGAACCCTCCCAAAAGGTAGGTATGTATAATACACCCTTACACATAGTCATAAACATAATTTAAGAAATACTTACGCAGCATTAAAATGTCGTAGTTTTTTTAAATTACCTAAAGACATCGGAAGCTCCTACAGAAACAAAAAAGAAAAAAATAGACATTATATTACCTACGTGAGAGTGTGGTACTAAAGAAATAGAGAACAATAACATTTTTACCTCAATGTGATTATTGAAGACATTTAGATATTCCAGGCTTTCAAGGCCACCTATGGATTCTGGAAGAGCTAAGGTGAAAATACAAGACAAGTAATTTAACTCAAATGTTCCAAGTAACTTATAAAAGAAAACTGAATGCCGTGTACTATTGGACGCATGTATAGTGTATTATTATCTTATGGTGAAGGTTTAATATGGCACTTGGTCAAAGATGTCAAACATTTGGCAGGTGGACATTCATTGAAAGCCCAGATTTAATGCCATTTCATTTTTACACTGGCCCACAGTTCGGCCCAGGCTCAACCTCCACCTGGATCTTTAGAATTCAAGATTATCGGAAACCAGGATCTTATCATCCTGTGTTCAGCAACAAAAACCTGATCCATGCTGATGATGAAGCCTCAAAAACATTTGAGGGAATCCAGTAATGGAGCGGGAGCTGATTGGTGGGGGGAGTAGTTATTTGTTTTAGCAATAACAATGGTATCAGTTGACTCCATAAAGAACTAGAACAAAAAAGATTAAAAATGGTTGGAGGTCAAAGGTCAAATGCATATCCAGCTGGTGAATAAAAGAATCTCTAACTAAACAGTCAATACATGGAATATAGTAATGTGATTTTTCTAGGGAAAAAGCATTTGAGTTAGGCATCTACCTAACCTTAAGTAGACAGATAAACAAAAAAATACATAAACTAGGAAGGGAAAAAAGCAAAGACAAATTTATATTTTTGGAACCCCATGTTCCAAAGTAGGGATTTATTACCGGGTAAACATTGATTTGAATCATCAGTATGGAATTGTCATTTATTTTGAGGGGGGGGCCCTTAATAGAGGATTTACAGTATAATTAGAGAAAGACCTGGAGAGAAAACATTCAATATCTTAGGTGCAACAAACATTTTCCCCATTTTGGCACTGGTCAAAGCTAAATTTAAACTGTGTATAAGATCTCCATACAACACCAAACATTAATTTATCTAGGCTCAACCTCCTCTATCAAGCCTCAAAAACATTTTGACAAATGGTCAATAGAGATGGGGGGGGGGGAAACATGGGCTTAGAATGCAAAGTAGAAAAGCTAAAGTACAATGGTTGGAGGTCATGCATCCAGGATCAAAAAGGGTGTGGAGGGGGTTAACAAAAAAGGCATTTTAGCCTCAAATAGTTTATTACTAACACTAAGTACAGCTTTTATACAGTGTACAACTTCACCTTCCCTCTAAGTCGGTTTTAACTTCTTCCATTTAAAAATCACGAAAGAATTGGATTCCCAGTTATCTTTCAAAATTTCGACAATCGTATTATACCAAAAACAGGACCTCATGTTTGGAGCGGAAGAGTCCTCTTTTAGGTATGCAGAGAATTTCCACATTTCTTCACACCCAAAGTTAGAATCTCAGATGCTCTTACATGTACATGTACACCTAAGATAATGATTCTCCACTCGTCTATTATAAAAACTTACATGTTAGTCTGTTATGACTTAGTGTAAGCCGCACCAGACTTCTTAACTGAGCTGAAAGAAATTAAAGAGAAAACATACAAGGCTTTCATAGCAGACTGGCCAGGCCCGGACTAAACCGTCACATCGTTCTATATTCAAGAAACGCTTCCAAACTTACTCAATCCAGGGATATCCTTTATATTTGACAAGCCTCTGTCACATAGATCTATGTCAGTGTAGCCTTGTTCTTTAGCTTCCTCGACGAGCTTTTTTACAGACTTTGACATTTCCAAGATCACCAAACTCCCACCTCGAACTTCTTCACTGTTTTTTTCTTCCAGCGGCCTCTACGTCATGTACGCAAACAATAACCTTTCCCTCGTCGCCAGACCTCTTGAAAAATATATGAAGCAAAGATGGCGGTAACGCGACTAGCCAATCTGTTTTGATACGTCTGGATCACGAAATTTAAGGCTAAAAATGGAATCCTCATGACTCCTCTTCTCTACAATGCCTTACCACGGGGGACACGAGGTGCTTGTCAAGCTTTCTACTCTCTTGCAATCACATGGTACGTAACTGAATAAGACAAGTTTTGATTTCCGTGACACTAAAGTTATCCCCCAAACCTTTCTTATGATTTAAAGATCAAAACTGTTTTAAGTTTGGTAAACTTGTCTATCAATTCCTTCGCTTGTACAAGGAGTTCTGTATCTGCCCTCATTAGATGCCTTTAGTCTCTTCGTAACCAAATATTTAACTTTTTATCGGATCTTGATTCGAAGTGACAGAACATTGTTAACTCGTGATTCAGCCAAGTCGTCATGTGACGATGACAAGATCAAAATTTGACAATTTACTTTTTCTGTACAAAATAAAAATGAAACTATTTACCGTGAATGAGTAATAAACAAAGGTTTCTTTTTGGGCGGGGGACGTTACTTCTAGACATTTGTAGGATTTTGAATTTTTTGTTTTAGCATTTTGGCACTTTCATGGTCTCGCAAGAGATTTATGAGCTTTCCTCTTCTCATTCTGATGCTGTTAACGACTTAAAAAAAGAAAAGTAATTTTGGTTACCTTTGTTTTCCAGGAGATGCAGTTTTAAGACAAGAGAGCCAGCTATGTTTAACAGCTACATCACTTGTTTTTCTAAACCAATGCTTTGACATTGTCAGTTCAGGTAAACTATCTGTTTGTGACATCTTTTTATCAGGAGCTTCAATTAGAGAAGAGATGATTTTGTGAAAAGAAAAGTACTTTATAAACTTAAGTGATTGTTTTTGCTGTTTTGTTAAAGCTTGATCCTTTTCCTCATGGCATATAATGAGTTTAATGCCAGGTAACCAAACCCAATCAAACTTCAATTAAGACTGGGATTTGAATTCGAATCCTGACCTTAGTGATGATAATATGCAACTCCTGACAATGCAGGGGTTTCAATAAGTACCAATGACTGATGAAACGGGTCGGCTACTTGCTCACATAAGTCAGCCACTGTTTTTCCTAAAAGAGGCAGCTACAAGTACAGTGTTTTAAAAATCATGTCAGAAACAAAAAAAGATATCATGAAATCTCCATGAAGTCGTAGTTATGATGTGTCTTCCCAAAAGATCACTGGCTTAACGTTATGCTTTAGTTATGTAAAAGCTGTATTTCAGTCAATTTGCCACATGTTTCTCCATAGATTTACACAGAATTCGTTCACATGCAAATTTCCAAATTCACCCCCAGACCTTGCGCTATTCAAATTTACAGGCTACCTCAATTTTGTTAAAACCCTTGCAATTTATTCAAAAGAGCTACATGTAATCAAACCTCCAGAAGCTACACTAACCGGCTAAACTCTCAGTCTGTATTAAGTTGACACAAGCACCGGCTTCTCACTGAAAATAATTTTAAGGAGAACAATAAATCCGTCATAGTTCCCAACACTTCTGTCCAATTCATGCAAATGTGGATAAGTAAAGGTTATCATCCTCAGGGCTAATATTTCTTTCCCTGGTCCCTCAAAGTGCTTAATTGAAATGCCCTTAATAAACAATCATCAAGGGTTGAACGTTAGATTGATGCGCTTGGAACTTCCAAGTGTTTTGCAGTGATGTACTCCACATCTATACTGTAACAGCACCCAGTGGCCCCTGGTGCCTAACTTTTGCTCTTAGGCAACTAGAAAATCTTACAGTAACTACTTTCAGACAAACCATATGCTGGGGACCTTAGGTTTTACAGGTTCAGACCACCAGGCTCCCTTCAATTTTCCTTAGAGCACAGCCTTGGCTTTGGTGTCATGAAATTGTGACAACATGTTAGAGTATAATTTACCAGATTTTTTGTAAGATAATTTTGACAAAAAAAAATGTGCTCAAATGTATTGTCTTAGAAAAATGTTACCCTAATGGTGTCATAAATTAATGTGGCTAAAAAAGTTGAAAATGACACTGTTTGTTGATGGTTCTATTAATTTATAGGGCAGCAAGGAACAAGCATAGTAGGAAAACGAAAGGGAATATCTTACAGAGACAAGGAGGCTATCACATTCCTTCTTGATTTTCTTAGAAGGACTCCTTCATTGAGGGTAATAATTATTTTAAAGCACTCTTAGCCCATTCTTTAAGCATTAACCAGAGGTGAATCTCCATTAACCCTTAGCCGTGAGAGTGATCAGCATTAAATTTCTCCTTGTAATATCAATGCTTTGTAAAACAGAGTGGTCATGAGAATTACAGACGTGATCACACAAGATGAATTTGCTACATGTAGATGTTTTATCAACTTCTCCCCACTACTTCTATAGGAAATGAATAGGGACAACAAATGAGAAGTCAAGTTTTGATCTTAGGGCTTAAAGGGTTAAGCAGCCGCTTACAGTGTACATGTATTAAGTGGCCACACTCTATTACGTGGACAGTAATCAAAGTCCCAAAATAATTGTGGAATTAAGAAAAAAATTGTAAATCAAACCTTTTCAATGGGCGTGTCCACCTTTTGACCATCCCAACAGAAGCTCTTTTATTGTTTTCACCTACATGTATGTTAAGTGGCCATCAAGCACTTGATACACTTAGTTTGGCTTGATTTTAATATGGTGCAGGAAAATACAGTCCAGGGGCACCCAACAACAATTTTCGGAAAATATCTGTTTGGAACACGATTTGACATCTAGAATTTTCGGAACATTTGTTGTAAAATTTCTTGCTTGCCTGCCTCTCCTAGGATTTTCGAACATTTAAAAACTACTATAATTGCCCATTTTCAACGGATTTTTACCGTTAAAACGTCACCTAGAATTTTCGGGAGCCTTTTTTCTGGCTGAAATTTTCGAAAAGGTAAGTTTTGATCCCTATAATTTTCGGATCACTAGACTTTCACCTAGGAAATCCGAACAGATGAAAAATTTTTAGGGGATAAAAATATGCCTATATCTACTGTTTAAATACTGAAATAAGTTTAACAATGCTATGTTTAAATGGTATTGAACTATATTCTCGTTTGGTGCCCCTGACAGTCTGTGATTGGAGATGAGGAGTGATTGTGGACTGGCAGTACTACCGCTCCCATCATGTGTTTGTTTCAAAATACAGTGATGTTTCCACTAAAGATTATAAAATCTATGATGAACCTCCAGTGTTTAAATGGTATTGAACTATATTCTCGTTTGGTGCCCCTGACAGTCTGTGATTGGAGATGAGGAGTGATTGTGGACTGGCAGTACTACCGCTCCCATCATGTGTTTGTTTCAAAATACAGTGATGTTTCCACTAAAGATTATAAAATCTATGATGAACAGCGCCATATTTTCAGAGAAGGTTACATAATGGAGATTCAACTGTATCTTGATAAGCCAGAGAAAGTTGTTATTGTGGGTGGTTTTGAGGGCACTGTTTTTCAAAGAAATTTGAAAGAATGGCATGGAAGGCCACAGACATACCTTTGCGAGTGCTAAAGCTAAGGAAAGCGACAAAAGTAGGTTTGATAGCTATAGTGTCAGGAACAGTGTATTGATCATATCCCATATTACCTTTCGTGATTGTCGCATGCACATTTTTTGTGACAACCTTTCTCAAAATAGCTGTATACACGGTATATAGTCTTGGATGAAAATTTTAATGTTGCCATTGACAGTGGTTGGTCCTGGTGAATACTGTTGGCAACAGTAGAATGCTCTATGAAATATTTAGAAGAGCATCTGAATTTTAGTTCTGAACATCTTCAGACATAAACTACATGGCAAATCCTGGTTGGATTTTTAAATTTGTCACTCAGACCAAAAGATTTTAGTGTCCCACAAGGCTACTTTACCATATACCGGTATAATTATCTTGTAGCTAAAATCCATTCTGAGGTTGTTCAAGCCTGAATTTCCTTTGTCTCCTACAGTATGAATACATAGAGGATATTACATGGTGGCGCGAAGATATTAATTTTATTTCGAGTGGCAAAACAATATTTTACTCACCCGCTGCACTCGTTCGTAAAATATTGTTTTTACCACGAGAAAATAAAATTCATATCTTGAAGCCGCCGTCTAATGTTCTTTTTATTATATAGACAAAAAGACCTCGATAAAATAATAGAGGGAAATGACTGAAATTACGTCATCGATAAACTCACGTGTGAGATTATGGAAAATAAACCACTCAGGTCCCGGATGTAGTTTTTATGAATTTTACGAGTGGTATATTTTCCAGTAAAACACTCGTGTCTATAAAATAATGTGCTTTATATTTACATATGTATGCTTGTATTGTACATTCAAAACAGCCTTAATCATTGTATTAATGATCAATGATATTCAATTCAATGATTTTCAATAGTATTTAAATTGTACTCTGATGATAACTTTTTAACCCCATGAAAGCTTCTGAAATGTATATGTACATTTGTATTGATGGTATCAGTGCTATGAATAATATTGTAATTACTGGTATAATTCCTTTTTATAGAGTTGATGATGTTAATGTTGTTGATAATGTTGTTCTCATCAGCTTGTGCAAGGGACTTGCCCCAGTGTCGATGGACTTATTGACATTTCCTGTTTCAGGGCACTTCAAGTGTTGGAGGTAAAAATCATTATGCAAAACACTTTCATTGATAGTGTTTTTATTACATCCTGGCAGTTAAGAAACTTTACTTTAAAAATCCCAGAGTGCTAATTTTCTTTTTTAAAGCCCTGTGCAAACACACGCAACATTGTTGGATGTTACATGTTGTGTCCGTTTGCACACCCTGTTACGTGTTGTTGCATGATATTGTGTGTTGTTTGTTGCTCAAAGTTTGAAATCGGTCAAACTTTTGAGTGAAGAACTCCCAAACTCTCTTTTGCTTCATGATTGCCAAAGCATAGCACAACGAAGTCAGATCTGTTTGTACACCTCAAGGGCACCCAACATCAATTTTCGGAAAATATCTGTTTGGAAGACGATTTCAGATCTAGAATTTTCGGAACATTTGTTGTAAAATTTCTTGCTTGCCTGCCTCACCTTGGATTTTTGAACATCTAAAGAATGGTATCACCTTGGATTTTTAGAACATCTAAAGAATGGCCCACCCCTCCTCCTCCCAATCAAATAATTGCTTGAGTGAATAAATTTTACGGAGTTTTCTTCAGAGTATTTTTAGAAACCCGTTTTGTTATTAAAATTGTTTTGTTGCAAAATAAACATACTTCACTTGCTGAAAATCGTGAAAATTTAATAAGCGCCCAGTCTCGAATAAGCGCCTACTCTCAAGGTCCAAAAATTTAATAAGCGCCCAGGGCGGTTAATCGAATAAATACGGTAATTGCCCATTTTTAACGGATTTTTACCCTGAAAAGGTCAGCTAGGATTTTCGAGAGCCTTTTTTCTGGCTGAAATTTTCGAAAAGGTAAGTTTTGATCCCTATAATTTTCGGATCACTAGACTTTTAGCTAGGAAATCCGAACAGATGAAAAATTTTTAGGGGATAAAAATATGCCCATATCTACCATTTAAATACTAAAATACGTTTGAAACAATGCTATGTTTAAGTGGTTTTGAACTATATTCTTGTTGGGTGCCCCTGACACTTCTTCCAACATTGTTGGGGCAATGCATGTTCATTACACATGGTCTCCTTCAAGTTTACAAAGTCTTGTGGTCTTATGGGTGTATCCTTCCCACGATGCTCTGCAGGTTTTAACTTCCAACAATGTTGGGAGTTGCTGCGTCTGTTTGCACGTAACTTATTTTCTTATTTATAAGCTTAAATTTTAATGATTTTTTCACAAAGTTTGCAACATGAAAGCTCTGTTAAATACCTTTCTTTAAAATTTGGCCCTATATGAAATAAAGATCTCTTTTATTTTTTTCAACAGATTAAAAAAGTCCCAGTTGGTTTAATCCGAGGGTTTCAAAGTTTACGTCCTCAGCTCAAGACCCTGATATGCAGGAAGTCAGTGATCTCACTTAATGTAAGTACCAAAATATAATTTGCAATTTCATTTACTCAAATTTGGAACTGAATTCTCTATTCAATTAGAATACTCAAGCAATCTTTTTTTTGGAAAAAGATTAAGCATTTATTGCTAAATTACTAGCAGTCAGAGGACGATTATGTTGAAGTCAACTCAGGGTTGTCAGAAAGTTTTGAAGTAGATGGCTTAGTTGTCAAAGCTCGGGAGGAACTGGCAAGCGCCAAAGGCGCAAGCCTCTAGGGGGTTCTGGGGACATGCTCCCTCAGAAAAATTTATATTTAGATGCTCTGAAATGCTGTTTTCTGCACTCTCCAGGCTATTTTCTCTCCAAAATTACTGAAAATCTAATGTGAATTATAAGGTGAATTACCGATTGTAGGCGTTAAGTTTATTTTATTGTAAGTGAAACATAAACACTCGCTATAGTTTTCAGGAGATGTTTGTTTACCAGTCCAGTGATATTAATTTAAAAAACGCCATCCATAAAGAAATGTTAAGCAGAGCAGCCGGCCGATACTAACCAAGGAGGTGGCGATTTTCACTGGCAGCTGGCTACTTTTGATAACCCTGGTCACCTGTCTTAAAATTTTAAGTTGTTAGTGTCTTATGACAAGTACATCACGTAGACTGTACAAATGAAGAGATGCTTCAAGAGGGAAGTGGTAAAATTTTTACTTTTATTTTTTGACAGTAGTGTTAACGCATAAGTTCATGTAGTTATCATTAATTTTAATGGTGATTTAGTCAGTTTCAATTATTACATTTTATTGCAGGAAGTGCTAATTCATTGTGGTGGAGATCAGCTAAATGCTCCTTTTGCATGGCCACATTTGGAAAATGTGGATTTTAGTTACAACGGGATTGAACTCCTGGATGATTCAGTGGTTTGTAAAAACAAATTCTTGAATGAATGCAGATCTGATTTCTGAGCATTTTTCCCTCATTGGCAGCTCACCATCATCACCTTTCTAATTCACAAACAGACACACCCTCAAAAGGACCCTACTTTCAATTAATTATAAGGTGGCTTGTACTAGTTTCTCGTGTGCCAATGGGGAGTCCATCGTACGTGCACCCCACAATGACCCTTTAGTACTAGCACAACCACAAAAACAATAAACACACTTTATCTTCTTGGCTACATTTCGTTGTTTGGAGCAAGTTTACCCCAAAGATCAATGAAGAAAATGAAAAACTTTAATTCGATTTTTCCGACAGTCTGCTACAAGTACATGTAATTGTGTCTTTGCGACTTCACTTGTCTCTTGATACTGATAAGTGAATCCAGAAGGCGAAGTTTCAAGTTACCAAATGTTTCTCTGAATTGGAAAACCTAATAACAATGTGTACTGATTGGACGCACCTAATTTTCTTCTTCTCTGCAATGACTGTAAACAAACTCAACGGATGCCTGCAAGTGTACATGCAACAGTCAGCATAGTTAACACAGCGGACGAGTAACCCATGTTCTTATAGAATTCAGATATTACAAGCACAAGAACATGTGTGGGACCAGTGAAAACTCGAAGGACCAGTTATTTAAACAGAGTTTAGCCAGTGTTAAACAAAACCACATTCTTAGCAATTTTCAGTTTGCCAAATGCTTTTATCTCAACACCATTTATCATGAAAAGGTTCATGAAAGCATAACATGTAGACTGAAAAAGCACTTATTTTCTTTAAATTACCCTCTGAGGAAGATATCTTGAGGTCCAAAGATTTGCTAAACCGCGGCATAAGTTAGACTTCGTTTAAACAACCAACCCAAAGTATTTTACAGGAAAACAAGTCCGGTGATCCCCTATTTTCATTGCTTTAATATTATTTCGTTAGAGTTGAAAGGAAATGCCAGAGAAAAAATGAAAAAAATTCCAGGCAAGGAAATTATTTGCTACTAGAAAAACATTTCCTATTTTCCTCTTTGCAAAAAATCCGCTCCGTATAGTTTTTTTTTAAATCACTGTGAATTTTCCTTTTCTAAAGACCTAATGGCAAAATTTGTGAAAAGATCACTGTTGCTATGGTAATGTTAGATTGTGCATTTTGAAAAAAACTATTAAAGTGAATTGGTTTGGTATTTTCTGCAATCATTGGTGTTTATATAATAATGAATGTAACATTACAAGGCCAAGCAGGGATATAACATTTCTCTTTGAGTGCCGAAAAGTATTTGATGATCAGAGAGTGCAGCGAACAAAGGAAATGTTTTTCAACACAAGAAGAGAAATTTCTTATTTTCTGCACAGCCATTTATGTTAACACTATGCAGAAAAATCATTAATAAAATCCTTAGGTTTGATAGTAATTTGTTGTTTGTTATGCTCTATTCAATAGAAACTTTTGCCCAAGCTGAAAGTTTTGAACCTGAGTCATAACAATATTCAAAGCACTGAAGATGATGAATCTCATTCCTTACAGGTTAGCATTGTTGTGTTCCCAGAAATATCCATACATGTGTACCTTTCCCCAGAACATTCTTTTGTTATTGTACAAGTTAAGGCGCTAAATACTGGTAATAACTTCAGCACTGAATTGACCTAAAACAGCTGAATATCCTCGTGACATAGTACCTTTAATCAAAAGTACAGTGCAGACTTGTTTTCTACAAGCAATCTTAAACTAATTTTCACTCAAGAGGGTGAATAGTTCCTTCCACGTTTTTTTCAACTTTTCACATGGACCGGTTAGTGAAAATCCATCAACACCACTGGAATGAGCGCCTTGAAATTTGTAAAATTACCAAATTTGAAAGTGATACGTCTTAAGAAAGCAAAGATATAGCTCTGCAAAGTTGCGAAAATTTACAAATGTTTGTATGGTAGGGGGAAGGGCAAGTTTGTGCCCCCACCATACAAATGTCTGTAAAATATTTGAGTATTGTTACTGAGTTGCAGTATACATTGCTCAGTAACTTAAAATGCCTGAAAAAACCGGCTCTATTAATTAAATAAATGACAAGTGTGTGTGTTTTTTTTACAGTATTTATCTGAAGTTCAGCACCTCAACCTGGGATTTAACCAGATGGACTCAATACCTGTCCCTCCAGTACAAGCTGGTGCCATCAAATTCAAGTTGACAACACTTATCCTCAGAAACAACAATCTGCAAAACTTGAAAGGTAAGCAAATAAATAAAATAACGTTTTCAAAAAAAATAACTAAAATACTTACCGGTATCAACGAGCAACCTTACTAACCTTTTACAGTGGTAACTCGGTCTTTTTTGTGTACATGTAGACCAGATGTTATTTCCCCCTTATTTATATAGTTGTAAACGTGCACTGGGATGGTAGCTTACTAGCTGCTGAAAAAAATGAATGCAGTACAGAGGGTGAATGAAGCACAAAGCGGGCATGGAGTGCGAAACAGGCGTGATGGGGGAAGGCACCTTCCCCTGTGGCACATGCCCGGCACCCCTTGCTTGCTTTGCGCTTGCCTGTAAAAGGCGGAAAAAATAACGCCTCTTCTGCGGGCTAAATTGTATGTGGAAACGCTCAGAATACGAAAAAAAGGTGCCAGTAACTGGAGCTGGCCGCCTATGAGAATGGTTGATATAAACCATTTTCATTCAACTGGCCAGATGCAAATTTATTGGAATGAAAGAAGGCGTGTAGATATGAAAAAGTTTCAACTCCCAAAGGATTTATTTGGGAGACCAAATTGGCCGCTAATTTATTGATTTGAACAAAAGAAAGCATAATTTTACATTGGAAAAGAGGGAATTAAGAGAGCTTTCACTGTAATCTTAACTCTCTGCTTAGGTTTATTAGTATTCATTCAAAGTATTTTGCCCTTTCTGATTGACTAAGGGCCTGTTTACGTGGAGGTGGGTGACCCCAGATAGGTGACGTAACATGCGTCGGGTCACCTCACCTACCATGTAAACGTGATCAAATGAAGATGAGAGATCATGGACTGGCGTACCCTAGGAAAACATCCGTTTCTCCTCGCTCTTCGCCGCTGAGGACGTTTCGCAGGCTAGGACTGGCGGGTTACCTCACGTACCTGGGGTCCCCCACCTCCATATAAGCAGGCCCTTAAATCTCCCAGCTAATTCTTGATGACCAGCCGGCACTGACCGAATTTGGAAGATGTGGACAATATAGATTTCTCACCATTTGAAACAAATTTCCTGGTAGCAGCACTGCAGCCAAGCTTTTTTGTCATAAGCACAGAAATCCAGAAAATTGCAAAAATTGGTGTGTTGTGGGCCGAGTAAGACTTACAAGTTTTACTTAGTATTCTTTCCTGACTCTTTCCTGCAGGTATAGAGACTTTCAATAAATTGCGGCTTCTTGATGTATCGTTCAACTGTATAGCCTCGTTAGCGGAATTAACACCTCTGGCCCATTTGCATAATCTGATATCTGTAAGTACTATGGTAGTGGGATGTTTAGAATCATTTGTTTTTGTTTTGGTGCAGAAATTTCCTTAAAGCAGGAACCACTTCAGTTTCAGCCGTTGAATGTCCTTCGTTGGACGTAGGCCTTCCCCATTGACCTTTACTGGTCCACGTTTTGGCGACACGATGTCAGCATTTTAAGGTGATGACGCACGGGACAATTGGCGCGACGCAGCGTTGCGACATTGTTGCGAATCGTCCCTTATAATATCACCAATATGAAACTATCCAAGTCGTCCCTCTATCCCGTATTCTTTGTCTTCTTCGGTTTAGCAGGAACCACTTAGGATAGAGGCAAAATAAATCCGTTTGGAGGAATCTTGCAGGTCAAGATCTATGCCCCCTTAGCCTGTTCACAGACCCTCTATTTTCTCTTTTGAGTTGATGAGCATGCGTATGAAAATAGAGACTTTTAGGTTCAAGGACGAGGACGACTTATACGAGTACAAGATTTGACTTAAAGTTTTTTCGCGAATTCTCATAAAATAGACTCCCCGGAAAGCTTCATCATACTTATTTTTCACCTAAAAAGCTAACACTGTTATCTTTCTTGAAGGAGGTTAAACCCTCTCCCGCTAGCAAAATGATCAAACTTCTAACATTTGATTACTTACCTGAAAGGTGATGTTACACGAGACGATTCGCAGCGACGATTGTTAGCGCAACACAGCGTTGCCACATTGTTGCGACATTGCTTCGAACAGTTACAACATTGTTCCAACATTGCAACGATGTGTTGCACTAAACATCGTCGTTGCTAATAGTCCCGTGTAACATCACCTCGGTGTTTCCGCTACTGCGGTATTTTTAGTAAACGACGACGACCAGGTTTTCCCGCCAAAATGACAATGGTTCACGCGCACGCACTACTTAGTATTGAGAAAGTCGTCCTCGTTTTAGAATCTAAAGCTCTCTAATAAAAACTGTGGGTTCGTGCTCGTTCTCGAGCTCGCTATTGTGCACACCGAAAAATTCATTAAAAAAGTAATTAAAAACAGATTCTGTTTATTCATAGCTAAATCTTGAAGGCAATCCAGTTGTGTTCTGTCCTTACTACCGCCGAGCCACAATTGCTTGTCTGTATCCCATACCAAGAGTGGAACCGGTAAGTTGACAATGACAGTAGGGCCATTTATACGAGGAAAAATGAGACGCCTGTTGAATAAGACGCGAACTGTACCATTTATACGAGCATGTCTTATCTAAGACGAGAACAGCTTCTATAAATGGTTCGCGTCTTATTTCTGTTCTTGACTCGTTTTCATGTGAATGATGCCCGTAGCAACGGCAATCCAACGTGGCGCGCCAAAAATTAACGCATGCGTACTATGCGTTCGTGTCTTGTGTAAGACGCGACGGTCATTTGTACGAAGTTTTTCTCGTCTTAGCTAAGACGCGTCTTATCTAAGAACAGGCGTTAAGGGCTGTTCTAAAATAAGACACGTCTTAGCTAAGTCGCGTCTGATTATAGACGAAATATGCCGTTTATACGGAAAGTTCGCGTCTTATTTAAGACGCTTCTTATGTAACACGCGTCTTATTTTCAATTTCCTCTTATAAATGGCCCTAATATTACAACGTACATGCCTCTAAGGCTTTGGGGAGTTTGAGATCAATAATATTAATAATTCTATTCCGCTGTTTCTTAGATTCAGATCGATGGAAAACCTTTAGACTCAGAAGAACAAATTGTAAGTACACTGTTAAGTTAAATGCGCCCGTAAAAAGATAATTTATTCAGATTAGCCTCCATGACAGCGCGTTGTTCTTGCACAACTTAGCTTCTGTTCATTTCTCCCTTTCACCCCATGTTAGAGAATTCGGAATCGGGAATCAGAAATCCGGGAAATTTTTGCTCGTGGAATCCAGAATCCTGGGCTTTCGGTAGAATCACCGACTGAAAAAATAAATACAAAAACTCTGAACAATCTTATACCCCAACACAATACCTAGTAAAACTGCGGTTGTTTCCTGTAGCTCCTTGGAAGGAATGTCCAGCCAGTGTCTATGTTATCGTACATTCCTGAACCAACTCTTCCACATCCGCGTGTTAAGGCCGTTAGGCAAGTAGCTGAAGACCTGATGGAGTCATCAGAATCTCAAGAAGAATCGGGGTCCTCAACACCTAAACCAAGGAAATACAAGGTAACTTCCTTATTTTGGGGGGAATTTAATTTGGCAGAAACGAAACAGACATATTCCGCGGGAATTAAGGTTATGTTCACATTGTGCAGGATATAGCTTTTGCGCTGCAACGAAAATCATATCGGACTAGGGCTTTTTTATGTTCACACCCAAGAGCGGTTGTGGCGGCCCGATTTCTATGACGGAGCGAAGCTGCGTCCCGCCGATATCGAAAGTGGAGCGTCACATAGCGGATAGGTTTTGTGCCATACTTTGGTGCAGTGTGAATACCTATTCGCCCCGTCGCGGAAGTAAAATAAGGAGCTTTAGCAGCGACGACGGCAACAGCAACGAGAACGTCAAAAAAGCAATAAGTTTACAGAGCAAAAAGAAAACAACTTTGCACGTGCATCACTCTTTTTGTACATTTCTTTGCCGTCGCTGTACGACTACGACGTGAAAATGCGTAATTTTTCGTTTTATGGAGGTCGTAAACAAGCAACGACGTATTTTCCTTTCTGTTTCTAAACTTGAGTACAGTTCCCAAGAAATTAACTCCAGGGAAATTCACCTATATTTGACATTTTCAACGACTTGGAATTAACGCGACTTACAGTAGTTTGAAAAAAGGTGAATTCAGTTTAAAAGTGACGTTTTGGCTGCCGTCGCCGTCGTCGATGCTAAAGCTCCTTACTATTTAGGAGACGGAAGTAAATATTTACGAGTGAGGACTGGAATTTAGTGCACCTAACTCTCTCGGCCAACCGTGTCAGTACGATGTTTCGATGTGTGTCAACGACTTGTGCTAACCTGCGAGCAAGCTCTCCAGTTGGAGGATATCGTGAAAAGTAGACACGCGAGAGGAGACGCTAAGCCCCTTACGGCTTCGCCGCGCGCTCTCGCGTTCTCGCGCGGCTCGTTTCGCTTGCCCACATAAGAGAGCTTGTTCACAGGCTGGACTTGTGCCGCCCCGGGCCGTTACTGTGCATACTGTGCCAAATAGCTTTTTGTGGCGCGGTGAAAATTATAAGCTATCCAGTTTAGTGTGAACATAGCCTTAATTTCGCGATTTGGCCAAAAATATTTATTAAAAGAAACTGAATTTCACGTAAATTGTCAAAATACTGATCTGCATTAACAAACGGTTAGTCTCTGAATTAGCTCAGCCGATTTGAATTTTCCATAACAAGAGTTTTCACTAATACTGCGGAAACGAGACCATATAACAACAAAACGAAACTAAAAACTGTTTTAAATGTTCCTGTTCAACAAATCAGAGCGATATAAGAGTACATGACACCGTCTATTTGCGCTTACTTCTGAAGGACATTGTCATTTTCTTCGAATGGATCTTCGAGAGAAAGAGCTGTCTCACCCTTTTCTACCCCCAAAACTCCTGCGTTCTCCCATTTCTTTGGTTATGTAAGAGTTATATGACAGAGTATTAAATTTCGCCTGGTTAGTTTTCGCGAAAATAAGTAATAATAATAACACAAATATAAATCAACCAGGTGTTTTTAATGCCGGTACATGACTGAGTAACCTACCAATAGAAGAAAAGCTAATCATCAGCTTTTTGTTTGTCAAGATAGTCAGACTTTTTCTTACGTTTTGCTTAATATTTTAGAAGAAAGGTAAAAAGGGAAAACGACTGGTAGCAAGAGAAATCGACTTTGACGAAGAAAGTGAAGTTGTATCAGAAGACCAGCCGTCGACTACTCCCTGCCCTAGTAAGGCCATGTCTTTATCTCGTTCAGTTGCTCAAAATTATTTTGTTTACCTTAATGGATTTTGTAGCTTCCTCATCAATTATCCGGATAAATCTCAACACAATTTTTGTCCGGGTTTGCCTACTGTCAACACTTGACGTTTACGGTCACAGGAAACACAGCTTCTTGAAAATTATCTGCAGGATGGAAAATATAAAATTTAACGTTTAATTATTTCCCCGCATGTCACCTTTTTTTGAGTGGCAATTTTCGCCCACAATTCCATATTTCACTCATTCTACTTACCCTCCGAAGGGAGTACAGTCAACTACTCGCCTTGCAGTCACCCCGCTATAACGGACACCCCGATAATATGGACAGCAGCTAAATCCCAGGCAAAAATAGATCATGGTTGTTTAACTGAAATAAACTCCCGCTATTACGGACTCTCGTTAATGTTGCTACTAACTCAAGGGCTCTACGGTGTCCGCTATAAAAGGAGTTGACTATAAAGTGGGACTTCTCGTATTCTGTAGTGACCGAAAACAATTTAATCGTTTCCAGTAAAATAAAAAACGTCTTTAAAACAGGCTTAGTACGGACAGGGCCTCAGATAATACATATGTACTAACAAGAGCGGAGTTTCGCCAAATTACTCCAGCCGATCGCATCCGACGGCTTCAATCAAATAAACCAATCATATCGTAGCAAATACATGTTGCTGGCACTAAAGGCAAAAGGCGGGAAAACTTGGTCAGCCATTCACGATTGTGTTGGCTCTATTCTCATTGGCTAAGAAAGTGGCGCGAGATTTTTATCCAATCACAAAGTTTCGCAATTCAAAGCCAAAGCAAGTATACGAGGTATCTGTGAAAACGACTTTATCTTCATTTTCATATATCTGTTGGAAGTTTTTTCAGTAAAACTAGTAATTATAAACGGTTACTCCTGTACAGTTCTTTGTCACTTTCGTAATTGCCATTTATTTTATTTGTAGCTCCCATAGAACAAGTATTGGAACATGAGGATGATGTAGAACAGCTAAAGAAACTGAGGCAATTAGGTGGAGAAGGTACTCAGGCGAATAAAGTATTTAACAAAAATAAATGAAGAGGCATCAGAGTAGATTGTAAATTATCCTGGGATCCTTAGAATCCTACTTTTTTGTTGGTTATTGACCTGTTAAAATGGCCAAATTTTCACGATGTATTAGTGAGCCGAAGACTTTGAGTAGGCTGCCATTTTTTTCCCTCAGAATATTGAGCAAAACACGACAGCTCACCGCGCAAAAATCAAAATCCTCTCTTGCTAAGTCCACTCGAATCCTGATAGTTTTAAAACCACATACTTTTTTACACGAATTGGCCGCTTCCGCCCAAACGAAACCAGTGAATCTGGTCACCGGAACCCCACTGTTTTGAAAACATTCTCCAGAGCCGTTCAAGCACCCGTCCACACGAATCCGGATAAAGAAAAAATGTGTGGTTTCAAATATTTCTGGATTCCTGTGGACAGGCCTAATTTCTTCCTTCACGTCTCTCGGATCGCGTTTGTTCATAGGAGATGATTTTCGCTGACGCAACTTGTGGGAAATCCCGCACGCCTATCGTCGAGAAAAAACTTCTACTACTGGGCTACTGGAAGTTCAGTTAGGCAGGATATGAATAACGTTACGGCTCTAAAATTTCAAGCATTGTGCTACTGATACCTTTAGCTGATTTGCAACTTTCCCTTTATTTTTAGATTAAAACTTAATTACTGTAATAATCCCTTCTAGGCTGGTTACCCTCCATTTCTCAAGTAGTTCCTGATAAGGATGCATTAATTCCGTCAGTCCAATCTCCACCCGATCGGGATCGAGGTTTGTTCAAAATTTGCCTGTTGATTACCCTGGGTACCGGAGGTTTTTTCTCTCGTGCGACGGGGAGCTTCGTTTCGTCGGCCGCAGGCCGACACGTGTTCGGCTGAAGGCCGAAGACTGACCGTTACCGGAAACCGCGCATGAAAAGCCTCTGGCACCCAGGGTACTTGTTGTTTTGTTTAATTGTTTTACTTTAATTAATGTCACTATTCCGCTTAAGATACACATGAAAAGGTAACACAACTAAATAGCGCACGCAGGCAAATAAGACAATTACTACAAGATGGCGTAATAAGGGGGGGACACAGCCCTGTAGCAGGTTCTAGCGACTTCAGGTTATGCGCACAGCAAAAACACAAGCCTCACTTATCGCCCCACTACCGTGGGGTAGGACAAGAGTATTGGCAGAGCCTTTCTTATCTCCTCAGCGCCGCACGGGCTGGATCGGACAAGATTAAGGCAAATGAATAAGATGGCAAGACACAAGCAATGCCAAAAGCTTGGGGGAAGTCGCAACGCAGACTTAACCGCACCACAAGGAGTGACCCCCCAAACTTTATTGATACCTAACACAACAAAACTCCTCCATAGGGAGGGAGGGTGGGTAACAAAATTACTGTAACTGTTTGCTTTCGTGCAAGCTAGACGAATAATGACCAGGTCTGAAATAGCAGAACTTTTATAGCTAGACAGTGTCTCAAATCTCGACCAATAAATATGGTTGTACCATAAGCTACCTAGTCTTATCATGATTTAAGTCTAGCCATAACTGCGCGATGCTAAGAAAAATATGATGACAAACATACGACAAATTAGTCAGGTTCCAACCACGATAAGGCTTTAAAGATCGAAGGGAGCATACATTGGGGCAGGCTACCTTAGCCTACCCCCCCTGGGGCTTCATGTTCCATTAACTACATTTACCATCTGGTAAATGTCTTATTGTCAGAACTATTAGGGTACCAACACCCTGGCAGAACCTCTCTGGTTAAAAGCAGATGAGTTGTTTAATGGCTCAGTGTTTCACAAAATAACGGAAGAAATGAAGCCGACAGATCCCTATCTAGAGTTTTCACAGCCAAGTACATCACAGCACTGGAAGACTACGAGTAATTGAAGACTTCCGCACAGGGTGTCGAGAATTTGATATGACGTGAATTCTTGGTTCGAACCAATAACGACAGGGAAATTACGAAACAAAATCGACAAATTCGGTGAAATAAAACATCACAAGAGTCTAGGATCCATAGTTAGAAAGAACTTTTAGACAATATATTTAGAAAAACGTGTCAAAAGGTGTGTAATGTTTGATCTACACTGAAAATATTTTCAGCGCCGAGTATTGTCCGTACAGAATCCGTAGCAAGTGTCTCAGAAGATAAGACGGAAATAATCAGTCCTAGAAGCAGCATTAGCGTTATTTCAGACGAAGGTAAGCTACTAATAATTATAGCACTGGGAAAATTCGGGTTTGGCTTAAATTTGTACTGTTGCTCAAGCTACATGTTCCTAGGGCGCTTTCCAAAAGTCCGAATTAGCCGGCTAGACCATGGCCAGACCAATCATTTTGTCTATGAAAAAAAGCTTTTTCCAAGAGTTTTTGATGAAAAACCATCTCCTTTGTTCATTGTAAGGTAATGTAAAAGCGCACACGAGCCAAAGGCTCGAACGGCCGACACTTATTCCGGTTTCCTTAGTATAAGGCATGCCTGGGAGTATTGCTACTCCCCCCCTGGACGGGATGCTAGTCCATCGCAGAGTTACTCCCCTGCAGTGTGTCGCCGGTACCCACTTGTACACCTAGGTGAAGAGGGACAAAGTGGAGTAAAGTTCCTTGTCTAAGGAAACAACGCGACGGGCGAGGCTTGAACCCCGGACCTCCAGATCTGGAGTTCGAGGTTTTAACTGCTCGGCTACACACACCCCTCCTTCGTGCATACTATTTATGATTTGACTGATCTGGCTGGATCTTTTAAATTAAAAGTAAGATTCTCGTTACGACGGCAGAAATGGTCCGGCCGGTGAGTTATAATAAATTTAAAGCGGCCTTAGTGTCTTTTTATTGGGAATGCTGTGTCTATTATTTGTTGTTTCTTGGAATTCGTCGAGAGAACAGCACGAGCTTTTATTTAAGCCAGTCACACAACCTTACGTTTGGTCTGTTTATCTCTGTTTTGAACAGATATTTCTGATGCCCAACATTTTCTGGTAACACTCTTGTCCACTCCAGAGGATGATGACGGCTCCGCAGTGCCTTTGTTTTTAACCGTCAAGAACGAATTCATTGTGGAGAAGAACTTTGCTGGCAAGGTAAAAATTCAGATATAAAACGTCAACACCGAGATCCAAGAATAAAGCTACCTTTTCCAGCACAGTGGAGGGTATCAGCATTCGAAACAGATATTCACAAGAGCAATTCTGTAATATGTTCTGTTCTTACTTTACTTTCTATTTGTAAAAACAATTAGTCGGTAATTCTTTATCAGTTAACATTGTTTAATTGCCGAGAGATCATTCTGTAAGTGATTCGTTCGTTACACAACACAACTAAAACATCAGTAGGTCGAACAAGAGAACAAAGCGGTGGTTAACCTTCGCGGGTAACAGCGCGCTATTACCTTCTGACGTAGATTTGGTATTGTTGCCCGCTTGGAGACTACTGGCGGGAAACAGTTTCATTATACGTGACTTCCAGTTTGGCTTAGGGAATAAGGTAAAGAGATAGCTAGAAAGCGCGTGAAGATGTGGGGAAGAAATGAAAGGCTTCTTCGAATGAAAGCACTTACTATGGGGCGGGGGGGGATTACCACATTACTACTATAGAACAATTACACGTGGACATGGATTGAGTCAGGGGCACTCTGTGTATAAAACTCTCAAAGTTCCTGAGTCCAAAGGGTGTTAATGAGATAGACTTCAGGGTGGAACACCGTGTTGGATATTGGCATCTTCGAGTGCTTGACTTTTTAAGGGGGAGGTTAGAGATAGAGAAACTAAGAGTTTTTGTAGCAGAAATCAGTCTAAACATGCGCACTGCAATGCACGATTTCTTTGTCTATGGCTTCGAATTATTAATCAGTTTGAGAATTATTCAACAACAAGTTTATCCCAAGAAAATACACATTACGATAATATTCTTTGTTTTTGTTGTCAGGTCATTTCTCAGTTAGAGACGAGCTGTTTGCAAGAGGTGTGGGTGGACAGCACAACAGATGATCACAATGTCGTACATATAAAATTTGATTACATCAATCCTGATCGACAAACCCGTGATTATATCATGGAAAGCCAAGAAGATTCTCGGGTAAAAATACGCCTTGCCTTTATATCTTGGTAATCTTTCTTCAGGCTCATCTGTCAAAAGAAAGAAAGAACGTTTTAAACAAACATTGTAAGATTTCATTTCCCCGAACTTGAGTTATATCAGCCTTATGCTGTCACAAATATTTCAAGGTTGATGGGTATACGCTATCAGTAAGTTGCAAATTGGCCTACCCCTCCCCTAAGCCATTATTTTGCCCTAAGTGAGCAGTAAGTGTTAATGTTGGCTTAGGGGAGGGGTAGGTGGGCAGTTTCCCCGGAAACCTAAATTTATCCGCAAATTGAACAACTAGGAAGTTCTTTTGAAACTTTTTTCCTTTTGCTTCCTATGAAAGTAGCCAGGGATCGTGCTAGTAGTAGCCCTGATTATACAGCGCAAAAACACATCATCGTTACAAAAAAGTTGGATCATTATACGTGTCTAGGAAACTGCTCACCTACTCCTCCCCTGAGCCATTATTTTGCCCTAAGTGAGAAGTAATTGTTATTCCTTTAAGTCCCAATAGTGACCAACAGCAATTTTCTCCTAACAATGTCCATACATGTCGAAAGATAAGGTTGTGAGAATATAAAAAATGATCACGAAAGAGAAAATGTCTTGATGTTTTATTAAATTCTCTCAACTAATTCTTAAAGAAAATGTATTGAGATCAGCTTGGAGAATTTGTATCTGGATACTGGGGCTTAAAAGGTTAATGTTGGCGTAGGGGAGGGGTAGGTGGGCGGTTTCCCAGAAACGTTGAGTAGAATTCGTTTAGATTGTCGACAGCCAAACAAACGTTTAAATGCCATCAGACTTTAAAGCAAGAACCACCCTTTTCTAAAAGTAGCAAAACGTTCCGTCATAAAATTCACGACAGTGAAAGAAGTTAAAAATTGTATATACCCAATGCTATCCAGAAAGATAAACTCTCTTTCACTTTTTGTCTTTTTTTGACTTTAAATAGAAATTTGCAGACATCCTGAGGCCGTTTGTGACAATAAATAAAGAAATCAAGCTGTCTGCTGTTGAACGTCTTCAGGTGAGATGAGTGAATTTGATTATGCATTCAAACTTTCTCAGAAACTTTTACATGTTCCAGGCGTTTAGTGAGTGGATAGCGACTGGAAAGAAAATGTCAATGAGATATCATCATCATCATCATCATTATCATTGCAGTCAGTTGATGCGGCCATATCAAGCACCATGAGGCAGCAAAGTGTTGCTGAATGGCTTGTCTCACATATTATTAACCAAAGGTTAGGTAGTGCGGGCAAGATCGATGCAAATAACAATCTTACTCCAACGCTGCGCTTTGAGCAAGTTTCACTTGATAGAAGATACAATCGCGCGTGATTAGATTGCTTTCTATGCATTCCATCGATTCTTAGTGGAAGTCCAAATCGAATGCTGGCTACATACTTGCTGCGCATGTGTAATATCAACCTGAAGACTAGGATTGCGGGCTCTTCGAGTCGCCCGCAATAGCCCTCGTTCGATATATTAAAATTCTAACATGACGCCGAGGCTTTCTGGTCATTTTTCTATATTTGGTTTGGTTTTCTCTGTGCTTAAGTCTCTTCTTGGAATTACGAGACAATGGAGTCGTGAAAAATTTGCAATTTTGACCCTAAAACCTCGGAGTCATGTTAGAATTTTAATATATCGAACGTGGGCCATATATTAACTTAGGCTTGGTAAACGAAAGAGCAGTCCATTCAGTGTAAAAACCAGGGTCGAGTATAGTCCTGAATAAGTGTTGGTGTTTGACCTTGCCTTCGGAGTTTTTACTGGAACAGCAGAGATAAAAGCCAGCCTCGAATTTAGTTTGAAACATAGTAGAATTAATGAACACAAATCTTAGAATAACATTTTGTGATTCAGTGCTCTTCAAGTAATTTAGTGATCGTTGCTTGCTAACGGCGTAGTCTTTAGATCTTCCGTCATTATCCTTAAGGAATTTATCTCCAATTGTTCTTTGTTTTGTTTAAATTCGTAGTGCCTGAAGTGTTCTGCGGAGTTCACCCGACCAATCAGGACAGATGATCCGCTCTGTCCGGACTGTGGCAGCTCCATGACCGTGCTAGCGACGTCACCGAATCAGGAAAAGCAGGAAAAACGAGTTCTCCCAATTCGAACCATAGGAGACCGTTTGAGGGAACACACAGAAGGCTCTACACTGAACACAAGCTCAATAAAATCATTGAATGGTAACATGTCCATCACTCCACTTGTAAATATGTCATCATCTTCATCTTCCTCCTCATATGCTGACGCTTCTGATCAGCAAACAACACAAGAAACAGCGAAAGAAGAAAATGGCGTGGATTTTTTTGAAAGCAACGCTCCACCGACAGACAAACAGTACGTTATTCTGACTTATGCTTGTTATATAGTTTTGTTGTTGTAAGCAGTATAAAAAATGGGAGACTGGGAGGAAAGGAAGAAGGCAGTTTCCTAATACCGTCGATTGCATCTAAGCGTGTACACGTGAGGAACAAACGTGTTCTAATTGAGTGCAAACATGACATGTTTTGCCGCCAAACATTCGAAGTTTAGAGTAGGCGGTTGTTGTCGACTTGATCTGTTTTCGCTCAACAAAATATTCTTTGCAAGAATTTTTAGATGTTAAAAATTATTTCTGGAGGCCAGTGTGCTGTTTCTGAGCGAGAAATATCCCTGAAAGTTCAGAAAAATGAAATATGAGCGGAACGCACTGATCAACCTTTAACATAGGAACAACTTACCTTTGGCGCGACAGTTTGCTTTTATGGCTGTCAAACTTCAAATTTTTGGCAGCAAAACACGTCATGTCTGGCACCCTATAAGAACATGTTTTGTTTTTTGTCTCGTGTCCATGTTTAGCTGCAACCGACGATATAAGTGCCTGCCGTTGCACAAGGATTGGCGTTACTAGCCCAAGAACCCTCTCCTTTCGTCTTTTCTCTCCTCCCTCTCCTCTCGTTGTCTTGCTGTGTAAAAGGTTTTGCCCAATGTTTTTTGTCCAAAACTCACCACTTGTTCAAGTCGTGAAGTTCGAGATTTGTGTGCTTCGTTTAGTACGAATGGTAAAGTCGTGAGATCAGCCAGCCTTTGAATTCGTGCGATTCATATTAGTGGTGAATGAGTGATATTTCATTGTGATAATATGAAGTATGACATGCTTAAAAGCGTATCTATAACCCTCTCTTTGCACTAATAAGATGCAATTTCACCAGTCAGTTGTACGACTTCCACCAATAGAAAAACCCCATCTCGACAACACTGCTAGCCTGAGAAATCAGCCCACATTTCGCGATAGCCTGCGTTGCAAGCGTTTCCGTTTGGTTTCGGAGTAAAGAAAAACCGAGGAACGGCCGCGCGAGAAATGAAATTAGAGCGAAAAAATAACAGAGGGGGGAGGGGGAGGTGAAGGAAGTTTCCTTCCTTTCTTCCCCACCCCTTCCCCGCTCTTTTACTTGCGCCATTTTTCGCGCGTTCCTCGTTCTTTGCTCCTAAACCGCACGGAAACGCTTGCTACGCAGGCTAATTTCGCGACGCCACCACTGGTTTCCCGGCGAAATGACGTCTGAGAAACGAGCGCAGAAATACCATACTGATGGCGCGTCACTACCCAGATCTGGGTAGAGCTTCTGATTGGTCGTGCCGCGTGGGAAATTTGCTTCAGCCAATCAGAAGCCCCGACCCAGATCTGGGTAGTGACGCGTCATCAGTATGGAATTTCTGCGCTTGTTTCGCAGACGTTATTTCGCGGAGAAGGCGGTGGTGGCGTCGGAAAATGTCGGCTGTTTTCTCAGGCTGCAACTCCTGCTGTCAATTTCTAAGTGTTGCTAATGAGATGGGATTTCACCAGTTCCTGAAAAGAACCCCGCTCTCTACACTCCTGAAATGCAGCCAAGTAATGTACTTCACTTTATTTCACTCAAACGTATCACATTAACCACTTCAACCAATCGCACAACTTGATGACTTGTACCACTCGTACCACTTGCTTCTTACTATACAGTGGTGAGTATAGGACTTGAGTGAGCTTGAGGCATTGCTTGTGTTTAGTCACCTTATTCCTTTGCCTTGATCTCTTCGATTCAGCCCGTGCGGCGCTTGGGATTTAAGGAAGCCTCTGCCAATACTCTTACTCTGATAAGTGGTGCTTTGTGTTAATTGTGTGCATAACCCGAAGTCGCTCTAATCTTCTAAAGGGCGGTGTCCCCCCCCCCCCCCCCTCTTATTAGGCGATCTTGTTTTTTTATTCAGTTTTGTCTGCGTCTTTTATTTTGTTGCGTGACCTTTCGTGGGAATTTAAAAAGCAGAATAATGAATAGTTTTCTCTTCCCTTTCAAAGACCTTCCACACGGGCTGCGCTGTATTATTTGGTTTAACGTTTCAAATATCCTAACGTGAACACTCCCCCCCCCCCCCCCCCGCCTCGAGAGGCCAGAACACAGTTGTTTTGTACGTTGAAGAGAGAAAATGTGACTTAAAGTTTGTTTAATTGGCGTTAACTTTTTTTTTCCGTTAGGGAAAAGAAAAATATAGCTGAAACAGAGGACAGTCCCGATGTGATTCCCAGGACAAGAGAGACGTTGGAGCAGCCTTCAAATGTTCCGGACTTGTGCTCAAACGCTTCAGGGAATGTCAGTAATCACAGTGAAAAGGCACAAAAGAAATTTATAATCACTAACCGTGGCAACTTCAAAGTGGCTTCCGATAATAACAAATATTCGTTGGGAAAACAGGCAATCAATGCCACACAAGTAAGGACAAGTGCGCTTAGTAACTCGTTGAAAGAGTCGAAATATAGCAAATTACCTCAAATGGCAAATTCACCTCCACGAAAATTCTCTGATTATTCAAATGGAGTGTCACCTAGTAGAATGAAATCCGCTGAAGATGTCATTGATGGCTATCCATCGACACCCCCGGACCGAAGGGTGCGTCACTCAAACCGGAAGCTGCGTTACTCCAACCGAACGTTGCGTGACCATGACAAAAAAGCTGAGTTACTAAGTCAGTCACTTCCAGCTTATGGAAATACGTCATCGAACGGCTCGTTGCATGGAACTCCAACGAGAAAACATTCTGAACAAAAATATTCCTCATTCCAGCAAAAAATAAGTCAAAATGGAAATACTCCCAGAGACTCAGATAGTACATCGAATCAAACACCACAATCGACCAGTTTGTCCAGATCACCAACTCCCAAAATGTTTTTTAACAACTTGTTAAACCGGTTAAGTGGCCGTTTATCGGGTTCAGGAAACAGTGTGAGCAGTTCGGACTCGCGGAGCTCTTCCAACTCAAGTTCGCGGGCGTCGACTCCCACGATGATGGAACAGAATGTGGTGCTGAGCTTTCGCTTGTCCGCGGACGAGTTTTCTAGCTGTGATCACAAGCTGAAGTTGTATTTTGAGGTGTCATTGTTTCGGTGGGGCAACCACGAGGAGTTTTGTTGCTTACTAAAGGCAAGTAAATGGCTTGATCAGCATTTGTGTTACTTAGCTATTATCTTAGTTTGATTTTTCAGATAAATGGGAGAATACGGCGGTGGGAGGCCGGGAGAATAGGGGTCGGAAGGGGTACGAGAGGCGGGGGTACTGGAAACGGGAGAGGAAAGGTCGGGAGGGGGAGTTCTGAAAAGGCGTGAAGCGGGAGAAATGGCGGGAAATTATGCAACAGTGCTTATAATTTTGCAATCGAAAAAGGCCTAAAGCAAGGAAGCCAGAAAAAAAGGGGCGGGTCCCGGAATGCAAGGTACGCGGGAGCGGGAGGTTTGGACCATTCTATTGAAACCTCTTTCCCAGCACTTTCACATAGAACTATTTCTTTTCAACATGTTACAATATAAAAACTGTTCATTTTTTTCTAGTTTTGGCTTTCACCACTTCTTAGGCTATGTTGACACTCCAGAAAGCGTTTGTTCCGACACGAACAGCTACCCGGTACAATAACAATTAAAATTTTAACATGACTCCGAAATTGCAAATTTTCCGCGACTCCATTGTCTCGCAATCCCCAGAACAGAATCGAGCACAAAGAAAACCAAACCAAATATAGAAAAAAGAACCAGAAAGCCTCGGAGTCATGTTAGAATTTTAATATATCGAACACGGGCTATTTCAACTCACGGTTGGGGCCGAGAGGGTTTGGTGCACTAATTTCAAGTCCTCACTCCTGAATATTTACTTCCGTCTCAAAGGGGTCCAGTCCTCGCTCTTACTTATTCACTTCCGGTACAGTCCAAATACCTGTTGACACCACACCAAAGTGTGGCACGGAAAGTATCCGGTGTGTGACGCTCCACTTTCGAGATCGGCGCGGCGTGGCGCAGCTTTGCTCCGTTACGGAAATCGCGCCGAAATCACTGTTCTTCATGTGTGTGAACAGAAGCTTTATCCAGTATGAATTTCGTGCCGGCGCAAAAGCTACCCGGCATAGCGTAAACATAACCTTAGAATGGAAATGTTAATGTTGTATTTGTACTCTTTAGGCTCCAGTTGTGGTTTACGGCAGCACAGAAGAAACGCCAGCCTTGATGATAACCTCCAATGTGATGTTCTACATTTGTAGATTTGCTCTAAAAGGAAGGTGCGGATCTAATATAACAAAATTTTGAAAGTTTTGAGAAGCTAAGTAACATTTTACAGCCAAGTACTCAAAACAATATTGTGAAATTTTTGCTATGAGCCTCCTTGCTTATACCGGGCCCATCTATCGCCAAACGAAAAAAAAGTTCTTATTAGAAGATGAGAGCGAACTGCAAGTTGATTGAATGGCGTCAAAACCTGTGAATTTCAGGTTCATTCGCTCACCTAGTCAATATTCCGTAGGTTTTTGGTCTCACGCAAAAGTACTTTTTTAGGAAAATTTCCTTCGTGGTATCAGATGAACTACTCATTTGATTAACAAGGCTTCTATCTTACGCGCTTATGGTGTCCCTGTGACTCTTCGCCAGTTATCTCCGTTGAACTTTGCCCTGGTAACGCGCAGGGTGTGATGGGAAAAAGGAAGCCTTTGCTCCCGCCGTGCGCGGTACGAAGAGGACTGAGACGAGTCAGTTGCGAATGCCTGTAGCCTGCGTGGCCATGTGGCAGGCGTTTGAAAGAAACGAGGGAAATTGGGTGGAGGGAAACTCAATAAGGGCGCTAGGAAGGAATTCCCTCGCGCGCCCTCCTCGTTACCTCGCGCCTGATTTTCCACCATCTTTTTCGAGAGCCCGCCTCACAAACGTAGCCTCTAAATTTGTTTGAGCCACCGCCATGGTAAAGCTTGGTGTCCTAATCTTTGAGTCTTGACCCCTTCGGCAAAGAAAAATCTTGCAATCAAACACTTCTTCACCAACGTGCAGTGAAGTAGTATAGTTCGCCTCCCACGCATACGGTCTTAAGGCGTCGTCATGTGTTCCTGGCGGGGCAGGACGCTTGCGCGGGCGGCTAAAGTTTGTAAATTGCGTGTTGTTCCTGTACAGTAGCATGGTGTGACTGTTTTTGTTTCTTCGTAGTGGGACCCCTGATGAGTGTTTGACCCCTCTGGTGTCTCATCCACTCGATGATCTACAGTTTATCGATCCTGGTCTGGGTGGTCAGGTAGGCAGTTTTTTTTTATGGAACAAAGGTATTTGAAACTTTTGTCGTAACGCCAAACTTTAGACGTTTACATCGCATTAGAGGATTCATCTTGGGGTTGCTTTATATAGCAAGTACGAAACGCGGGAAAAAAGGCATGCGACGATTGGTTTTCAGGTGCCTTCCGATTGGTTAAAAAAGTGACGTAAGTTTTATCTGAACCAATGAAAAAGTGTACCACAAAGTAACCCCGTTTACACGGGTCTAGACAAATTTTTGAACGGACAAAAACGGATCCGCCTCTCGTTTACACGGGACCTGGGGATGCTTGCAAGTTTTTGAATGGCAAACAGTATTGCAATCTGTCACAGAATTGGCACGGTTCCGTGTAAACGGGTCGCACAGGTAAAAAATTTGTCCAGACCCGTGTGAACGAGGCTAAATATCTCATTTTCGCTAACACTCGTAGTAGAGATTTTTAGATTCTTGGACGAGAAAGACTACGAGTACGAGATTTGACTTAAAGTTTTTTCGCGAATTCTCAAATTATAGACAGCCCGGAAAGCTTCATTGCACTTCTTTTTCACCAAAAAATTAGCACTGTTATCTTTACTGAAGGAGCTTAAGCCATCTCCCGGCCGCAAAATGAGAAAACCTCTAGCACTTTATAACTTGTTTCCGTTACCACGACATTCTCGCCCAAACTCGTAGTAGCATGACGACGGCATCATGTTTTCCCGCCAAAATGTCGCTGCTTCACGCACGAGCACAACTTAGTATTGAGAAAATCTCGTTCTCGTAGTCCTACTCGTCTAAGAATCTAAAGCTCTCTGGTAGAATAACTACGGGTATCACGTTTTCCCTCCAAAATGACGCTGGTTTAATCGTGCGCACCACGTAGTATTGTGAAAATCTCGCTCTCTTGTATTGTAGTCATCCTCGGCTAAGAATTAAAAGGTCTCAAATTACAATATACTTTTTCTCCCGTAGAGTTTTCGCCTTGAATTCTCAGCACCTGGGAGATGCTACGAATTTCTTGTCCGTGAAAAGGACCGCTGTGAAAGATTTCTCAACTTGTTTATCGGTAAGTGTTTATCCATTGACTTCAAATAAACAATTGTGGATATTACTGACGGAGCTTCTGTGCGCTGTTTTTTTTGCATGCGTATGCGTAGCCTATTCCTAAGACATAAGAGGTGTGTGGTTTTTAGAACCGCTACAATCTGCTAATAAGAATCCTCAAGCCCTTCCGTTATGTATTGAAATATGTAGCTTTCAGCAAAGGGTGGCAGAATAATGCTTGTTTGCCATTTCACAAGCGAGCAGTCTCTCTTTTGCTCGAAAATCTTCTAGCGAGCGCGATTATCATTTATGTAAGTATGTGAACGGTGAAGCCGCGAGCATCGAGTTTTGCAGGCGCCAGAACGAACGAAACGAGAGACCTCTTACAGTATCGCGCTTGCCTAGAGATTTTCTAGCAAAAGAAAGACTGCTCGCGGTCTCAGGTATAATTTCCTGTTCGATGACGGGCCTCAAATATGATTCCTCCTATTCAGATACTGTGCAACAAGCAAAACTTAAAGCCGGAAGCAAACCAGCCACGATAAGCGCGCCCCATCCACAAACGCTGGAGCATATTAGGTAAGTAATTTCGTCGTTAAACACCGTATTCTACTTGGTTTCAAACGCCGTGCTACTGCCGAACTTAAGTCGAAATTAATTCCTTCGATTGAGTTCGGCAGGGCCGGCAGTAGCATGTAGTAGCGGAATTCAACGTTCAGGTGACAGAGCAGCTTTATTTATCGATTGATTTTAAAATTCCAGGTCGCAAGTTTTTGGAAATAAAGTGGAAGATCCGTGTTTTATGGTAAGAGAATGTTTTATTATAATCATTACCATTATCGAAATCTTTATGAGACAGCATTTCTTCTCGAAGGGCCAGGTCCAAACTATAAACCTAAGGAAGTAGACATTTGCGTTTGCGTCGTTGTCACTTGATGGATGGGACCTTCCGTAACGTTGTCCTTTGAATTTCCTAGAGGTTTGTTGAGTCCTGGAATCTCACTGTTTTACCTATGTTTTGATTTTATTTATTACTTTATTTTCTTATGTGCAGGGCGAGAGACTCCGTCAACAAGTCCTGAAATTTACTGATCCACCATTAATTAAAGACCGTAAGGTTAGTAATATTACGCGCTTAAAATATCGTAATATCGCGATATCTTGTATCAATATTCGTATCGTAATTCCTCGAACGATATCGTTGCAGCCCTACCTTGTGAAAAAGGGTTCTCATCGTGATGTGACGCTACCTCTTTAGTACAACCACATATTCACGGCCCAGCAGTGGTCTACTTTATGTCATCCGAACAAAGATGACCGCTTTTTGTTTTAATGATTATTTACAGAGCTTGTTGAGAAGCTACTCCAGCTGCTTTGTCGGCAAAGAGTTTGTGGATTGGATGATTCAAGTGAAGGAGGCTGAAACAAGAGATGAGGTAACTTCACTAAACTGAGTGACTAGCTGATGACTGCGCTAACTGACTAACTGACTGACTAAGAGGTTGACTGACTAACTGACCGACGGACGGACTAACTGGCTGACTCACCTGACCGGATCACTGACTGACAGACCAGACTGACTGACTGACAGACTGACTGACTGACTGACTGGCTGGCCGGCTGGCTGACGGACTAACTGACTTACTGACAGACTGATTGACAGACTAATTGATTGATTTTCAGATTGACATGTCGGCCTGACTGATTGACAAAGGAACGGCTGACTGACGCACTGTCTTAATGACAGACGGATAGACTGACTGACTGGCCAACGAACAGACTGAGAGACAAATAGACACACCGAATGAGTAACTAAATGGCCAAGGGACAGTTCGACTGACTGATAGAATGTCTGACTGACAGCTGATTATTGACTGTTGTATTTACAGATCAAAAGATAGACTTTATTCTTTGGATTGTTATTTTTTAGGCTGTAGAGATTGGACAACGACTCCTGGATGCCGGCGCTGTAGAGCACGTGTCCAAAGAACCGCATTTTGAGGACAAAGACCAGTACTACAGATTTAACACAGAGGTAAGAGACAAGTTTTCTTCCAGAAATTCGTTATCCTAATAAAGTGAAATTCTGAGTCTGTGGATTAACAGCTGAGGTCATGTACATGAAATGCAAGCTTAAGCATGATTTAGGCCTGGTTCAGACGCCGTACTTTTCATGTGCCGAACCTAATTGAACAAGTTTGACTTTGAAGCGAAACTGGCAGGACATCTGATTCAGACCGTGTGTCAACCCTGAGTTAAGTTCAACAAAAGTTCGACAGACTCTGTCGAACTTAACGCTTTTGCCGCACCAAACTAAAACTGCCGTACCAATCTGATTCAGACGCCGCTCTTTTGCCTTACTTAATTCATCAGTTAGGTTCGGCACATGAGTAGAGCGGCGTCTTAACCGTGCCTTATTGAGTCCAAACAGGCCGTTTGACAGGGAGTTTTGAAAGTTCTTGGCGTATGTTGTAACTGGCTTCTCTCTGTTTTACTACATTGCAGACTGACTTGCTAAAGGAAGCAGCCTTTGCAGATAGCGTTCCAGATATGGATACTAATATCATTCTTTTCATCATGGCTCATCGCTGTACAGACACAACAAAACCCCGTAAGTGAATAACCACCGATAAGCCGTTTTCCCTAACTCTCCTTTGCGTACTTCTTACCTACTTCCTGTTGACGCCTAGACAACAACAGGAAGAAAACTGACCCCGTAGGGCTCGATCTCTCTTTCGACTTTCTAGATCTCTAACGTTCTCCACACCAATATCCCTCAACAGTGTGTTAACTCTTTAAGCCCCAAGATCCACATACAAATCCTCCAGACTGATCTTCATCATTTACCGGTATTTTAAGAATAGCTGAGAGAATTTGGTTTAATATCAAAACATTCTCCCTTCGGTAATCAAATTAGTAATTCTCATAACCTTTACTCTTGATGATCTGCTGATGTTGTTAGGAGAAAATTGATGTTGATCACTCTTCTGACCTAAAGGGTTAATTTTGGTAATTAGTGTTCATTCAAAATATTTTGTCGTTTCTGATTGGCTCCAGTTCCCCAGCAAGTTCTTCATAACCAACTGGCGCTTACCATAGTTAAAAGATGCGAGCGATATACCATCGATTCGATGGTGTATTTGATTGGAAAGGAGGCTGGTCGATGTTATATTTGATTGGAAACGAGGCTGCTTAGACAATAGTGAACCAAAGAAAATGGCGTTCACGGCTATTCGAAGGCGAAATAGTTGAATTTCTGACTCAAACAGAATAGAAGAAATGGAAGAATACGCTAACATATTGCTCAGCAAGGTAAAATATCTGTTAATTTCCTGAAATCGTGCCGAGAAATAGCCCAATTTTTCAAGAAAGTCCACGAGGAGGTAGGTATGTTATCAAAAAAATATTTTGAATAAGTAATAAAACAATTATTGAATTCGGCTTTCGTATGACTGTGAAGAATTATCCAGATCTCGGAGGATGTTATCCACCTCAACCTTCAGCCTCGGTGGATAACATTCTCCTCGATCTGCATAATTCTTCACTCCCTACACTGCCTCGTTCAATAATTGTTAACTGTCGACTTTTTCTTGCAGCCCTTCCATGAGACTTTCTAAAAGTCCTTGTTTTCCCTGTTGATTATGCGACTTCTTCGCTCGTGCGGTCGCTGCGCGACCTCATTGAAGCTCGCTCGCTCGCTTTCAAGAAATTATGAGAGTTCGACTTATAGCAAGTCTACCTTCCTATGTACAGGCACCCATGTCATCATCTGTTTGCTTGAGAGTTCTCATCTTTTTATGCTTGCCATATACGCTTACAGTGTCGGCTCTCTTTAGATTTCCGTTTGGAAGCTGTCAGCGTGGTGGTATCGCGGTCTCACATTGCTTTGGTTAAACAGAATCCCCAGTGGCCTGCCCCTCGATACACAGAGATGCCCCAGGATCCCAAGGGACCAGCATTTTTGTGCTTAGCAAAGCACAAAATAACCGACGTTACTAGTTTGGTGGGTACCTTTCACGTACATCTTCCACTTCATGGCCAATTCAATAGATTACTAGCTTGTTCACAGACCCTCTATTTTCTCTTTAGGGATCGTCGAGCGCGCGTATGAAAGTATAAACCGCGGGGGGAGGGGGTATTGACCGCATGCTCATCAATTAAAAATCGAAAACAAAACGAAAAAAACGGTTGTTTACTATTTACAAAACGTTTCCGGAAAATCCGTTAGGAAACGAAATGGAACATGACATTTTGGGTCGTTCCATCGCAGTAACGGAACATCTGAAAAGGTAGTCCTGTTTTTCCGGACGGAATATTCCAAACGGAAAGTCGTGTTGCATTTATTCAAAGCCATCTTTAAGAACAGTTTGAGCCCTTCGCGGTCGTTTTTCGGTAAGTGGAGCTGATTTGCAAAAATGGTAAACGCGGTTCCGGCACAAAATTCATCAGTCCACATTTTTGCGTACCATTTGCCCAAACCGTGGACCGACTGGTTTGACCATGTAAATAGGACAATCTCATGACTTTTGGAGGGCAAATAGTTTATTTGTGGCCCGAGTAGCATCATTTGCGCCCGAGCGGAGCGAGGGTGGAAATGATGCTTCGAAGGTCACAAATAAACTATCAGTGCCCGACAAAAGTCATGTGATTATCATTCTTATCAATATACAATGCCAAATCGTACAAATTTATGTCATAAGGTAAAGATTGTTTAATGTGAAATCATGCTGCGGGCTGCAAATTCCATTTACAGCTCGCAATTTGCCGTTTGGCCCGCGAATAGGAGCGTTTTAAAAAGGGCGGTTTGTCATTTGGCCTCGTGTAGTGATATAGATAATAATGGTAAACAACCAAACGTCTGTGTACAGGCTAATAAATTGCCTCCCTGTGTCATTTTGTTCTCCCTCGAGTAAAGAGTCATTGTTTCTTACTTTTGCAGGATTTTTACGAAGATAATCCATGTTTTATGGGCATCAGTATAACGGACGAGGTACGACTTTAACTAGATTGTTAAGTAAAACTTAGCGCGCGAGCCGCAAATGACGGTTGGTCATCTGACAATGTCCCACTAGAATCGTATTTTCTTTCCAAGAAAGGAAAAAAATGTTTCATTTATGCCATTTCTAGGATGCGCCGGCGCATTCTGCAGACAGTCAATGGATACTGAAGACAGAGACAGTAAGCACCCTCTCCTCCCTGGTGAAAGTTATCAAAGTCCCTTGGGAGAAGCAATTTGGTGTGGAGTTACAGAAGAATCTTTATCCCACAATCACGGTAGGTCTTGGCAGCAAATTTCGGATGAAAACAATTGTGTAGTTAAAGACCCTTGAATGCAGAGGTCCACTCAACGCGTAAATAAAACCGACTGGTTCTTTCTTGCCGGATCTCCAATGTAGAGATGCTTGGTTGACCACCAATACAGCTGCCTCTCAGCTCTCACTGCCGCGATGTTAAATAAGCACTATTTTCTTTCTTGCAGGAACACAGATTGTAAGAACCCTGTGCAACGTGTTAGCTTGTTTCAGTCGTTAGCCTCCATGTGGATGTATGAAGAAAACTTTCAACATTGCACCTTAGCGATATTGTAACACTTAGTGTATACATACTTTAGTTATATTCGTGCACAAAAATCTAATAGACGACCTCAGGGGTGTAAGTACGAGTTTTAAAACTGAAGGGTAGAACGCACAGTGTCACACCCAGGGTACAGATGGTCATTCAAGCTGCGATATGCTAAAAAATACATTTTTTTTTTCGGATAAGCAGTTGTAGTTTGGGGAGGAGGAGAAGTCACAAGCCTGCAAAACCAATTTTTCTTATAAAAGAACCACGGTCGAAAAGTCTTTCATACAAAAACAAAATTAAACAAATTAAACTTTCAATCGATGGTTTTTGCGAAAGATTTGCATATAGGAAGGCCGAGATATAGTCATTCAAAGACAGTGAATTTTAGAATTTAGCTTGGAGTTTGGTTTGTCAATTTTTTTAACGTTTTTGCGGAGGAAAAGAAAAGGGATACCTCTTAAATAGGGGGGCTCACGGCTACCCCGGGAACTTCCCCCTCCGGCTACGCCCCTGAACGTCAAACCACAATGTGTGTTATCACAATTGCACTATGAAATAACCTGTAGTCACACAGAATATCAGCGGTGCTTGTGCATTCCTGTGAGTTTAGTTTACCCTTGAGGGGCTATGTCATGCTGATTGCTATCTTTTCTTAACCCTTAAACTCTGACATCAAAATAAAAATTCTCATCTGTTGTCTCTATGCATTTCCTATAGAGGTAGTGGGGAGAAGATGTTAGAGTATCAATTAAATTCATCTTTTGTGATCAATCCCTTAATTCTTGTGACCATAATGTTTTATGGGGCGAAGATATTACAAGGAGAAAATTGATGCTGATCACTCTTAGGGCTTAAAATGTTAAAAGCTAAAACTTTTTTCGCAGCAATTGATTTCAATACTTTTAAGGTCCAGTTTTGCTTTGAAACTGTTTCCTGTCGTCTGTTGCAACGGAGGACAAAGATGAACATAGATTGAAAATTGAAATAGTTGAGCTAACTTTTGTCAAGTGCTAATGTCACGCCAGCAAAAATCACTCCGAAAAATATTATGTTTAGTGCTACTTGGTGAAATTTGCTTAATGTAATATGCTATTCATAACTCTTAAAGAGCATTTTGTGTAATGACTTCAGCATAGAATTAACTTCAAACGGCAATATGCTTGAGACATAGCCCCTATAATTTGGTCCTCAACTTTCCGTTTCGCTTTTTCCACCTAAAAAACAAATACCATCAAAGGCAGAAAATTGCAAGTCAGCTTCTAATCTCTGTAAAATAAACAGCATGATAGTTTGCAAGATTTACGATGTAAGATGTAAGTCGAAGAATTCTTCTTCCATGAGACGTCAGAGAAAAATGCTAATATATTTGTGAATCCGTTTACCTATTATGACCAGCGTCAAATGTTTACTTTTACCCAAGCGGAAGGGCTAACTTATTAGGAACATTTTGTAAATTAATTTCTTAAGTCTTAATAAATAAATAACATCTTTCTTAAAACGCCATATTTTGTTGTAGTTATACTGGACTGGTATGTAAGTGTTCACGCAGGCCAAAAAAACTCAGTTTAAGTACTTTAAACAAACAAAGCTAGGCATGAGCAGCTATGAGCAGAATTAATTGTAGGAAGGGTTTTGAAAATTTCAGGAAAGGCGGTTTATATGCGAATGCTATACAAGTCAGTTCGCCGAGATGTGGAAATTTTTGGAGAGTGTTTCTCTAAAACGATGTTGTGATTAGACTCATTCACAATTTTATACTCCTTTTGTCCTTGTGCTCACACTAAAACTATGAATTTCTCCAAAGGAAAGGGATCTAGTGTGGACTGGCAGAAAAAAAACGTTCAAACGCTGCCGTCATAGCTACTCATGCATGATTTGGCTTTGCACTCAACAACGATCGAAATTCAAATCAAGCATTCCATTATGGTGATGTGGCAGACAATGAAAATGAAAAACAGCTTGTAGACAGAATATGTAGAGTGTCTTACATTCGAGAAGTTAAGGAACGACAATTCTCGTGGGTAGACCATGCGCACATGTCATATCGATTTATAAGAAACGGGTCAAATCGCCTGATAAACCTTGGCTAACGAATGAAATTTAGGAAGCGATCAAGCATCGTGATCACCTCAAAAACTACTAGATCATGGAAAAATTCCAAGAGCTACTTTAAAAAAAGGCCAAAACAAAGGCTGTGCATATGGTAAATAAGGCCAAGTCGGTGGCGATCGAAAATGAACTTGAAGAAAACTAACAAGCAGAATTCTCGCTTATTGTGAAAAGCGTTGAGAAAATTTAGTCCCAATGGTAAATTAAAATCAATGCCAAACGACTTGAAGGCTTCTCGGGATCAAGCATTTCGTCTCTATAGCGTCATCTATTGTAGACAATAATCAACCTGCTACTCCTGACCTATCACACATTGTGAGCTTTCTAAACGACAGAAAACCATCTACTGCAAACTTTGAAATCCCACTTCTCGATGTCAATTCTTTGGATAAATTAATTAAATCATTTCCTACAAATGTTGCTACGGGTCTCGATGGAATAAGTGCTCCATTACTAAAGCTCATCTCCCCGGCTATTCTTGAAAGTCTCACCAAGGTTCTAACTTGTAGCATCCAGTCTGACACCTGCCTTTCTGCCCTCAAACTAGCACGTGTTACGCCCGTTCACAAATCTGGACCAGCTTCTGATCCAAACACTGGTTTTCGTCCGATTTCTGTTCTTCCAGTTATTTCTAAGCTGCTTGAAAGACACGTAAGCACCTGATTTAATGCTGTATCTTCGCTCATATAATCTTATTATTTCAACACAATCTGGATTTCGTCCTCACAGCCACTCAACTGAATCTATATTGATTAAAATGACTGATGACTGGCTTGAGGCAATAGATCAAGGCTTATTCACTAGTGCGATATTCTTAGATTCACCCAAGGCCTTTGATGTTGTAAATCATGACCTGTTAGTAGCCAAACTGCAAATGTATGGTTACTCCTCGTCAGCATTACTGTGGTTCAAACGCTACCTGTCAGACCGTCGACAGTGTGTCAACATCGCAGGAACCTTATCTGATACTGAATTATTGATATCTGGAGTTCTTCAGGGCTCAATTTTGAGCCCTGTCCTCTTCCTCCTGGTTATCAACGACCTGCCTTTAACCTGGACGAATAGAAATGGCCTATTTGTTGATGATGCTACTTTCTATGCTAGTGCCTCTACTCTGACTTATGTTCAGGTACAACTTCAACGGGATCTTTCTATTACGGCGACATGGACCAAAGATCATGGCATGGCTGCCCATCCGCAAAAGACAAACTACATGATAATTGGTAGTCGACAAAAGCTTTCCCGTTGCGAAGAATCTGCCCTTTCGCTGTGTTTGGATGGTGGGCAGCTGGAGCAAACTCAACGTCTCTTGGGACTGGATATCGACCCCTCCCTATATCTTGGTCATCACACGAAGCTAATCTTGGGAAAAAACTCTGAAAGCGCGTTGCTGTTCTGGCTCGTATTAAAAAATTCCCACCGGTTAACTGTCGCATCATTTTATTTAATGCTAGTATTAAACCTATTCTTGAGTACTGTGTCTCCGTTTGGGGAAATTGTAATGCAGGATTATTGGATGAGATTTTTAAAGTTCAAAAAGGTTGTGTGCGTATTATACCCTGCCACTATTTTTGGAACTTGGGTGGCTACCCATCAATCAAATCTGTATTGAAAGAATACTACTTATGCTCAAGAAAATCCTGGATGGACATGCACCGGATTTCCTCTCTGAGAAACTGTTATCTTTGAAATACCACAAGTCTCATGATAGAAGGTCTCGGTTGCCTTATCGACTTCCTATTCCACGTACCAATAGTATGAAGCGAATGTTCTTTTACAATGCAGTTAAACTGTGGAACAATGTCAGCGAAAATGTTTTAGTCCGCTCTTCTGATGTAAAGAAATTCAAAAGAAATTTCCTTGATTCAGACATGTGTAAATTCACGCCTGACAATTTTAAAATTGACAGAATTGTTTAACTCTTTTAAATGACTTAATATTTTCTTACGGTACTTATTAAGTTTTTTTATACATGTGTAAATTCGATTAAATTCTGATATCTAAATTATTTCTTACCTTAGGATTCTAGTTTTTTAAGATTTTTTTTATATTTTAGTAGTTTCATAGGGCCATAAAGAAGAGTACAGTTGGTCTGTAATTATGCACCCTATTGAAATTAAAGTGTTCATTCATTCATTTCACATCTATGACATCTGTGGCAGTTAATTTTTCCTCGTCATCATTTACGTGACTACAGATGACTTTTATAAAGGCGATCACTGATATTGCACGCATCTCACTTTAGATGAGTGGTCACAAGTAACCCTCTATCCTTTAGTCGTCATGTCGACTGGCCCATTACGGAGAACTGTGGCAATTGCTGTAGATTCTAGCGACTACAGTGAACAGGCATTTGACTGTGAGTATTTTTAATATTGTTTGTGTTCGGCAAACTACCGGTTGTTTGTAATTTTGCTAAGTGCCTTGCTACTCCATTTGGTGACCGGTCGTTTCGCCCACGAGTAGTTTTGCTAACGTCCCATTCGCTGACGTCTTATGTCGTTCCGCTTAAGAAGCGAAATGAGCGCTGCGAATGTATATACTTCGTTCCCTCAGCCATGATACAAGAAAGTGAGATACGCATGCATATACCTCGTTCTTTCTGCCACTGATTAGAGGAAATCAGTACAGGGAACAGACCTAAAACGTAGGCGAAGCGGCTTAAGACGCTGGCGAAAAGAACATTGGCGAAACGACTCTTAGGCGGAACGACCGTAAACCGAAAATTTAAGGATATTTACACTGTATCGGACATACACGTGTCGGTCCAATAGACCTACCGTCCATAGGCACAGCATCCTTTTAGCGTTTGAATTTATCCCAGTGTGTAACCATAAAAACAAATGCCATCCCCAGCTTTCTTTTTATCAAAACAGAGCTTTGAGTTTTTAAACTCACTTTTATTGAATCGTGAGTTTGGACATGCAACATGAAATTAATAACGTCAATCGATAACAACCTTAAAAAATTAGACACAGTCCCCGCAGTAGAGCAACTTAAGTGCGTTTGTAATCGGCAAACGTAGTTCGCGAGGTAAGTCCTTTTTGTAATTAAAATTTTAACTATCCCGTGTGGCAGAGGATTATGTCGATTTCGTGACTTTGAGACTCTTTCGTAATATTTATTATGATATCTGATACTTGAACGAGAAGATGTGCATATCAGTCTTGAAAAGAACCAGGAACACTGAAAAGTCTCTTGAAAAGAACCAGAACCTGTGGAGAGGATGTTTCTAAAGCGGGAAAAGGGCATGGGGAACAGGGAAATGAAAAATGGTAACAAAACCTAACCTCCCACAAGCACATTCATAAGAGGATGCGCACATACCTGCTTTGTTTCCATTTTTCATTTTCCCGTACGTTCCCCGCTCCACGTTCTCCGTTTTAGTAATATCCATTTAAAGAGGTTTCTGGAAGCAACCGGCACAGTTCATGTAAGGCATTTTACATTATATTTTTGTTTCCTTACTAAAAAGCTCCAATTTAATTTTCCATTTTTCCCACTAAAATGCTCAATCTCCCCCAAAATGTCACTAAAATGCTCGGACCGGCTCATTATACAAAGTATGAGTAGTAATTTAAACTTCCGCGGGTTTTAACGCTAACAAAAACGTATATGCGGTATATTAACAACAACTTATACAACTAACTTATAGAAACAAACGTTCCCTCAGAAGTGAATCGATTATTCCTTTAGTGATATTGTCAAGTTTTCCTCACTCGATTTGTTTAATTTTTTTCACTTCTTCATTCTTTTTTGTTCTGTCTGTAAGCTAATCTCTCTCTTAAAGCCATTCAGTTAGCTACTGGGTCGTCCAGTAACGAGCTTAACAAATACCAACTCAGTAATCCTGGCAGTTAGTTTTTCGGGCAGATAGGCATGAAAGGACTGGCTCGTCCTGAGTGGTCCCGTAGCCGCCATATTGGAGAACGAGAAGACCCTGGGACGAGTCAAAGTGCCGGGGGCGATCCACCTCTTTTAAAGTGTAGTTGGGGGGCGGAGGAGCGGAGGGGGTGGGGTAGTGGGCTTTAGAAATGGTTTACCAGGTGCCGACTCAATATTTTTTAATACAGTTACAACTCATCAATTTTTCGCGTGTTTCATTCTCTTCAAAGTTTGCCCGTTCTTTCCTTGCGGCTGTTTAGAACCTTTCTTTAGTCATTGTTGAACGGAGCCATTTTTTAACCTTCGAGCTGCCGTTAAGGACCTTTTCCTGCTGCGATGGCTGCAGTATTAACCAGCAGAAGTTTGCAGATCGGGGCGATTTCATTCACCATGCTCCGCTGAAAGTTATTCATGTTGTCTTCGAGTTTAATTTGTTTCAAGAAATCGTAGCTCCGTACCTTGGTAGAAAAGACTCCATTGTTGTATATATTACATCACCTGGCTGTTGAATACGCAGAAGTCTACGACTGAGTGCAGTTTTATAAAGGCTTACCACTGATGATATAGGATCGAAACGGACCAATCATATAAGTTTGGATGCGTCGGCGAGGCCCGCCAGACGAAAATTCTTATTCCATCAAAGATTCCTTGTTGAAAAAGTGTAGTTCTTAATTTTATTAATTTTTTTCTTCAAAAAGTGGGGGAAACCTGCCCCTCCAGCCCCTCCCCCTGCGCGGGCCCTGAATGCAGCCTTTAGCCTCTCGGTCAAGCATGGCCATACCGTAGTTAAGAAAGTGGAATGGTTATAAAGCCCGACAGAGTTCTTTGTTATATGTTTGTGTTAGCTCATTAGACTTGACAGTGCACGCTCAATAGCGTTCCTATCATTTTGAACTTACTGACCAAAGGAAACATCGCATTAATTCATGCCGTCACAATTTGTGAACAAAAAACAAAGGATTGTGCTCGGTCAAGGAGCTTCCAACATAAACTACAGCACCGCTGTTTTCATCTTTGATGTTTGCTGGCTTTCATAACCAGTGTCCTCTACTAAACCACTGTTGGTCTTACTAACGATAGAAGAAAAGAGACCCTGGGGCAGAGTTGAGTTATGCAGTTGCGTAAGACGGTCGCCATTTTCAGTACCAACAACTACCAACATCATTACGGTGGTTATCACATATTGCTTTCATCAGTTGTCATCCATTATATCCATGCCGCTATCATAATCATCAGCACCGCTCCCATCACCATCACCAACATAGTTCATTTCTGTCCCTCTTATTGTGCCGCTGCTTGTATGAGAGTAACAAATGGAGAGGACAAGACTTGTAACAGTATTACGAAGATAACCACACCACCACTGGCTGCGAAAGGCGCGATTCATACGTAACCATGGGAACAGTGATCTTGAAAATAACATGTTACCTTGTTATACGAAATAAACGCTCGATGAAATCATAAGGTATTCGAAATTAACGCGATTTAAATTTAAGTGGCAAATGACTTTCAAATGAAGAAAATTAGAAGGAGGGTAACAATTCAAAATGAAAGAAATTAACCTGACGCTCACAAAGAAAGAGAACTTCTTGACACAACAGAAACAAAGTTAAACATATAATCTGAGAAATGAAAACTTTTTTCGTGGTACTTTCCCTAAACGTAAGAAGGGGGTCAAGCGAGGAAATGTGCTGACCACTTCGAGGGTTCTTCATAGTTTCTCTGTTGCTGGCGGATCTCCACCCGGATAAAATACTCCCCTTTCTTAGGTGTCAAGAATGTCTGAAGTGTATCCAACACACCAATGGAAATTGAGGTCGCACTTAATATACGGCGCGGAAATTAGTGTTTCAAGAAATTATCGCTACTCAAATTAACGCGAATGTTTGAAGTATCGTCATGTTTTGCGCGAAAAAATTGAAATATGTCATTTTCACGAGTTACCATCTTTTTTAAAGGGTATAAGGAACATGTCTATCATGAGGGAGACCAACTGGTTCTTATTCACTCGCACGAGCTGCAATCGCCGGTCTTGTTAGGTAGGTATTTAAGTAAGATCTCCAAAACATTTTTTACATAGCAAGTCATAAAGGCGACAGAAACTTTCGTTCTCAAACCTTTCCTGCTAGTTTTTAAGAACATGTCTTGGTTCAAACTGGTTTCTTTTGCATAGCTAGCCATGCCTTGATTAACGTTATCTAGAAAAAAAAAACATTTAAAATCCGCCTTGTACGTGTAAATGGGAGTGTTTCTGCCCCTTATGTTAATAGGTATTCGATCTAACTCCGCCCCGTTTAACTGCAGGCGCCAGTTAATTGTTAGAAAGGTGGATCGATAGCGCTATTAACTGGATAAATCACTATCCTCTGCAGCGCAATTGGTTGCCCTAATACTTATCCGATGCATAGTGATTTATCCGATGGATAGCGCTATCCATCTTTTCAACAACCAGGGCGGCCAGGATTTTAAGCTGGCGGGTATTTTATGTCCATTTGAATGTAACGAAAAAAGTGTAAAAGATCATTACAGGTCATGATTGTTGTGCTGACTGTTGTTTAACTCTTCCAGAAACGATAGCAACAGAAGGATGGAAGCACGAAGTCGAGAAACATGATCAGTTCATTAAAGATCTGGGGAAGAAATATAGACGCAAATGTAAGCCATTGAAGGTAAGTAAGCTTGTAAGAAATATACGCGAGAGTTTAATGCCACATTTACACGGCATCGAACGAATTTTCGACCGGCGGAAAATTTTGACCAGACATTTCGTTCACATGTCAAAACTGTTCAATATTTTCGGGCTTTCAATCCACACGGAACTGACTGTAACTATTGTCAGACGTTTTACCATCTACTCTGTGCTAGCAGGGAATCGAATAGATTGCTACTTATGTAAATCCAAAACGGCGTCTTCCAGCTTAGTTACCACGAATCCACGCAGCCACGCCTTTGCCGTAAAAAAAATTAGACCATTACCAAGGGGTTCACATCGCGCCGGTCTAATTATCGACCGTCCCGGATATAATGTGACCTCAATTTTGACTTTCAAATTCAGTTTTAAACGTCTAGGCGCCAAATTTGGTCATATGGTTAAGGTGGTTCAGCGTGAAAGGAAGAAATAAACGAACGAATTTTTTTGTCGAAAATTCATTCGGTGCTGTGTGAACTTCGCCCAAGTACAAATACATTGATAAAGTGGAAAGAGTCTGCTCTAATTGCACACACGGAACGAGTACATTTAATGTAATATTAAATTATGCTCTGAAGCACACGTTTCAACTCCGTGGTATGGCCAGTACCTTATGCATATGCACAACCGTATCACCTCGGCAGTGGCAGTCATGGCCCTTATTGGGGCTCAAAAAGGATGGCATAGCTGTCGGTTTAATGAGCGGGAGAAACGGCGTATCAAAGACCCTTTACTCCCGTGGCGCGTGCAAAGCAAACTGGTTTAAGCGCCAGCTCCACTGTAGACAAGTGGTGGCTGTTGGTTGGGAAACGCAAAACAATTCTCCCATGGCATGCGTATGGAGATGGGATCAGAAAAAGAGACTGGACTATTCGAACGGTCCAAAAAGAATTTTCGAAACACAGATATAAAGCAACAGGGCTGAGAACAGGAAAGCACATGCGTAATTTTGGGTTCGCAACTCAAATCGCAAGCACGCCCGTGCAAGCAGTTGTAAAATTCCCCGCTTAACTTGAAACTCGTGCATGACAAAAAGAAAACTTAACGCACAGCACTGTATGGTTTTAGACACTCGTCTTGAGAAGGCTGTACGCTAGTTCACAACCATGCTTATTGTTCTCTCCAAAGATAGAGGCAAAGATTATTGTTGAGCCTGGCCCCCCTGGACAAGTTATATGTAGGGTTGCTTTGGAGCAAGATGCAACCCTTATTGTGATGGGTTGCCGTGGAGAGGGAACCGTCCGTCGTACTATATTGGGAAGTGTCAGCGACTATGTTATTCACCATACTCATATTCCGGTGTTAGTGGTACCTAGAGAACAGGATAAACCCTCCTGAAGACTTGAATATTAGAAGAGTAGGAGCTGGCAGGAGGAAAATGGAACGAAAATGAGGGAGTGTCTATGGAATTTTTTACTTAATCATAACGCGCGCGCACTAGTAAAATAACTATGAAAGGAGGTGAATGGCCTGACATTTGAAAGGGGCCTTGGTATGAAGAGCTATTTCGCTGAGTGTAAATGTTGAATTGTGAATGCTTTGCTTTTAATGTGAATGCAACTAGCTTCTCCTACCTAGTTTACGGGCACTCGATCCACTCAGATCCACTCAAATGACACCAAATATCTTAAACACAACGCGATTAAAATCCTCAACAGGAAGCAACCAGCATGAACCAGTGGGGTATTTACTAGCGTTGTGGAGGATTTAATCTCGGGGCAACCAGGACATAAATCCAGAAAATCACGTCAGATGGGGACTTGAGCGCGGCACTTCCAAAATTGCGAGTCCGACGCGCCGATCTGACCACTTACCCAAGCTGCAGCTTTTATGGGCGTGATCTGTTGGTGGCTAGTGAATTCAACAGCAGATCGCCCAATTGAAAGGAATCCGAATTTCTGAATCCAGGAAAATTTTTATTGTGGAATCGGAATCTTGGGCTTTGGAATAGAGAATACAGCTCAAGGAATACGGAATCCCACTAACGAATCCAGAATCCAAGGTCCACTGACAAAGAGCCGGAATCCAGCACCTGGAATCCGCAATCCAGATTCCAAGACTGTCTTGGATTCTTTTACATGTGGAGAAGCAGAGTTACAGCCTACAATATTGTCGCTTTGACTACCATTTTGACTTTTTTGATGAGCGCTGGTTTCATAATAAATTTGTATACCTTTATATATCTATGTAGTATTAAATAAATTGTCTTTGAGAAGCTGTTGAATGTGTGATCGTGAAAACGTTTGGTGCATGGGCAATAGTTTCTTAGGTACGGTAGTTTTGCCATTACTCAGCCGTTTCGTGACTTGTTATGTCATCATTCTGTTCCAATATTGACCGTCTTCCCTTCGAAAAATAAAACAATTTCAAGGAATTCAAGATTTGGCGACAAAACGTTGACTGTTAGGCGTACAAACTAAATTAAGTAGCTATAAACAATGAGCTGAGGAGCACATTCAACACCCTTTAATTTGGCGTTTATATAAGAAAAAGAATTAACAAAGCGTGACTGGCGGAAAAACGTGACTAGGGAAATTATAAGCTTGAACCTTTGTGCCCTACAGCGCCCCAGACAGCTACAGGAATTTCGGCCGTCTTCGTGCTGAAAACCATGTCTCACAGAACTATAGCAATTGCTGTGGATCCCAGTGAATATAGCGAAAAAGCATTTGACTGTAAGTATAAAAACATAATCTTTACGATTCTGATGATGAGAAATAGTATTTTTGTCTTTTTTACTATGTATTGATCCTGTATTGGTTGATTTCAGAGCTGCGGTTACCGGTTGACCTCAATTTATTTTCGTTCAGTTTAGCTTAGCTTGTTACTTTAGTAGTATCTTAAAGTTTTTGCCATTTGTTTAGGAAAAAATAATTGGTAATGCATCAGTGCATTTTTTGATTGGTTCGCGATAAACAATTATTCAGGTAGATTCAGCGATGTGCAGCTAATTTGAGCCCACGGGTCATTGAAAACACAAACTCGATTTCAGGAGTTTTAAACTCACGAATCATCCAACAGATCCAAGAAATAGAAATCAAAGGAGATATTTGTATCAGTAGAAACATGGACATCACAAACACACTACTGTGTCATTAAAACTTAACGGATGTGGAGTTTTTTTAGGGAGGAGTGAGTATAAGGAAAGTGATGAAACTTAAGTCTCGTACGTGAGCGAGCGGGACTGCGATGCTAATCGGAGTATGCACTTTCATCAGTGTCTTTCGCTCGAAGTTCATTAACTGTCTTCTGTATGATTGTACCTGTGGTTAATTGTATTAGGTCAAGAATAAACAACAACAACAACAGCTATTTCGCATGCATTTCATATGCGTTAAGATATCGTTTACCAGTCGCAGTACAATTTTGTCTATGCAGGGTTTATGTCAAATATTTACCATGAAGGAGATAAATTGGTGATCATACATTCGCATGAGCTGCACCCACCCGTTATGCCTCGTAAGTACAAGTCTTTACGTTAACTCTACAGAAGTGATAAGTAATTTGGTTTGGAGATTGGATCAAACTCACTTTGGCAACTATTTCGATTCTCATTCGGAAGGGACCTGGCCCGGCTAATTGACAAAATTCCCTCCGCGAGCTCCAATCCCTGGTTCTTTTATATAACACTCTTTGACTGCAAGGGTGCCCTTTTCGTATGAAATACCCTCCTTCATGAAATGTCGTAACCCGCGTTTCACATACTTACAGTGTACCTAAGAACACCGCAGTACCTATAGTTTATTATCACCCCGCTGCGCTATCACTAAGATTTTAAGTTGCCGGGTAAATATACCATAAAATAGGCGGGGAATCAAACAGCTAGGGATTTCTTTTGGTTCTTTTTTTTCTTCTGTTTTCCTATGAAAGTAGCCGGGGGCCACGCTCATAGTAGCCAGGGGAACTCCCTGGCTCCGGGCTCTTAATTATGACAGCCCCGCCCCGGAATGAAATTAATGAAAGATATTTGAAGGAGAACATAGTAAATTATTAAACTAAGGTGAGTCTGTTTGAAACATTTTAACTTAAGGTCCTTTTAAATGACTAAATGAAGGATTTCCTTACCCTTTTATAATACTTCAACTCGGGTGAAATCTCTACACTTTCATATACCTGAAGCCTGGAAATGTATTCCTTTCAGGAGGAGCCTTTCCATATCGGCCACTTTAGCTGGGAGGGAGTACCCCTACCCCAGGGGCGAAAAGGACACCCGGCTGTGCCTTGATCTAAGATAATAGCTTGCGTACTGAGGTGGGTGTAGGGAGGGAGGGAGGGAGGGTAACTGTATCTGTATATGCATGGCGGCGGCAGATCAATGATCAAGATTCGTCTATGGAAGCAGTAACGAAGAGCTTATTGTTGGGATCTTGGGAGTTTGTCTTCTGTTAAAAATTCATTTATCTCCTGGTCTTCTACAGCAGTCTCCCACGAAGCCGTTCTTTTTAAATATTATTATGCGTTGAGTGACGAGACAGAAACTAAGAGGAAGACTGAGCGTTCTAGTTCTTTCCTTCACTGAACTTCTCGTGACTTAAGTTCCACCCATGCAAACCAACAGCTATAAAACAAACTCCTTTTCTCGGATTATTTTAGGTGCCACCAAACGGAACTTCTAAATATTGTCGGGGGGAGAGTTGGGGATCTAAGCTCTGGAGAATATAAGAATGTTGACATATGCGTCTCTGTTTAGACATGATTCTCACAGACGAGTGGACACGTGAAGTTGCCAAACATGAAAAAGCTATTAATGAACTCGAGAGGAGATATGAGGAAAAGTGCAAAGCCTTAAAGGTTTGTTTTGTACCATTCATTATACGGCTACAATAGTACGCGCGCTCTGATTGGCTGCTAAGCGGGTTGCTAAGGAGGTATTATTTAATTTCTTGCATGTATGACCGGGCATTACTAGCCAGGTGTCCATGGCATATACAATCTGTGTTTAACTTGATAGCGGACATCCTATAAATATCCATGTTATGGTCAATTGACAGCAGTCAAAAAAGTATCCGCTGACCAGTTTCACATGACTGTATCGCTGTATCGTTGGCTCAAGTGTTCAACTCATGGAGGTGACGTGTTCTTAAAGTTATCCGCTTTTAATTTTTTTCAGGATCAGGTCCATGATGAAAATAACTTATTAACCTCGTCTGTTCGGTCATTACAGGGAGATCTCAGACCGAAGCCTTGATGTATTGACCTCGCTATCGCTCGTTCAATACACTCCACATCAAGGCTTCAATCTGAGATTTCCCTGTAATGACCGAACGGACGAAGTTAATAAGTGGTATGTAATGAAACAAAAATAATCAAATGTATTATTAATTATAAATATATGGCTCTTGCATCACCATACCTAAAACAGCAACTAAGTATATATTTAGTAAAAATATACACAATAATAAAATTTCTCTAAAATCTGTTTCATCAAAAATTAAACAATATTAGAATCCACCGTCACCGCAAAGTCTGGCAGGAGCCAAAACCCCACAGGATGTGCAACTCCTATACTCAGCCTATGCAACAGTGTTTTCACGGATCAAGTTATTTTAGCATCATTTTAAGCACTTTTCCCCACGAAAATGGAAGCACCGTTCCGTATGCGTACGTGTCCATAATATGAAAATTACAAAAAGAAGAGGTCAGTGCTGTCAAAACATTAAAAGTACTTTTTTCTAGTCTCCGGTTTTTAATTACTGATTTGGAAGACTTATTTGATATTCAAAATTCGCGGGAAAATTGATAAAAATAGGCTGGTCTGTGAAAACGCCGCCTTAGCTCCCTCGGGGATATGGTCTCCTTTAAGGTTGATTGGTCTTTCTTGTTTCCTAGCTATCAGCCAAGATTATTGTGACCGATGGACCACCAGGAGAGATCATCTGTAAACAAGCAAAAGAACAGGGAGCTTCATTTATTGTTGTTGGGAGCCGAGGGACGGGAACTATTCGTCGCACCATATTAGGAAGTGTTAGTGACTACGTCTTGCATCACGCTCACATGCCGGTGGTGGTGGTACCGAAGTCCGCTGTCTGAATCAGACCTACACTCCCCCCACCCCTGATCCATCAGACAGAGAAAAAGAGAATGCCAGGCACTTGCAGCTTAACATTTGTTCTCGTTTATTTTACGGAATAAAATTTATTTCTTTTATTCTTACACGATTGAAAGAACTGTATATTTTGCAACCTCGTCTCCAGGGCCTTCTCGTTATCCAACATGGCGGCGACAGGAGAGAAGACCCTGGGACACAGCGAACTAAAACTATCGCTGATTGGTGCTTTTCATACATGGACTTTGATTGGTTAAATCTCCAAAAAAAAAATGGTGGCTCTTGGCGGGTTCTTCGTAACCTTGTCCCCTGGCCCTTCTCCTTTTTGCAATGGGGACGAGGTTGCCATCCAGTTATTCCCCTTTCCGTCTAACCTGCGTGCAGAAACGTGCAACAAGGGAAACAAGAGACGTCTGCACCCAGGCTACCTTTTTCTACCTTTCATTTGGTAAATATGCTAATCTACCCTGGCCTTCCCTGGCTCTGTGCACCGACCTGACATAATCCCCCAAAGAAGGACGGATTTGTCGGAAAACTCACCTCACTTTTATTCTCTGTTGTTTTGTTATTTCAACCTAGTTGACTCGACGAGGTTGGCTTGACCCTTGACCCTACCCCGTTCTAGTTGTACCACTGAATCTCAGTAATCGGCTTCTGACGAGGCCAGTCTCGTCTCCAGAGCCTTCCTTACCCCTCTCCAGTAGTGGAAGGGGCAACAGTGGTGCTGACCAAAAGGATCGTTCGTTCCTGGGGTCTCTCAATTCCCGCCCCGTCTTTTTACACGTGATTCTTCAACCTCGTCCCCAGGGCGCTTTTCCCCCACCTCCATAGCCAGGAAAAGCGCCCTGGGGACGAGGTTGGTGATTTCTAGGCTCTTAGGGACTAGTCGTTATTTATCTCCTGGCGAGGGTGGGGGGAGGTAGGGGATTTTTTTGTAATACAGCTGATTCCCCCTTTTAAATGTTAGTTCACTGTACTGATCCCCACTTCGTAACTCTTGCTAACTTACGTGATCTCCAAGCCCCCCCCCGCCCCTTACAAAGTTTTCGCACCCATATTCCCCTTTTACCAGGGCGAGCCTGGTCCATTCACGGCTTATCCCTCCTTAATGCCCGATTATTTATTTATTTATATTTTTATCAACTAGCCACATGAGCAGCTTCGACGAAGGAACGAGAAAAAGTGAGACCCTGGGAAAGCGATTCCAAGGCGGTTGCCGGGCACCCTTCACCCCCACCCCTCTGTTAACTTTAAACCACCAGGAGCCTGACTCCTGAAACCACTGAAAAAGTATAACATGTCTTGCTAGTTACCGGTAGCGACCGGATCGAAAAATTCTTGTTCAAAACAAGCTGACATGAGGTCTGTCATCCCAGAACACCCGGAAATTTAGACGTGCGTGAAAAGTATCACGCATTCTGCCACGCTTCGAAGATGGCTTGGTGTTCCCCTGTTGGTTTATAGTGAGTCGACTAAAAACAGGGACCAGTCGTTATTTATCTCCTGGCGAGGGTGGGGGGAGGTAGGGGATTTTTTTGTAATACAACTGATTCCCCCTTTTTAAATGTTAGTTCACTGTACTGATCCCCACTTCGTAACTCTTGCTAACTTACGTGATCTCCACGCCCCCCCAATTCCACCACAAAGTTTTCGCACCCATATTCACCTTTACCAGGGCGAGCCTGGTCCCTTCACGGCTTATCCCTCCCTAATGCCCGATTATTTATTTATTTATATTTTTATCAACTAGCCACATGAGTTGCTCCGACGAAGGAACGAGAAAAAGTGAGACCCTGGGAACGCGATTCCAAGGCGGTTGCCGGGCACCCTTCACCCCCACCCCTCTGTTAACTTTAAACCACCAGGAGCCTGACTCCCGAAACCACTGAAAAAGTATAACATGTCTTGCTACTTACCGGCAGCGACCTGATCGAAAAACTCTTGTTCAAAACAAGCTGACATGAGGTCTGTCATCCCAGAACACCCGGAAATTTAGACGTGCGTGAAAAGTGTCACGCATTCTGCCACGCTTCGATGATGGCCTGGTGTTCCCCTATTGGTTCATAGTGGGTCGACTAAAAATACGTGCGTACGGTCCACGATCGCGCATTTTCAGTGTGGCCATCTGGTGAAAGCTGAAAGCATGGCAGAAGCAGAAAGCAGAGTTGTTGTTATCGCCGTCGATGCAAGCGACCACGCCGAGAAAGCGTTTAATTGTAAGTAGGAAAGAGTAAAAGCCGTTTTTTAATGTGTTCACCATGAAATAACCCATGAGACGCTTTATTCTATGAGGTGTGAACTAAGCTTCCCGAAATCCGTTTGTGTGCATGAAAGCAGACTGCATTTCGATGCAGGCAAACATGCATGATTTTTCATCAAGATATTTGCATTAAATCACTTCACCAAATTTATCGGCTTCCCTCTGTAAAAGGAAGTATCGAATAGGCTCGTGTTCGTAAAGGGGTTCGATCGCCGCTCCCTCGTCCGTGATAGCACGGAGCTATAGTAATTTTATTACGCTCATGAATAAGCTTTTTCAAAACGACAACGCAGTAAAAATGATTTTAATACTTGTTTATTCGTCGAAATAGAATACAATTTCGAAAACCACATAAATCGACTTAATCGACTTCTCAAGTACAAGAGAAGGTAATGAATCCGCGCGTCAATTTTAACGCTTCGATTGTTTGTTTCGCCGCGCCAAACAAAAGCTTCGAAATATGGAAAATTAAAGGTAGCTTTATAAATTATTGACCTCAACAATGATCATGTTTACTGCTGTTATTAAAAATTAGTGCTTTTTCGATGTGGGATTTTCTGCGTCAGCGCACGTCATGTGTTTCCGTGACAGGCCTCAGTAGCTGCAGGCAATAAGTTATTATTGAATTCAACAGAGCATCCAACGAATAGACTGATCGAATGTGTGAACATTTTCTCACAAAACATCCGTTAGGTCGATGTTATTTTGTAATTGCCGAATATTTGGTGGCCGACGACTAGAACTTAGTTGTTTTCGTACTTGTTTAAGTGGTAGGATGGTTTAATGGCACAGTACGTTGTTTATTGAATTATTTGTAGACTTCTCTCCGGGGGGTACACAGGAGTTAAAATGACGGGGATCAGGATTAAAGGAGTTTTTTTGGCTTTGAAATTTCTTTTTTGTAGTAAGTATTTCTTTGGGTGCCTTGATTTGAGCAGGTTTTTTTTAAATATTTAAAACAATGTGAAGAAGGGTGTAGTACTCTGCAAGTTTGCTCGCTGGGTAGTTCTGCCTAAAAAAGTACAACCAAACGTGTTTTGGGGTCCTTGAAATTTTAATGTATTCTGGTTATACACATGTAGATTATGGGAATGGAATAATTTGGGAGTTAATGTTTGGTCCAGAGGGTTTTTGAGGTTTCATTAGAAGCCTTAGGGTTTTTTGGGGGGGAGGGGGTGGGGGTTGATTGTTGACCTCTTTTGATTCATCCATATCATTTTAAGTCCAAAATACCCCCAGGGGACCACTCTAGTCAGAGGTATGGTTTATATTCTTCCATTTGGGAGGGAGGTGGCCATTGGCGAAAGCAGGATATTGTCAGCTCGACAAATCACAGCCAATTTACATGCTATCTACAATGTATTGTGCTGGGTTTTTTTGTATCAAGTAAATGCGAAATACAGTCCTCAAATCCAATTTTCAAACTTATGTTTAAGGCGAAATGCTCGAATGTATAGGAAATGTGCTGATGTAAGAATGCTTAAAATTTTCAAAGACAGGCTTGCTCTAGCTAGCTAACAGTGCCCTGGGCCTAACTTTTGCTCCCGAGCGACTAGAATATCTTACTTTTTTAATACAAATCATATGCTGGGTACCCTGGATTCCACAGGTTCAGGGCACTGGGCTCCCTGCAATTTTTCTTAGAGCACAGCCTATACAAAATGTCTTGAGTAATTCTTAACATCAATTTGTCCACTTTGTTCTTCATTTTCTTTACAAACAAACATGAGGCTATTTAAAAGGAGAATCTGTCAGTTTATTACATATCACTTTGGGCTTTTTTCCATGCTGACACCCCCTGATTTGGTGTTACTGTAAAATTCTGAAAATAAGCCCCTCCATGTAGAAGCCGCTCCAAATATAAGCCCCCCAAAATCGTAATGCAAAAAACCCTCCGTTAAATCGCCCCTCCAAAAATATGCCCCCCTGGGGCTTGTATTTGGAAAATTACCCTCAAATAAAAAGTAAAACAAAGCAAAAACGGTAAATTTACTTGCAACTATAAGGCTATCCCAATCAATTTCGAAATGCAAATTTCCCTCCATAGATAAGCCCCCTCCGAATATAAGCCCCTCCAAAAATAAGCCCCTCAAAAAGGGCCTTTGAAAAATATAAGCCCCACAATACAGACATACATGTAACAAAAACTGTAAACATGCATGCTCTCTCTAGAGAGCTATTATTGTCTTTGACTGTCATCTACATTTTAAATTATCAATTGCTAATGAAAGCCACTCTTACAATGACTTGTGTATGTACTTCACTTTTCATATCAGGGTATAAAGACCAAGTATACCGTAAAGGAGACAAGTTAGTTGTTGTTCATTCTCATGAACTGCATCCACCCGCTTTGCCTCGTAAGTACAGCATAATATGTTGCATTACTTTTTCTCTTGCTTAATGTTATGAATACAGTCGAACCTCCAAGTGGGACAACCTCGTGTAAGCAACCAGTCCTCGCATAAGTGACCAAAACACCAAAATTTTTCCGGTCAAAGCCTTATAGCTGGAACTTTTTATAAACGACCACCTCTTGTAAGCGACTGTGACCGCTTCTTAGGATGACAGTTTTAGAATTTTCTATTGTTTTATAACCTCTTCTAAGTGAAGTATGTACTATGCTACTCAATAGTATGAGAAGAACTTTTAGAAACAACATGGATTTTCATAATTTATATTGTAACCTAAAATTGCATGCACTACACTCTACAAAAAGTTAATATGTGCGGACTTTTCCTTGTAAAAGAGCTCCTGCAGTTTGACTCTCGTAAGCTACCACCTCCCACTAATTCTTCGCATTTTGGGTGGTCGCTTATGGGAGGTTCGACTTAATGTTATCACAAAAGGTAAGCGTACCAAGTGGCCTTGACAAACCAATAATTTTCTTTCTCTTTAGATGCCATGGCAACAGAGGAGTGGAAGAAGGAAGTTCAGAAGCATGAGCAGTACATTAAAGACTTGGAAGAGAAATATAAAGCCAAATGTGAAGCTATGGAGGTAACTACTCTAGACTGGTGCATGGTGATTAGGGTTTAACTTTTTCTCTCCCAAATTTGGCCAAAGTACCCTGGCTCCAGAGGCCCACTCTCGAAATACCTAGGATGAAATAAGCTGTGCTTACGATTTGAAAAAAAAGCCTCTGGCACCCAGGGTATGGCCAAAGTAAAAGTTCAAGAAAATTCAACATTTAACAGTAATTTTGTAAAATGCTGAAAAACAAATAGCATTATGTGCAGGGGAAGATCAAGAAAATTCAGACAGTGAGAAGGGGTTGGGGGGCACACCTGGACACTTGCCAGCTATATAGATACTTATAGTTATTTTACTGAGAATTGAATACTGACAAAACTTTACGGAAAAAGGGGGGCTGTTCCCATGGCCCATCCTTAAATCTGCCCACAATGTGAAAGTATTTCCCAAGAAGTTGAGTGATCACACCAGAAACCACCTCACAAGACTCTGTCATTCAATCTGAGAGCCAAAGAGTGAAAGAGTTTAACTGGTTTTCACTTGACACATAAGCTGTTGGTAATGTTTTTGATGGTTAAGTAGGGCTTGTTACCCAATATGGCAGGACATAATTATTAATTTATGCTCCCAACCACTTATAGCATAATTTCTTTGAAACTGTCACCGCAGGTCTCAGCCAAGATAATTATTCAGGGTGGGAATCCAGGAGAACATGTTTGCAAAATTGCCGAGAAAGAGCATGCAACATTGATTGTCTGTGGAAGCCGTGGAATGGGCACTGTCCGTCGCACCATATTAGGAAGCACAAGTGATTACATCATACATCACGCACACTGCCCGTGTTTGGTTGTTCCTAAGGACAAGCATTCTAAGTAGTGTTACAATAAAACAGCTTAAGAATGCTTTGGGGCTGGGTCAAGGTGTCTAAAACTCAAAACCAGGAACTACTGCAGTTGCTAGGCTTAATTAGAATTTCTGCTTTTTTATTTAACGAGTACTATTCCTTAAAACTTCTTCGTGTTTTCTCTCTCCTTCTGTTCTTTGTGTGTTTTGTAACAGGTTTGGAGTTTTCTTCAATCTTCACTCATAGCCCGGAACTTAAAGCTCGCTAGGCGCTATAATGCCATATCATGTTTATTCAGTATCAGAGGAGTGAGGGTAACTAAGAGGATCAAATTCAAATAAACCACGATTTGAATATCGATTCAAAGTCTTTGTTCTTGTAAATCTCAGTCCAATCTTGATATACTAATGAACAACTTGCAATGATTCGTGGAGATGGGCCTTCCTCGGTTGAAAAAGATTCAAACTTGGACCCTTTGGTCAGGTTATGATATGCTGCAACATTGTTTAATCACCAAAGCACACTGGAAAACCCCTGAACAGCATTGTTGCACTTGTTCTGATTAGAATTTTGTATCCGGCCCAGGTGGGTTGTCGAAGGCTGGGTAGCCTGTTACAGCTGCACAGGTCGCGGTATGCAAAGACTAAAGAAAAATTTGTACGGGTTGGAAGAAGAGGGTTGGGCATCTTCTCTTTCAATCTCATTCCCAGAGACTGCGTTCATTTTGGACATCTTATCAACCTTATTCTTGGGGGGTTGAACTCCAAATCATGTTGAGTGCTTGATCTTGATCGTCCGAAAGAGAGGGGCGGGTTGTGTCCAAAAATAAAAAAAAAATTTGTTTGCTAATCGTCGCTCTCTTCTTTTGCCGTTTTCATCCAAGTTAGGGTCGTTAGAAATGAATCAACGACAGAATGGGAATAGAGAGAAACGGCCCCCTCGAAACCATACTATAATCAATACTCTCTAAAGGGTTGTATAAATGGTACCAGGGTGACTTTCGTCCCCGCCCAAGTTCACCCTGGTTTCTTATCCGGGCTGTGCATTCGTTTAAATGATACAGCACAGAAAATACATACCAGTCGAACTCAGCGGAACTCTGACAAAGTTTTATGCTGGTGCTCCTTAGGAAGTCTCTTAGCGAAAAATGCGCCTTGGATTTTGGAAAGACCGCTGAATCCCATGCAACAGCTTGCAACAGGCCTTAGAAACTTAGAAACTACCACTAGAAATACATTTTAATGAAAAATAAGCAAGAAACAACAAAATATTATAAACAACATTATTTATTCGAGACAACGTATTTTCTTTGTAGTAACTTGATGAAAACACAAGTAAACCTTGAATTCAGTGTCAATTGTCTCTCGTCTACAATGTTATAGTGTTACTGAAGAAAGAAAATTACCGTTTTTAATCTATTTATCGCAAGGCATTACGAGTTTAGAAACTACCAACGAGAATAAATCTCGGGGAAATATTAGCGAGAAACGACGTCATATTTACAAACCCCACTATATTTATTTAACTTAACAAGACAACACATGAAGCTCAAAAGCTTATTTCCCGGACCTAGACAACGGCAACACAAATGAATGAAAACGCCACTGAAAACTTCTCAAATGCTTTCGCCATTATTCCAACTCGTCCAGTTATTTTAAAGTTGGGAAATAAATAAGTTGGAGTCGAAGAGACAGCTGAAGAGGGGGGACTGCATCCGAGCTCATACACACACAGTAGAGTTCATTGCCTTGCCGTTCACGTTCTTGAGAGAACTCAATCGTTTTGTTGCATGGACACGGCTAAGAAATTTACAGAAGAGTGTAAGGCAAGTGCAGAGTTGATTTTTTACTCACTAATCTTATTTTTGTTTCAACGTTTCCGTTGCCATCAGGGACGTGGTTTCTTAAGGTTCCTACTTCAAATAAATAAATGTAATCGCAGCATTATTACACTACCTTTAACGTTTAGAACCTACAGCCAATGTTACATGAATTGAATCTACGGAAAGGCTCGACTAATCAAGGCTTTAGTTACAAATTGAAAGGTGCTCTGTCAAAAAACGAAGAACCTTGTGGAACTCAGTAAAATTTAGTAAGTGGATCAGTATTGATCGAGCTCTTGTAATACTTCACTAATTTAAAAACTCAGAAGGACTGATAATTCTACACTTTGAATTTTGCCATTAAGTCACTTGCAAAGCAGTGTTCACTTGCAACATGCAGGTGTCCATTAGCAGGTACAGTCTATCCTGTAGCAGCAGCAGCTCAGCTCCTGGCAGTAGCCAAATCAACGAGGCAATGGAGGATCGTAAGCGTGATTCCAAATCACGTTATCAGAACTTCATCTTTTCCCTGGTAGGCTCTGCAGTGGATGCAAGACAGGAACAGGCAAGTTAATTTCTACCAGTGCCGTTAACTATAGTATTAAATGAATGTTGGCCAAACGGAAATCCCGGGTAGGTGGGAAGTTGGGAGAGTATACTTCCTTAGGTATGCTAAGTAGGTATATGCGGCGCCAAAGGGTATGGTTTTTTACTCCATGGGGTACTCCCTAAGATGGCCTATACGGGGAGGCTCCGCCCGAAAGGGGTACCTTTTTCAAGCTTCAGGTATATGAAAGGGTAGCCTTTCACTAAGTGAGGTATATAAAAGGGAAGCGAAATCTGTCATTTCGGTCAATAAAAATTCCCGAAAGGTTTGACAGATGCATTTTATGGCAGTGAAAAAGTCTAGAGAGGGTTCTGGTTTGTGATTATTCATATTTAAAAGGCAATGCATTTACGGCAGTTAAAAGGGATGCAAAATTCTTAACCAGGTATGGGAATAGGTTTTGAAAGTGGTTCCATTCGTCAATAGAAAGTATACGAGTGAGAGACCTTTTCTGTCAAAGATGGTATATAAAAGGGTAAGGGGTTGGACCTCAGGGCGGAGTCTCCCTGTATAAAACTTTGTTGAGTACCCCCCCCCCCCGGGTTTTTGACCCTTTGGTCTCTGAAAATGAGCATAAATTTTTAACCATTTGAGTCTGAAAGAGGGTAAAGTTTTGTTGCTGTCTGGACCAGCGTCTGGAATTAGGCATATCTTTTTACCATTTGACTGTTATTTAAGAACAGCAACTTCAGGTCTGAAATAGAGTAGGGGGACGAAATCACACAATTTGTCCTGAAATAGGGTTAGTAAATGAGATCAATGCCCCGATTTCAACAACAACGGCCCACGAACAGAGGATGGTGTGCCTGTGGCGGTTAACCTTCATGTCGCAGTAGACTGTGATTGATTGATTCAGTTTTTAAACCCATACATGACAAACTGGCCTTATGTGTGCCGGAAATTCAAATGAGCAGGCGGATTCTTCTTGTCCCTTGCTGGTTTCATAACATTATACAACGTGATTCTAAGTCCGTCGTCTCCGCACCGGTTCTTCTGTGAATTAAATGACTATTTTTCTATCGTATTGTTTGGTTATCAGTGGTGATTTGGGAAAATATAGCTTCCTCTACAGTTATGCTAACGATCGTGAACTTTTATCTAAGTTTCGAAGGTTAAAAATCTTTCGTTTTTTATAAATCTAACCTGAGATCACGCTCTATTTTCGTCGTTTCGCTTGGAAAACACGTTTTAGGCGTGCAATTTTTGCGCAATCACGTAAGCATAGCAGCATGCTAAAATTGGGCTTGATCTTTACGTAAACCAACTTACAGTGAGGTTCTCACCTTTCATTGGTTGAAATTCAATGTCACGTCATCACCAATCAGCACAAAAGGGGCCCAATGCTTCACGGCTTTGTATTGCCCAGACTCCCGTAAACATTTCATGGCCTGATGAAGCGCCTTACTTGCACTTTGCCCTGCTACCAAATGTTCGTAAAAGTGTCTCATAAACTCCAGTGTGGCTTCGTCGTCAATCGCCCACAGTGTCGCAATAACAGAACGAGCACCGGCTCCTAAAAAGGCACGTGCAATACCAACCACTCCTTCGGCTTTGATTGGCCCTCGCCCACTGTGACAGCAGCTTAATACAACAAGCTTGGCGTGTAGTTTTGCAGCTAATACATCTGTCATCGTCAAAAGAAAGTCCTCCTCTTTTGGTCTGTCCTCACTAGCAAGATTAGGAGATAAAATAATTTCTCCGTTTTCTGTTCGACCATGAGCTGCAATGTGTATTAGGGACACTGGGTTAAGCATACTTAAAACTTGCTCTTTTGTAGCGTTCTTACCAATGAGAGGCACAATGTTGAGAATCTGTCCAATCATTTTTACTTCTTTCTCAGCACCCGGGAGCTGCGGTACCTTTTTGCTGTTAATGCGTACTGTTTCCACCCACGGATTGCCAACAAGCAGTGCACCAGATGTACTATGACGCCCCTCCGGACATTCTGCCAGTAGTCTTAAGCAGGTAAGTGATGGAGCCAGCCGAATTCTAAGCGTTTCAGACAAATACTTGGAATGCTGGTCCACAAGGGCGGCATAAGGAATATGAAAGAACGAACCGTCAGGAACAATGATGAGTTCATCGCCTTTTATCAAATGTGAGATTGGAGCAATAACCACCTCGTACAACGTTTTCAAAGCACCACCCTTGTCTTGCTGTGATGACGATGCAGACGCCTCTGTACTCCTATCAGACAAGTCGTCGATTTCTTCATCTTCTGGCTCCTCCGGGGAACGATTATCGCTCCTACCTCTTCTCTTAACACCAATCTTTTTGTATGTTCGGTCAATCAATGTTTTCAACTCCACACCGATTTCCTTTTTCACAAACGGACACTGCTGTCCCTTTGGCAGAAGCCAAAGATACACTGCTTCGCCGCACGTGTCTCTGTCTCTGTCTCTGTCTAGAAATAGCGTAGGTGACGAAATATGGCTTGAAAAGTTAGATAGTGTCAGTTCCGTCTGCAGTTTGGACGACAATGGAATTGATTTTTTGCCCCCATATTGCCACTCCATGAGATCCACGAGAGCTTGTGCTCGCCCCGCCTCAGCTGTAAAAAGCGCTTCGATGATCTTGCCTTGTTGTACTTGAAGTGCTACTAATTCTCTAAAGTCGTACCTATTCCGAAAGCTGATTTTCCACTCGTCTTTTTCTTGAAGAAGAACCCTCATTACTTCTACCAGTTTTATTTTGGATTTAAAAAACCCCTCAGCTTTCGAAAAGTCGCCAAGAGAACGAAAAGCACGAGCAAGTGCACCATATGTAGATGCTTCTACATCTTTGTGACCGATCCTCTTCAGGATACTTAAACCTTGCAGATAAAATTCAATTGCTTTTTGGGAATCATGACGAGATTGATAGGCTATGCCAAAATTGATGTATCCATGTCCTTCTGAATGTTTGTCTCCAGTCTCTTGTGCGATGGTTAGACCCAGCTTATAAAATTCGATTGCTTTATCGTAATCACCGAGAGAAAGATAGACATGGCCAAGGATGTCATATCCTCTTTCTAGCATATTTTTGTTTTCAGTCATTTTTGCGATGTTTAGACCCAGCTGGGAAAATTCGATTGCCTTTTCCTTTTTCCCGAGAGAATGATAGGCATAGCTAAGGTTAATATAATTAGTTCCTTCTGCATTTTTGTTTCCGGTATTCTTGGCAATCTTTAGACCACGCTGAAAAAGCTCAATTGCTTTCTCGAATTCATGGAGAAAGCAATAGGCAACGCCAAGGTTGTTATATCCATTTCCTTCTGCATCTTTGTTTCCATTCTCTTTGGCAATTCTTAGACCCCGCTGAAAAAGCTTTATGGCTCTCTTAAATTCTCCGAGAGAAAGATAGATAGTGCCAAGGTTGTTATATCGAATTCCTTCTGCATTTTTGTTTCCAGTATTTATGGCAATACTTAGACCCAGCTGAAAAAGCTCCATTGCTTTCTCGAGTTCACCGAGAGACTTATAAGTAAGGCCAAGGTTGTTATATCCAGTTCCCTCTGCATCTTTGTTTCCAGTCTCTTTGGCAATTCTTAGACCCAACTGATGAAGCTCCATTGCTCTCTTGAATTCACCGAGAGAATAACAGGCCCGGCCAAGGTTGTTACATGCATCCCCTTCAAAGCGTTTGTTTTTTATCTTTTTGGCATCGTTCAATATCTGCTCGAAGTAATCACCGTGTGCGAGAGCTTCAGTTCCAAGTTGACGTCGGTACAAGTAATCCGTCATAGAAGTTGTATCGTGCTGTCCATGATTGGCTTTATCTCCTCGGCATGACTGAAAAGAGAGAGAATTTTTTCTTTTACATAGTGCGTTATTAGCGTTGATAGTCTTATCCCGTAGAAACGGCTAGGCTATACTGGGAAGAACGATAATGCCATTATAGTAGTGAAATCATGTCCACCCATTCCCGCGCCGCGTGCCTGTACACAGGAACGGTGTGTCTTAGGTACTCCGTCCCTCACACTCGCGTATCTTTTCGCGTTCGACTCATGCGTAACTTCTTGCGGTTCTCCAACTCAAATGGAGAGCTTTCTTGCAGAAATACATCCTAGCATGCCAAAAGAAAAGGCAGGGAAATAGACAAAAAGGAGACACGAGAAGTTACACTGCTGAAGATGTAAATTGTAGACAAAGATAAAATGGAAGAGTATCATGAATACAATTACTACGCCCTACACAGTGACAACCAACTTGCATAGGGGGCATTATGCCAGTGGCCAAATGACTTGAAAGTTGTTCTTGAGACATTTTATCAGTTTCCCTTTTGAGAACATAAACCACAAAAGACTGTAAAGGACCACAAACGAATATGCCGCAGAACGTAGGATCTATTAAGACCTGATCAGCAAAAATAACAAGTAGGTATATTAAATTCTGCAAGCAGAATACTGCAATGCTGATCGTACTGCGTGGAAATTAATTTTGCAAGACATCAACACGACACCGAAAGAACCCAAAACAGAGCGGGGTTGTAGCCATAGACAGTTGTTTCGCTAGCTCATCAGTATGGCGTAACAAACAGAGAAGCTCTGCTGAAAAATAACCCTTACACTCTGATTTAAGCAATGACCTGGAACTCCAACACCCACAGAATCACGCCATACCAAAGATAAATAAAAAGCGTTGTGGCGTCATTACGTTGCACTTAAAACCCAGATCAAAAGAAAGTTTCATTTTTATATAATACAGCTGTGGTAGTCTTTTTCCCACAGCTTTACTCATGCCCACATAGTTAATGTTCAAACTTGGGAGGTATCCCCCATAAAAAATCAAGTCGAGCCACCTTAACTTCTCTCCCTTCCCGCCATCTCATTTTGATCTCATTATGCACCTATCAATGTAAATCCCGTGGGGGTGCGGGCAAGGGGAGGGGATTTGATGCCTGAGACTATCCCCCTGTCGGGCTTTTGATCGTGCGAAGCGACCCCGGGGTAGGGACATTGGACTTTAACCGATAGAAGCCTGGTATCAATTCAGAAGCGGTTACCAAGTCCGTCCCTCGAGAACCCTCGAGGCTTTCTGAAAGTCACACTGGGAGAAAGGTATGAAGTTTTCATTTGTTATAATCGCCATAATCTGATACTTTACACTGTCATCTAAGCAGATAATGTCTATTTTGAGAAAGTTTTTATCTCCAAGTTCCCATCTGATTGTAAACCTCGACTGAAATCGAATTCTACCATTAAAGTCAGAGGATTTTTTACGGGTCACTGATCCGACTTGTTCCGACATGTTTAGCAGACGTTATAAAAGCATTTTACGTTTCATTAATATAATAGCACGGTCAATCTTCCTGGAGCGATTATGTTCTTCAAAATAAGAGATGCTAGTGGAGAGAGAAAATACTTAATTGCAGCGAGTAATTTAACGGAACTTACGTTAACCTTAAATAAAAGTAGTAAGAACGTACTTTTGAAATGTTCTTTTATTCGTTTTACATAGTATTATAGTATTGTTTGTTTAGATTTTTCCCCTGGGGTGGGGGCTTTTTTGACACTTTTGATTGACCTTTCCTTTCCCACCCTGGGGAATTTGATCAAAAAATTTTAAAATTTGTCAAATCCCCACCCCTTGCCCGCACTCCCCCACGGGGTTTACATTGATAGGTGCATTACACGTCATCAAGCCCCAGTCTTCAAGAATTAGCCCGCCACCAGCCTCTAATAATATGTCCTTAGGAAATAAATAGAGGAAATACAGGTAATTCTTTCGTGACATTCGGGTCGCGTATATATTGAATAACAGTTTGGTTGAAACATTTTAGTACATAACTGACCCATACCTAGCACGGACAGTAAGTTTCCAGTTGAACTCTACATAATAATATTTATATAGGCACTGCTCTACATGTACGCCTTTTATATGTACGTGGTGGTTTTTATTAACATTTATTTTATACAAAGTTTAGAAAAAAATATATATTTGCGAGTAAAATCTCTGATCCATGCAATTTCATATAGTCTCTTTTCAAGCTTTATATATCATTATCTGTGACAACACGATCGGTTGTTGAGTCGTGAAATTTCAGTGTTTGATGAAAGATTGCCTTGTTGGTCCTTAATTTCGCCAATTTGGCGAGATAGTATTTTCCTGGGGTTTATTTTCGCGATTTCAACAAGCAAATATAAGAAGAGGGCATTAAATTTAAGCATTCTCAACTTCATTGCCAACGAGCCATCCGAGCGAAGACGCTCGGATGGCGAGGCGGCAGCAGAATAGAGCCGCGCAAGACTTGGCTGTAAGCAGAAAAATTCTCGATCGAGCTTCAAAAAGTGTAACCTAATGTAATGTAGATTCCCCTGAGACCAAGTGATGTGACAGTTTCAGCCAATCAAAAGGCGGTAAACTACACATGTGTTCTTTCCTCCGCTGTACGCGAAGACTGAACTTGAATGTGGTACGCTTTTATTGTTTATTCACCAAAATCTGGCCCCGGCAGTCAAGGAAAATGAAAACTTGATGCATTGTATTAATTTGGGGGGCCATTAATGTAAGGTTTTAACGAAGAGAAGCTTGTAACAAGCAAAAGGATCAGATTACACGAGGAGATAAGGAAAGCTTGATACGAAGAATATATTGTCGCTTCTTTTGGAAAATCTGATGTTGGGAAAAAATCTAACCAGCAAATGGAAAAATAAGAATAAAAAAGAATTACAAGCCTAAAGCGAACGACGAAGGAAAAGAAAACAACGCCATTTTTTTCGAAACCTGGCCGAAGTGAAAACAAAATACCGACGTGCCGTACATCGCATGCCCTTGAAAACATTTCAAGCAGCGCAGCGAATCATTCTAAAATTCAATCGGGAACTCGACAAAAAGCCTCGGGAAATTTTAGAGGAGGTTTAAATGATTAAACTGGACAAATATTTATCTACAAAGTGAAACCGAACCGACACTAATTTTGTAGTGGTAAGAGAAACGATCATTTTTTATATTTCCCCCTAAATATTGCCGATCGCTTCCTCTGCAAGCTGTTTTATTCTTTCAAAAAAGTATGCCTCATGACACTTCAAACTTTTATATAGCAGGTTCGTAAAGCCACAGCAGTCTGAGGACTGACTCTTCTCCGAACCTAGCTTATACCGCCTTGCATAGCACATCAGTTTTAAGGAAATAATCCTTTCAGGAAAAAAGGAATCCATTCCTATGCAAAATACGCATGATTTGCTCGTTGGCACTCTATCGATAGGTATACCTAGTTTTATTTTTAAAAAATTTCCGAAAGTTTTCAAATTTCTACTTAAACTGGAAAAGCAATATGTGAAAGCTTCACAAATTAACGGTTTTTTACCTACTGAAGATACAAAACAGAGCTTACCAGTATAACCAGTTTTACAGTCAAACCAGGCCAAGCGTTCCCGTCGCTAACGGACTAATAAATTCATTAATGGCAAATTGTTTCCGTTCGTTGGTTCCGTGGTTTATTCACGAAATAAATAATGCAATATTCAAATCGAGCCTCGATTCAATAATCGAATGTTGATTGGATTAATAAACAAAAGCCTTGCCATATATGGACACCACGCTCCTGCCGCGCTCCAGTTGAAAAATGGCAGGCAGGCGAGATATGGAAACTAGCGTTCACCCAGTTTGGGACGGATTTATGGCTCCCTTGTACGTGGTTTTTCTTGTAAGGAAGTTAAAGTCGCTTGGGCAAGTTGTAGACGGTATTCCAGCGAGGTTTTGCGGTCTTCAAGGTTTTGCAGCAGTCTGTCAACGGCCTTTTCACCGCCTTCACAAATGGAAACAGTCGCTCTGCTTGTTTCTGTCAATGGTGTGCATAACTGCTCAGCGTGACTACGGTTTTCTGGTGTGCAAGCAGCTTTCCAAAATCATGACTTTTATTTTATCTCGGTTTTTCAGGTCTTTTATTTCGACTTCGACGAACTCTCCCAAATCCTTATCATAACGCTGCAACGAAACAGTGCCCTGTACATGTATGCCAAATGTATCTTCCACTAAGTCTCTCTTGGTCGATCTTTCAGTGACTTCCGTCATTTTCCTGACTTCGTTCAATTCAACCAAGACAACGATTTTGTCCTGAAAAGTCAAAGTTCACGGTTATTCTTAGTGCCTTTTACAGACTGCAAGAGGAAATGATAAAATACACAAAGGTTGCATGCGTGCTTGATCGATCAAGTGGTACACTTTCGCAAATATTCACAACTGTTGTCAAATCGAAACTGCAAAAAGGAATCAGAGGAATCGTATGGAACAACGCCTGTAGAAAAAGTAAACAACATTTTATACTAATGGCGTGTTGAACTATAGAATAACCTACATAGGCGTACGGGAAATTTTTTGCCAGGGGGGGCGGTAAACCTTTTGCCCAAAAAATTCTCGCAAGTTGCCCGAATTTTGCCGAAACGTACAGTCGAAAAGAAACGAGGGCCACACGATGCAACAACAGAGGCCGCACTGGTATATGAAGGTGGCTCGATACTGTAACAGTTTTTCAGGGTCAATACCTCCCAATTCTGAGCATAACTACGTCGCCATAGACAAACATTTAGAAAAATTGCCACCACAGTTTTATTAGATAAAGATGAAAATTTGTCATGATCAGGAATGCAATGACATCGGAGTTGTCATAGCAACGAAATGACGCCATTGCCTATATTACTTGCAGTAATATTTCTCGGCACAGGGAACTGTTCTTACAAAATCGTTCAAGGAAGCTTTTTCCTTAAATAGTCGTCTCGATGTTCGTGAAGTTAAAACGGAAACTGTGAGAGTGTTATTGGGATATTTTGGGATGAAGTTTTCATCATTAGAAATATGGTAAAAAGCGAAAATCTTGACGTTTGGCCGTTATCGAACTGAGAACTAGTCAGCCACTTCTTCATTTTCAGATCAATTGCTGATGCTATCTGCCATACACTATTCTACGAGCGGGAGATGATTCTAGAAAGATATGCGGAAGTTTATTCTAATCAATTCACGACTGGAAAGAGCCCATTCCAGTTAGTGCAGTGCAGTACAGTACTCAACCGTAAAAAACCTGATATAAACCTGATGAAGACTGGTATTGGCCAGTCGAAATATCGCAACTTACCTCTATTTCACGTTGTTTGATCAGTCCCCGCAAAAGTCTTCTTGACTGTAACGTTTTGACCTATTTTGCCTGATCACGATCTTTTCGGATCCGACGTTGAGCAAGATTGATCGTACACGGTTTTTGCAGTGGTTTTTTTTACCTTAACTAAACACAGTAAAAAACTATAAATATGTAAATCAACGTGTCATACCCTTTCCTAATAACCAGAAACTCATCACGTGCTACGCAACCTATGTCTCGAGAGAATGTAACTGGATTATTACGCCGACGTCAGCATTTTTGTCAGAATAAAATATAAAGTATTTATCTCTTCAAAATAACAATAAAAAAACATGGAAACGTCTTTAAAACCTGGCTTTGCCCAAATTTTCTCTTGCTGCCCAAAAATTCTGAGTTGCCCAAAACTTGGGGGGGGGCTGCAGCCCCCGTCGCCCCCCCGGCCCGTACGCCTATGATAACCTACCTGCTCTATCACACTTAACTCCGGAGAGAACTCCGCCATGTTCAGGTCACGCTTTTCCTAGCACTCCATATATGGCAAGGCTTTTGTTTATTAGTTCAATCAACATTCGATTATTGAATCGAGGCTCTATTTGAATATTGCATTATTCATTTCGTGAATAAACTACGGAACCAACGAACGGAAACAATTTGCCATTAATGAATTTATTAGTCCTTTAGCGACGGGAACGCTTGGCCTGGTTCGACTGTAAATAAGTTATATTATTGATACATATCCTGATCCTGTTGTTGCTATTTCAAGTTAATATTTTTTTCTCTGATTTGAATTTTCTATATGAGTATTTAATTTCGCGTCCTTAAATTTTGCGAGGATTTATTTTCGCGATTGTTTTGAAATTGCGAAAAACGCGAAATTAAGTACAATAGGGTATATATATTGTATTTGCTTGCATGGCAGGCTAGGCGGGCGTAAGAAATATGGGGCGCGAGATAAGTGATGCGCGCAAGGGAAGAGTACACGTGTGCTCGCGTCCTTCATCCTGTTGGTCAGCGCCACCGTTCTTAGTTCTTAGTTCTTAGTTTACGCACCCGAGCAATTTACTCGGGCACCTTTCCTTCTCCGCAGGATGGTTATTACCGAAATCCGAGATTAATTTCCTGCAAAAAGAAATGAATGGTATTAAAGAGGCAATCCTTCTTAATATTAAAGGTGACTTCGATGGCTTTATGAAGCAAAGTGTTTATTATAGAAATGTAATATCGTACCCAGATCTCACTCTGTTTTACACTGGGAGATCTGGGTACGAGATTAAAAGAAATGTAATACCTTGTTGTCTTTGGCTCTTGTTTCTGCGCATTTCAAAGCCAGGTTTATCAGCGTAATATTTTCCTCGTCAATCGTTCATATTGTTAAGGTAAATGATGTTAGAATTAAGTGCATGTTAAGTATAATTGCAATACTAGAAGTAGTACTAATTCAATCTTGATCGTGGATGCTACACCACTATGGACTATAACCATTCATACAACAAGGTGAACCAAGAGTAGATAAATGATAACGATGATCGTTTCTAGGAGGGCGTGCAATCATTTTGATTTAGCCTGTGTTACCGGCAATAGAGAATTCTCGTACACACGCAGAAGCAGTAGGTAACCTCCGAGCTGCCTCAAGCCTCTGTTTCAAAGCGAGGCTAAGTGCTAAGACATTGATATGAAAATGAGTTTTTATTCTCATGCAAATAAAACATATTTTCACGACAAAGGTTTTGCACCTAGCCTTGTTTTGGAAGTAAGAGTCTTTGGAACTCGAAATTGGCCTATTCCTCCAGCTAGGCAGGCTAATTTCAATTCTGTACGGAGGCGAATCCTGTGGTCTGATTGGCTAAACGTAAACGAGCGGCTAAGATCGATGGGCCGTATCTTGCCCACTCTTTATTGCTTGCTCTGTCCCGCAAGAAAAGATCTTGTTTTAGCCATATAATCAATATATTCCTGGCCAAAAATTCGCCTCGTTCTTGTCAATCATTCAGCCATCTTCATCTTAAGCTTGGCCAATAAAGCACATTTGATGTGTATGTCATGGATGCATGTAAATTACTAAAGGATACCATCAATCCTTTGTCACACCAGTCAATTGCCAGGTCTAACAGATTCAATTCCGCAGAGGCATTCGCTCCTGAAATTAAGTAAATATAATTATACTTAAATCACTTACACTTATACTTAAATTACTTAAATCTTACCTTGTCCTACCTCCTTCTTTCCTAGCCCCTGTAGCAGGCATTCGGGGGCGCGATCGCTTGTAAAGGAGAAAAAAAGATGGGAACCCTTTCATCTCTTCGCGCTTCACGAGAGCCCGAAATCCACTTCTCCCCGAAATCTCTTTTCCCATCCGTTTCGAACGCAGGTCTCCTTCCTCCTTTTTTACGAAACAGTAAGCGGACAAAGAGAAATTTATGACTGTTGGGATCTTGTGACTTGGTTGTGAACACTTAATCACACTCAACTTTGCAAAAACGCAGTGAAGGCTCTCCAGAAGAGCTCTCAAGAACAAGTCCATATCAACATAGTTTGATGATTAATAACGGCTATCGTTTGACAAAGCAAAAATATTTAAAGAGCTGCTACGGTTATAATTTTCATAAAAATGCCGTAAAGCGAATGCTAAATGCTTAATGCTTAATTAAACTGATGATACCATCAAAATCCAGCCTTTCTGAGGCGGGAAGTTGGCGATAAGAGGTGGATGTACTCGCAGACTGCCATTGAAATTACCTGCGATTATTGGTGAGATAAGCAATGGTCGTATGTCCGTGGCATTTTTTGCATCTACCAGCGAGTAAATGTAGTTTCCTATTAAGGTTCAAAAATAATTAGAAAATAAATAACAGAAAAAACAATAACAACAACAAAAAGTTAATCAACACAAACGCAGCGTTCCAATTAGAATTCAAAGAGCTATCAATCACGAGAAGTAAATTAGAATGGGAAGCGACGGAGGACATCAAGCAAGTTTCCCATAGCAAACGTAATGAATCCGAATCGGAAAAAGCGTTATGTTTCGTTTTGTCCTAATGTGAGTGCGATATTACACCTAAAAAATGCCAAATAAAAAATCATTTCCTTTTTTCCCTAACTAATTACAAAAATCATTCAAATTTATCACATGATTTAAAACGCCGCCCAGAATGAGGAAAAACAGTTGGCTATTACAAGCATGGAGTTAAATTCGTTGCCACGGAGTTGATATTGGCCAGAGCGAAAGGCAAACCCAGTATATCTGCTGGATTGCAAAGACGGCCTGCCCACTATTCGCAAAAAAAAAACAACAACAACAACAACACGTGAGCTCACCTAGATGAAGGTTTGCGTGAGCTCTGTTGCTGTACAGCATGGCCATGCCATCTTCATCCTTGCAGTTCACTTTAATTCCCTCAGTGAAAAAATAAAAGGCGTTGCTGTAATCTTCCTTTAAGAACGCTTCCGTACCTTCATTATTGTAAACCTGTGCTATTGCTAAACAAAAAGAGGATTGAAGTGTCATCACGCTCAAATGAATCTCTCTTCATGACTTTCATCTATTCTGCTCAGTGTTTAGCCTGAAATTCATCCGATTTCTTCGAGTCGTTTTCTCCTCTCAACAAGGGAGTAATAACGACTCGACGTAATCGGATGAAATTCAGGCTACTCAGTGTTACGTCACTTGTGTTTTAAGAACGGCTCACAGGATTGGTTTAGAAAACAATAGATAGCCCTAACCCAAACAAAACTAACAATGAACCCCAACTCTGAAACAACAGAGCTTTGGGCCAACAAGAACCTATCAAATTAGAGGTTGTAAAGAGGTTCTGGCCAACAGGAATGGATGGAGAACTGATTTATCTCTTCAAACTCTTTAAACTCGTCTTCTTCTTTCACAGGTCAGCTTTTCGTTACCACTGTTGACGTTAAGCACAGTATTTTTCAGTTTTATTTTTATGTGTGTGTGTTAATCTGCAAATTATTTTTACGAATTATTATTTTTCAAGTAAAGGCAGGATTGGCCGCTTTCATGGATAAGTCGGACCATAGTAGTAGTAATATATAAGTCTTGGGGGTTAACGATACCTATTATTTGAAAAGACACGGGACGTCTTCCGGTTCATGATGGGAAAATTGAGCATTTCGAATCGTTTGTTTCGAAATATTTCTGATGTTTGGCCATTTTTAGCCATAATTGATTGCAGATCATATAGTTTCGGCCTTGTCTGTCCAGTCAGGAGCATCAATTGACTGCACTGATTTCCATACCAAATCAAAGAAACTTTGCTAATACAACAGTTAAAACCTTAAGCCATTTTGGTAATACACTTACATGTAAGCGTCTTTACCTATCAGAGTTTCATCGTCGAAGTCCAGCGCATGCTCATTACTGAGTGATGTAACGTCACTCTCACTTGCTGCTCTGATTCCACTCTGCTTCATGAATGCTTTGATCTGGGACGAAAAAGTTGGTATACAGCTTCAAATGGTTATTTTGTTAATTAACGTCTTTTATTAGCACCTGCTTTGAATTAACGTTAAATTCACACCTGAATGGATTTGCAAAAAGGTACCTCCAGGATTTTTTAGCAACTGTCTCATTTGAGGCTTGTTCAGTAATTGACCATCTTTTTTCTCATGTTTCAGTACAAAAAAGCTCTAACAAGCTGCAGTAGACCAAAAAAAAAAAACATGTGTTTTTAATGCTTTTTACATCTTTCCCCATGCCACCCCCGCCCCGTCTCCTCTACATATCACTTCCCATAATTCTCTCTGTGGCATAAAACACTACTACAGCAGTGAAATCAGGGCTCGCGTTAGGAGTCTGCAGCAAAGTTTTCCGGAAGGCATCATTAAGCCTTATAAAGGAACAAGTGTCACGATTGGCAATGTCTGCCGTTATCCAATATGTTACCGTATTTCGTCTCGTTTTGGCTAAACGGGTGAAACACTGATCTCGGGCTTGAGACGGAAAGGCATCATATTGCGAGCTTTGATGTGGGCGGTGACGAGTCTCTGGCCTCAAAAAGTAATTTAGGAGTCAAATCTATTCGGCGAGGGCAAAATTGATGCTGATTTCTGACCAGGTCAGAGACTTACGCTGGGTTAGTCTTACAAGATCTTGGATTATTGCCAAGGATGTGCTTCTGATTCTAGGATACGTTTAAATTATTTCCTTGTCAAATTCTGACGCCTAGTTACAAGTGAACGCCTAGTTACAATATGTGTCCCTTTCAAATCGGCTCGTTTACATCTGGGATCTTAAATAAATCGACTGAGTCAGGAAAGTTGACATGTGATGATTTATGTGGAGAAAGCGAGAGCAATATGAATATATTTGGCCCTTATTAAGTAGGGAAACATTGTGCCTGGTTGGTTGTGGATAGTTTTTTTTTCTTTATTTGCAATAATGACACTGAAATACAAAAAATACAGAAACACACTAAAAAGGGAAGAGAACAAAAAAAGTAAATGGACATTACTTACATCAACATACGTAATACTAATTTACAATATCATTGCTTACAATTTACATTATTAGCTTAATTATTAGTTAATTACATGTGAAAAGGCTCGTCTTTATTGACTCTTTGGTTGTCTCTGCTTTACAAGACGCCGGTGGCTGTGCGATTTCCCGCCAAAATAACCTCGAGTAGCATTTGGGTTGCCATACCTGTTAATTGAGTTATTTTACATTCTTTTGCCTGTGGTACGAACGGACGGTCGCTCGGTCGGTGTACGGTTACGTGATTACCAAATTTTCTCGGATGGGTAGATTACTTCATTTTCTTACCCATGGTGCTCCGCTGGCGCGCTTCGCTTGAGAGCTCCGCTACAATTCATTCAATCTTAAGTCAGTATTTTTAAAGATAATCCATGGTTAGCGCGAAATTTGTATTCAGATATTAAAATTTAAAAAGCAAATTCAGGTTCATTCATCCTCCGTCCACAATTTAAAGACTGGATGCTTAAAAAGAATATAGATAGTTATCATAATAGAAAATGCTTTTGAGCTGCGGAGTAGCTAGAAAAAAAAATTGCAGATCAAAATTTAACCCCGGATTAATGCTAATCGAACTTTGAACAACTGGGCTCAGGAGATATCTTCAGTGGCAGGTAATGTATGTTCCAGAAAAGCACTTTGATATCATTTTCATGCAGCAGTACGAGTAAACTATGATTCAGTTTGCCATGATCCCGCTATGCCGGACTCTTTGACAACCCTAGCAATATATCTAATCTTCAGACTAGGGGCGAGAGTTTTTACTTTTTTTAGGTAGACGTAGTCGACATCGACATCCCAATAATAGGGAGGATGAGTAGTTACGTTGCTCATAGGCGTACGGGCCGGGGGGGCGAGGGGGGCTGCAGCCCCCCCCCAAGTTTTGGGCAACTCAGAATTTTTGGGCAGCAAGAGAAAATTTGGGCAAAGCCAGGTTTTAAAGACGTTTCCATGTTTTTTTATTGTTATTTTGAAGAGATAAATACTTTATATTTTATTCTGACAAAAATGCTGACGTCGGCGTAATAATCCAGTTACATTCTCTCGAGACATAGGTTGCGTAGCACGTGATGAGTTTCTGGTTATTAGGAAAGGGTATGACACGTTGATTTACATATTTATAGTTTTTTACTGTGTTTAGTTAAGGTAAAAAAACCACTGCAAAAACCGTGTACGATCAATCTTGCTCAACGTCGGATCCGAAAAGATCGTGATCAGGCAAAATAGGTCAAAACGTTACAGTCAAGAAGACTTTTGCGGGGACTGATCAAACAACGTGAAATAGAGGTAAGTTGCGATATTTCGACTGGCCAATACCAGTCTTCATCAGGTTTATATCAGGTTTTTTACGGTTGAGTACTGTACTGCACTGCACTAACTGGAATGGGCTCTTTCCAGTCGTGAATTGATTAGAATAAACTTCCGCATATCTTTCTAGAATCATCTCCCGCTCGTAGAATAGTGTATGGCAGATAGCATCAGCAATTGATCTGAAAATGAAGAAGTGGCTGACTAGTTCTCAGTTCGATAACGGCCAAACGTCAAGATTTTCGCTTTTTACCATATTTCTAATGATGAAAACTTCATCCCAAAATATCCCAATAACACTCTCACAGTTTCCGTTTTAACTTCACGAACATCGAGACGACTATTTAAGGAAAAAGCTTCCTTGAACGATTTTGTAAGAACAGTTCCCTGTGCCGAGAAATATTACTGCAAGTAATATAGGCAATGGCGTCATTTCGTTGCTATGACAACTCCGATGTCATTGCATTCCTGATCATGACAAATTTTCATCTTTATCTAATAAAACTGTGGTGGCAATTTTTCTAAATGTTTGTCTATGGCGACGTAGTTATGCTCAGAATTGGGAGGTATTGACCCTGAAAAACTGTTACAGTATCGAGCCACCTTCATATACCAGTGCGGCCTCTGTTGTTGCATCGTGTGGCCCTCGTTTCTTTTCGACTGTACGTTTCGGCAAAATTCGGGCAACTTGCGAGAATTTTTTGGGCAAAAGGTTTACCGCCCCCCCTGGCAAAAAATTTCCCGTACGCCTATGACGTTGCTTGTTCGTAAGGCCTGATAGCATCATATTTTACCACCGGATCATTGAATGAGATATCCGGTTAGAATATTAAACTCGCTTAAGTTTACCTGGGCACTGCTCTGTCATCGAATGAATTGTAACAATAGTCAGTGTAACTTGCAAAAACTACTGTTTTGAATAATAATTAGTCGCATTTTGGGATAAAATTTATTAAGCCAGACTGCAACCTAACCCTCGGATGTACACGCAGTCATATCCCCACCATGGTACAAGGTCGGGTTGATGGAAGCCCTCCGGTCCCTAGAGTTTTTGATATGTTGCAGTATTTCGAAAAGATTTTACCTTCAGTGGAAAGCCTTTGATCTTCTCTAAAAGACGAGGTATATTTTATGGGTGGTCGCGCTGCTGGAGGCCTGTGACGTCACCAAACATGGTCGCCATCTTGGCCGCCATCTTGGATTTTACCAAGAACTAGAAGTAAGGTGAAAACTGCCAGTAATGGTAATTTTTTGTTCTTGACATGTAAAATAACACATAAGTACTTTGCTTCATTTTATCCTCAAGCTTTACTTTTATCGTTAAAGGAAGTTGAAAAAACATGCATTTTCACTCAATAATAACTTGACCACCTGCCACTTATGACGTCATATCTCGTAACCATAGGAACTGATCATCAATTAACTTGTATCAAAATGGCGTGAGGAATAAACGGACAGCTACTGAAAACGTCAGGTGCTAATGTTAAATCGTCTAGGAAAAAACTCAGAGTGACCACCCTCACCCCCCTTGTACTCCCGAGGGTTAGATCATCAGCGGCTATGAAATAATACTGAATGAACCCAGAAAAAATCCTTAATAGAAGCTAACATATTTAAATAGCAGTTTTACCACATTTATATTAACGCTTTTTCACATTCAAAACTCTCAAAACATGAAATTAGAGAAAACCTAAAATTATCTTTTTAATGACAACAACATTATAATATTGATGATAATAATAATAATAATAATAATAATAATAATAACAATAATAATGATATTTTTTTATTGACGACAAAATAACGACATTAATAAACAGCACATAATAAAAAATAAATAAATAGATAACAAAACTAATAACAGCCTTTACAAACAAAAAATGTAAATAAATAAATAAATAACATTTAAAATAAAAAGTGTCAGAAAACAAAAGCCTGTCAGTTGGCACACATTTTTAATATTGTTTGCTACGATTTTAAATGCGATATTCTCAAAGAGCTTACGCAAAAATTCATCTAAATTAGGTTTCTTTGCGATATTTTTGCAAGAATACAAATATTTCTTTTACAATATTAGCCACAGACGAAGTCTGATTAGAGTTGAATTTGACATTAGCAATGGAAAGGAGTCTTTGAACGTGTTAAATAAAATTTCTTTGTTTGAAAGTTGTGGGAACTGACAGATGCATAATATTTGCATGCCATGCTCCTGGAAAATTTGCAATTTTTGTCCACACGTTTTCCGTATGGTATTCATTAAACCACCCTAAAGTTTTGGAAAAGAATTCATTTGATTCTTGACGATATATAAAACTGTGTTCAGTTGAATCTGGATTGAGGCAGAAAGGACACTTGTCCTCAGAGGCTAATTTATATTTCAGCAGTTCTTTCTTGATCGTAATTATTCTGTGCATAACCTTAGAAGAGAACTGTCTAAAAATAAGTAATAATGATGATGCTAAAATTTCATTATTAGTGTTAAGTGAAAATACTGCTAAAGAGGTTGAATTTAAATCGTCCCACCGTAAGAATTCGTCCTCAGGCTCTAAAGTTATTAAAACTACATTTCTATACATGGGATGAGTGGAGGAAAGGGGCCACACCAGTGACTGATAGTTATATAATATGACTG